CATTCTTTACAAAGGGAAATAAATACATGAGTCATTCGGGAAGTCAGTAACCCTGACCACCTGACCTGTTTTATAACCAGTTTTGTTTGCACTAGGTAGTGAATAACTGTTCACCAATTGGTAATCCAACATCCAAACCCAGACTTCACTCTTACAGGGAAAAAATAAAATAGGGATTTCTCTGTATTTAAGCATTACAAGGTACTCTGTATTAGGCATAACTCTCAGGGTTTGGGGAGCCAGGGACTGAAGGAGTGAACCCAGGGTGGGTCCATGAGCTGCCCTGGGCCAGTTCCAGCCAGCTCCAAAACAGATGAAAGCAGCCTGTTGCACATAAAAACTACAACTGGTCAGAGTAGCACACGGTGCTTCTGTTTGAATATATTTAAGAAAGGGCGGTAGCTGCTAGGGACAAGAGTCACAGAAAGGAGACATGGGAGGGGGGGCACATGAGGAGTCACGGAAGGGCACATGTGAGGACAGGTATGGGAGGATGCATAAAAGGAGATATGAGGAGTCTCAAAAAAGAACATGAAAAGGTGAAATGGGGCAGGAGGCACAAAAGGACATGTGTGAGGACAAACATAAGGAGACGCAAAAGCAAAGATGTGAGGACACACAGGAGGAGACGTGAGAGGAGATGCAAAAGGGCGTGCAAAAAGAGCATGTGAAGAGCCATGTCTGGAGTAAAGGGAGGAAGAAGTGGAGGGGACATGGTTGGGTACATGGCTGGAGATGCTCTCTTGGAAGGAGGTGCTGTGTGCTGGAGAAGGTACCTTTGAGGGTCTGCAACTCATGCTGGGGCAGCAACACCCCTGAGGATCTGCAGCTTGCGGAGGACCCGTGCTGGGATGGGGACACCCCTGACAGACTGTGGCCAGTGGAGAACCTGTGCCAGGGCAGGTACACACCAGGGGACTGCAGGCTGTGGAGGAGGAACCGTGCTGGAGCAGAGGAGCAGTAAGAAGCAAGGAACAGTGGGGGAAAAGTGAGATGCAAGGAGCAGCCAAAAGAAACCATTACACACTGACCTGTAGCCTCCTGTGCTGCCTGTTGCCTCACGGAAGGGACTGGGACAGAGTGAGTGTAACCCACAGTGAAAACGAGGGAAGCTGAGATGAGAAAGCAGGGAGAAGAGGTGTTGGACTGAAGATGAGCCTGGGGAAAGAGGAGGAAAGGTATTTCCCAAAGTGCTTGTTTAATTGTTCATTGTCTTCTTTTTTTGTTTGTTTTCCAAAGTCAATGAAGTTTTGCCTGTGGCAATATATTTATTATGCTGGGATGTAAAGTGGATTAGCAATGTTACGGCCAAACAGTACAAACCCCATGTGGACATAATCTGGGTAGAGTCTCCCCTCTTCATGTGTGAGGCTGACATACCCTTGTATTGCTGCGTCACCATTTTGTCAAGTACAGCTTTCTAGAGAAGGGCCAGCACCAGCCAGTTGCCAGTGTTCACAAGTGGCAATCCTTCCACAAGTCATGTAGGCAAAAGCCATAGAATAGATGCAGTTTTACTTACAAACCCTTATATTTAGGCTGTAAAAGATACATTGAGGGGCAGAGCTGGGGTAAACTTTTGCTGTTGATGTGCTGTTTCTGCTGTGTGGATTTGCAGAGCATTTTTTTTTTTTTTTCCCCATACCACCAAACTCTTTGCTGGTGCAGTACTACTAGCCTAGCAGTAACTATACCATGTACTCGAAGTGTAATGTGGCTTGAAAAAATCTCACTCCATCACTCTTCTTCCTTCCAAACACAAGTGGAGTGATGGAGTGAAAGAGGGAGGGGAGATGACAGGGTGTTGCCATTTCTTGCAATTATACGGAAAGAAAGTCTGTGATACCCTCTTAGAGTCTGAAGGAAATCAGGGGGAATAGAGAGGAAGGGCAGCTCACCCTGGCATGGCCATTCCCAGGCACACCAGTGCCTGATGCTACCGGCCAGATGATGTGTCATTGTCTACAGGTAGAGTGAAAACACTCTAAAGTGGTCTCCCTGAGAGACTGAGTTGTGTTGAAAAAATCATAGGATAAAGCTTTTGTTCAAATGGAGGAAAAAAAGTTGAGAGAAAAAAATCTCAAGGGAGATTTTTCTTCAACTGAAGAATGATTAATCTGTAATGGAAAATCCTATTCTACTATTAAGCTGACCTGTAGCTATCTGTAGCAGGAATAATGTACTTCTCTATTACATTCTGCACATTTTTGGTTTTTCTCTCAAAACTTCTGTTTTTACTGTTGGATTGTATTGATTTTATTTCTTTTAAATTATGCAGACTTCTACCAAAAGGGAATCAGGGATTTAAGCAGAGAAGACACTAAAATGTTTTGCATCTTTCAGACTTTTTTTTTTGTTTTCTTTAAAGAGTATATTCCTTGTGAAACCTTACTGGTTTTTTCTTTATTAAGAGCCTGGCATCACTTTGACTACGCAGGCTTTGAGGAAGGCATTGGCACATTGATGGCAGTGCCCTTCAATTAGACTGTGCATTGACACACACCTTATTTCAAACTGTTAAAAACTGTTGGACTTTCTGGGAGATAAACTCAGCTTTTCCATCTGCTGCAACATATCTCTCTATGATTAAATCTACACTTTGGTCTTCAGAGATCTAAACTTGGGGGCTGGCAAGGACAGTCACACTAGGCTTGTAAAAGCAGAAATAGCATTGTGTACCCCAGCTCAGCTGCCTGACAAAAGGGTATACAGTCGTCCCCCTACACTTGAGCATACTGCTGGAGAAGGTCTGGCTCTGTGGGTAGAATAGGTGGGAAAAGAGGATAATGTGTATTTTAAAGATGATTGCTCTACTGATGGCTTAACAGTTGTAATGTTCAATTCTCTTTCACAAAGTGTGGTTTTAAATGGTGAAAGAAGGGAAAAATATGATTTTTTTTTATTTTTCTTTTTTTTCAGTGAAGGAAGGTGTTAAGTACTTAAAGTCTAGAAGCTTAAATATAAAAGCATGGTCAAGATCAGAGGTGTCGTGTGAAGGAACATAATAAACACTACTATGTTGTGGAGCTTTGTAGCAAATATGGGACATGGGATGGTTATCGAGGAATAAATAGAAGGGAAACAAATACTGCTCTGTGATGCTGGGAGCTGAGACCTCTTGACAGGAACAGATGATAGCACTGGGGTTTTAGAGGAATTCTCAGTTCTGGGGAAGGCTGGCAGGTTGTTCTCTAGGGAAATGAAGCACTTCAGAAGCAGCTGTCCCACTTGCTGTCGGGTGTCAGGATCATTAGTATGGCAGCAAACTGGAGAACAAAAGAGAATCTCAAATCCTTATATCTAGGATACTTCTTGAATGTGTCTGATTTGAAAATAATGGACTGATGAAGATAAAATGGAATAAATGCTGTATTTCCTTACAAGTGGCAAGCATGGTATGGATCCAGAGAAGTAAGGGTCAGTCTTGTTTTGTGATAAATGGAGAGGTTTGACCATGTTTTGCTTTTGAAGGAGAGTAATCTTTGCTAGAGGACAATATATCCTACAGCCTGAGAGAGGTGAGACTGCTGCTGCTCCATGTCCAGACAGTAGTGAGGCTGAAGATATATTCAGCAGGCACACGCACACAAAGCACACATATACACTACATATATATGTACATATACAAGACTGGCCACACCGCTCACAGGCAGACACTCAGAGCACCCACGTGAACACAGGCAGCACCAACAGCTTCATCCTGCTCCCCTCTCTGGCTGGACAGGATGGAAGTCCACAAGTGAGGATATACACAGAGGTAAGTACAGGGTGAATCCCTCCAGCAGCTGGGCTTAAACACTCATCCCAATAGCTGCCCATGGATCCCAGTCTCCCCAGTTGCTGGCACCTGGACATACAAGTCCCCGTGGCTGCAGCCCTACTCCAGTTGCTGGTACAAACTGTCAACCACACACACACAGAGCTGGCCAGGACTTTCCATGTCCCACAGCTGACCCCCCCTGTGCTCTTGTCCTTAGAGGCACACAGATGCTCTCACACCAAGAGCTGGTCCTTAGGGACCCACTCACCCTCCTGGCTCCCAGGCCACTTTGCATAGTCATGGGCTGGTCCACTTCATCTTTGCTAGCCACCACACACTTGCACATCCACCCTCACTTCAGTTGCTGGCACCATGGACACATGGGCCCTCTGACCCCAGCTGCTGCGTTCACACCCAGATATACACACATGCACACAGAATTGAAAGCCCTCACCCAGGAAAGAGTCAGAAAGGAATTTAATAAGACAATGAGAGACTGTGCTGATCAGGCACAGGGCACGGCCAGACAAGTGTACTGACCAACAAGCTGTTTACCCGCATTCAGTCCTTGTTATCCCCTTACACCTCTATTTTCCTACACTTGTTCCTCCCCAAATCACCTAAACCATTTCCTTGCCCCACCCTTGGTTCCTTTGCTAAATATAGTAAGTCCTGTGTAATTTCAAACTGTTCTTCCCCTGCACCCCCATAATACGTCCCACCCCTAGACAGTGACCCCCTTAGTCCGAAGGGTGATCTGGAGAGCTGCTTCTGGTGACCCTGTTGATGGATTTCACGCTTGGACACTGGGACAGCCCCAGGGAGGGCCCAGAGAAGGTGCTGGTTCTTCCAGAGTCCTTGACCCAGGGTCCCGCCTGCCGTTGGGCAGACGGGCCTTTGGTGGGCTGATGGGCCTCTGATGGGCCTAGGAGTAGTCCGGCAGGGTGTATTCGGGCTTCCCCTCCTGCCGTTATACCTCTGAGCTTTTTGTGCCTGTGCAGATGAGCTTTGTCACGTAACTTCATAGACTGAACGTGGGCCGTGGTTTCTAATGGGGCCTTGTGGGCACTGTGGCAGTGTGGAGAAGCCAGGATGTTTTTTTAAAGATGACCTAAGGGCGTAATTCAAGCAGGCCGGCATGAAGGAGAGTTCAGCATGTGGCTCTGCCATAGTACTGTCCTGAGGCTCGTGGTCTGTTGTCTTCCCTGTCAATGTCTTTTTCTTCTTTCCTCCCCTTCAGATCACGACCGTTGTCTTGGGAGAGCAGGCTCTGACGGGAGCGAGAATGCTCAGGATGCCCAGCTGTCTGCTAAAACTGACCAGGGTGGTGCTGAGCCACAAGCTCAGGGCTATGTTTATCCTCGCTTTTAAGCTCATGTCCTTTGTCTCCATCATGTTGTACTGGAGAATTGTTGAGGACTCTAAGGGCAGAGGCCAGGTCTACAGCATGCCTGTTGAAATCCACTGTGCTCACTCTGTGCCACCTTCTCCTCATGCCACTGCCAGTGGGCCTCCTTCTTCCCCAGGGGATGTGTTTTTTGTGGAGACCTCAGAGCGAACTAACCCAAGTTACCTGTTCATGTGCTCTGTGGAGTCAGCGGCCCGGACGCACCCTGGGACAAGGGTCGTGGTGCTCATGAAAGGTTTGGCAAACGGTAATGCCTCGTTACCCAACCACTGGGGCTTCTCGTTGCTGAGCTGCTTCCCCAACGTGGAAGTCCGGCCCCTGGATTTGACAGAGCTTTTTTCTGGAACACCTCTGGCACAGTGGTACTTGCAGGCTCAGCAGCGCTGGGAGCCTTATTTCTTACCCATCTTGTCTGACGCCTGCAGAATTGCCATCATGTGGAAATTTGGTGGCATCTACCTGGACACAGACTTCATCGTGCTCAAGAACTTAAAGAACCTCACCAATGCCCTTGGTATCCAATCCAAGTATGTACTGAACGGGGCCTTTCTGTCCTTTAAGCCTAAACACAAGTTCATGGAGCTTTGCATGAAGGACTTTGTGGAGAACTACAACAGCTGGATTTGGGGGCACCAGGGCCCACAGCTTCTAACACGTGTTTTCAAGAAATGGTGTTCCATCAGGAGTCTTAGGAGCAGTACGAACTGCAAAGGTGTGAGTGCTCTGCCCCGTGAGGCTTTTTATCCTATTCGGTGGCAGGACTGGAAGAAATACTTTGAAGTGGTCAACTCCTCGGAGCTTCACCACCTCTTTAATAACACTTATGCAGTGCATGTATGGAACAAGAAGAGCCAAGGTACAAGGCTAGAGGTCACATCCCAGGCTTTGCTGGCTCAGCTGCATTCTCACTTCTGCCCTGCCACGTACAATATCATGAAGAAGGACTCTGAACGGCAGTGACTGAAGGGTCAGCTAAGAGATGTTGCCCATGAGCCCACAACTCTCCAGCTGTTCCATCACAAATGAACCTTGTTTTGAAGTGAGGTGGTGAGATTTGAGGACAAAAGCCATCTGTGAGGTGTAGGTGGAGCATGTGGCTTCAGCCGATGTCTGTGCAGCTTTGTCTTGACTTTAACTGCCTACCAGCAGCATTTTGTTTCTCTGCAGGAGCTTTGCTTGGTCAAGTAGAGAAATCTCAGGAGAGGAGCATGTGCTGGGCTGCTTGTGGCAGCCTACACCAGCCTTTCAGAGAAAGAAGGCCCCTTTCTATGGCTGTAAACCTGGAAGGGGCCTTTGTAGAAATGCAGTTCCCATCACTTGATTCTCGGGACTTCTGAAGTGCAGTTTTCGAAGCAACAAAAGGATGAAAGAGCAAAGAACAGGAACTGAGGAGGAGTTAAGGATGTTCTAGAGGAGGTGTCTTGGGAAAAAATGTAGAGGAAAACAGAGAAGAAAGAAAGGGCTAAAGTGACTTTCTTTTCATTCCTTTCTCTCCTGAAGCCTTTGATGGAGGAGACTTTCTCATGTCTGGTTTGAGCAGGGAGCAGGATGCTGCAGTTTCTGTTCGATGTCATAGGTCTAAAGAGGTGGAAATTTGGTGCAAATCAGAACATGAGGATCTGAGGCCAGCTCATCATTTAGAAGGTGTTCTTGTGCAGCAATGATTTATTTTATAGTGGCTGCAAATTAACACCCTGCGATGAGCAGAAAAGTTCATCCAGATCACACCTTAAATCCCACCTGACACAGGAAAAGCTGCGTGTCTACCTTTTACAGAGTTTGTTCCTGTAACCAAATGTCCATAACTGTGTCTAAGATGCACCAGATCTTTCAGCACTTGGACGGATCCTAAAGGAAAGGCATAGTATTTCCAGGGTTACAGAGAGCTTGGTAGGGAAGCTGTACTGTCTAAATTCAAGTCCATGTATGAGTCATTTGTGGTGTGGTGGACCTCTTCAAGTAGCCTGGAGTACTCCTGCAGTTCACAGTCCAGGAGTACACATCTCTCTTGGGAGGTCTCAAGAAGGGCAGTGGAAATCTTTACTCTTCTTCCTGAGCATTTTCCCAAATTGCAGCGGAGGAAGTTAACATATTTCTCACAAGGTGCTGTTGTGCCTTTGAGGGTTCTCACCATACAGGCAAGTTTGTTGGACAAACTGTGGGAGAAAACTTGTCCCTTGCCTTGATGGCTAAAAGGATGTACTGACGATCTTACAGTTCTTGTCAGAAAACAATGAAGAAAGAGCAGTGAGAAACAAAAATAAGGTTGAGACCATCAGCATTGTTTCATCTGGTCCCCACCATACTCTAAAGGGGATTGCTGAGGCAATGAGCTTGGCACTATGATAGGGTTAATGCAGATGAGCAGAGCATTGGCCATCCCCTCTCCTACACTACTAAGATTGTGGTCTCACTGTAAAATCTCTCTGCTTCCAATGTGCCTCCTTCTTATGCCTAGGAACAGTAGTGGGGGTGGTCCAATAGCCCTTTTCATGACCATGAGTTAGTCAGACCTTCAATGTTGCCTGGCCCCAAGGTGACAGCTCATTCATGAGGTGCTTCCTGCAAGTCCTCTAAGTGTGACTCAAATGATTTCTAGATCTGCAGTTGTCTGAGGCCTCTTCTGTTCCCCAGGTCAACCATAAGCAATGTGAGGTTTGCTCAGTTCAGCCAAGGCAATAGTCAAAAACGTAGAAGACTGCGCATGCAGACTCCTGTGTTTCACTTAGGTTTATTTGTCTCTGGTGATAAAAATGAGAAATACAAATAGAAATACAAATTGACCATCACCCATCACTTTTGCAAAAACTTCCCTGTCCCTCAGGGAATGTGGCCGTGGGAGGTTAAGGAGGGTGTATAGTGTATACTTTTTTTTTTTTTTTTTTTTTTTAAATGCTGAGCTGTCACAGTGTTGATCAGAGGCCAGTGCTGCTTTGATTGAAAGTTACCTGCCCGTGAGCTGGGCAGGGTGTGTGGTCTGTGCACAAGTAGCTACTCTGGAGTGAAGTGTGGAAATGCTGGAAGATTCACTGAATTCACAGTGTGTGCATGTATGTAGTGCTGCCCCTTGGTTCTGCCCAGCTTTATGGTATATCCTTGAGGCATTCAGGATTTTGAATGTCTGCAGCTCTCCCAACACTGAACATCTTTAAGAACAAAGACTTTGTGGGGAAACAGCAGATCTTCCTGACTGTATGAACATCCTTCAATACACTAAGCGGTATAAGTGGATGCTGTTTTCACTCCCTACTCTCACTGTCCCTCTCTGTGGGGTTTTTTTCACTGCTTTCTTTAGAATTAGCTGCAAAATTGTCAGCCCTGGCCTGGTGTGTGGTCAGTGAGGCATGGTTTCTCCTTCTACTGGTTCCTTCTGTTTTGGGCCCTTTGGGCTAAACAACAGAAATCTTACTGAGCTAGGAACCCCTACCAGAGATGGTAGAATGGTGGTTGGTGATTGTAAAGGCATAGCAGGGGACACTACTGTGGCGATACCATGAATCGATTATGAGAGTGTTTGGGACCCACTGCAATGAATATCTGGCTTGATGTACCACTGTTTATTCTAGGAAAAGTGCCTTTTTGGATAAGTGGAGTGTTTTTTTTTTTGTTGTTGTTCTCTGTTTTTTTTTCCCCTGTATAGACAATGTTCCAAGGTTTGATAAGGAGAGAATCAAACCAAAGCAGCCTTTGGCCTTTTTCCCTTTGTCTTGTGAAAGAAAAATAAATACAGTTTTTACTATTACTTGTCTCTGCCATGATGTTCCATTTTGTTCTGCAAGGCGTTGGTGGTAGGTCTGAGCAATCTGTTAATTATTATGCAGAAAATAATTTTAAAGTTGTGTCCCGAAGTGACTCACTAAAATTAGGCACGTGGAATGAACATGAGACAAGTTGAGCATAAGCACATGTGGAAAGAAGGCTCTGTGGACCATGACTACGTGCCATCTTTGGGACTTGAGCGGAGGGAATAGAGGAACACACAGTGCGTATTACTGATTCCTGATCCAACCGGGTATCACCCCATCATTCATGACCTGCCATCTATCTGAAGCAAGGCATTTCAGTTGCACTCTGAAGGTCTGGATGTTATGGAATAGGAAACTCCATGAGAAATTGTGGTGCTTTTTCTCTGGGTGTGAGGCTTCAGCCTCCATTAATAGTGACAGCATCTGTGCTTTTGTAGACCTAAAAGTGGAAAGCTTGTGCTACAGCCATTAATCTCCCCCCCTTGCCTTTCAGAGCCTGATCTTAAAGACCCTGGATTTCAGGGGAGCATTTTGAGAGACTGTGAAAGGACTGGTGGAGTCTGGAGTACAGAGGAGTTTTATTGGGACTCCTTGACTCAAGAGCCAGGGAATCAGTTTTCACTTGAGATGTAAAATAGTTGCCTGTGCTTTCTTCATTGCTGATATGCAATCAAGGATGATGGGAAGGGGTTAGAAGACACTAGCTGTTTCTTGCCCTGACTCCTTTGTCCCTGAGCTCATGCAGGTTAGTTGGTACACAGGTGTGCATCAACCAGGGGTGGGGGTTGGAGATGCAGAATTGGACACTGCAACAGAAGAGGATTAAGGATGGATCCTGGACCTGGTCTTCTGGAAAGAGATTGAATGATGATTTTTTTCTCTGTGCTGGCCGAGAGCTCTCCTATGCAGGAGTTCTTGTGTTGGGGGATCTAGGATGTGCAGTAAGTAGTGATGCTCTGTAGGGCTCTTTTTGGCATAGCCCAGAAGAGAAGACTACAGGAGGAAGGCACTTCAGCTGCACCCTACCATTACAGCTTAAGCTGAGATCTTGACCTTTAAATTTGTGTATAATGATGGAGCCAAATAGCAGCTGCTGTGGCTTTGCAGTATGCTAATAGAGGTACGAGAAGTAAGAAAGTACTCTTCACAAAGTGGAATCTATGTACAGTGGGAAAATTACGTAGGTGTATAAACTCTGACAAGTTAAATGTGAAAATACTATAAGGGTATAGAAAACATTGTTTGAAAAACAATTTCCAAAATAAAGCTAGCAACATTGTTGTTAATTTTTTTTTTTTTTTTCCAACTGCAGAAGAAATAGGAATCCTGCTAGAGAGGTGGAAGGCCAGTAGGAGATGAGAGATTGAAAGGGAGTTCAGAGATCAGTTTGAACTAAACCAAAATCAATTTCTGCATCTGGCTATGCGTAAGAAGAACTTGGGGATGATTCTCTACACTGTAATCCCTCCCTGCGGGGGTTGCATGCCACAGTCTCTTGTGCATCACATGTCCATAGAATACATGTCAGGATTGAATGAACAGTCAGACGATGGGACCTGATGGGATGCATCCATGAGTGCTGTGGGAGCCGGGTGATGTCATTGTGAGACAGCTCTTTGTTATGCTTGAAAGGTCATAGAGGTCAAGGAAGTGGAAGGAAGCAAAAGTCATTTCTATCTTGCTTATCTTCAAGACGTGCAAGGAAGAGGATCCAAGGAACTACAGGCCAATCAGTGTCATCTTGAATCCTGTGAAGGTGATGGAACAAATCCTCCTTGAAGCCATCTGCAAACATATTAAAGACAAGAAAGTGGTTAGAAGTGGCTGGCAAGGATTTACAAAGGGGAAATCATACCTGGCCAAACTGATAGACTTCTGTGATGAAATGACCAGCCCAGTGGACAGAAGAGCATTGGATATTGTTCATTGTGATGTTAGTAAGGCTTTTGACACAGTCTCCATAACAGCCTCGTAGACATACTAGCAAAATGTGTACTACTTAAACACAGTGAGGTGGATTGAAAACTGTCTGAACTTCTGGACTTGAAGGATTGTGATGAGTCACACAAAACCCAGTTAGTAACTAGTGGTACACTCCAAGGATCTGTGCTGGGGCCAGTACCGTTTAATATACTTAATAATGACCTTGATGATGATGGAATGGAGTGCAACCTCGACAAGTTTGCAGATGATGCAAAACTGGAAGGAATGGTTGATATGCAAAGGTGGTTAAGCTGCCTCTCAGTGAACTCAACAAGTTGGAGAAACAAGCCAACAGGAATCTCATAAAGTTCAACAAAGAGAGATGCAACTGGTGAGGGATAACTTCATGTACTTGTGGACAAGTAGCTGCCTAGGAGCCAGCAGTGTGCCCTTTCAGCAAAGAAGACCAGCAGCGTGCTGGGCTGTTATGTAGAGTATTACCTGCAAGGTCAAGAGAAGCAATCCTTCCCCTCTACTTAGCACTGGTGAGACACAGCTGGAGATCTGTGTCCAGTTCTGGACTCCCCAGTTGGCTCAGGGGTTAGTGCTCTCATTCACTGTTCTTGTGCACCACTGCACTACCTCTGATCTTGCTCAGCAAGCAGCTTACACTGTGGCTGTAGCTAACAGCATGGGTAACATTAGGAGAATGTTTTCTGTTATGAATTCATATGCCACCATTCTCAAATAGCACTGTCACTGGGTGCAAGCTAATCCTGTCAAAGGGTTACCGTCTGAGAAAATAACAGCTGCTGCTAGCATTTTTTTACAACTGATGAAGCTACTGAGCAAGCTCACTTAACTGAAATTGAGCATGTCTGTTTTTGGAGGCTGTTACAGATCTATCTTAATTAATTCAACAAATTTCCTACTCTCTCTAAGTGTAATAGCATTACTGACCATTTTCTACTAATCTTTGACTACTGCTTATTTTATTTAGGGAGACTGAAGCTGAATTGAAGCTTAATGATGTTGCCACGACTGGCTATGTGATTTTCTGTTTGTGGCCATTACTTATGTGCCTCATTGGTTCTCTCTGTTGCAAATAACAGACAGAGTCTGTATTTTTTTTTTTTTTTTTCTGGATGACTTCAGTAAGATGCTGTCACATCTATGGCAACTTTCTGTACAGTGATTTGGGAATCGACAGCTATGAAGACTGCCATATCATTTCTCTCCACAATCTACTTATTTTTTGCAGAAACTTGCTAATATCATCTGCCGACTCCTTGCTGTGGCTTGCTTTTAATTCTTCTTACCCTATGGAGTGTCTATCCAGCACTGCATTACAGCTACACGAGTGGGTATTTTCACTGTTCTTTTATTTCAAGAGAAAACTTAAAAAGTTCTAAAAATCATGTAAGTGGAATTGGATATTGCAGGGTACACTCTGGAAAGGTGAAGTTGTGACTAAGTACCAAAGATGCAGTTAAGAGACAGGTGCCTTAAGACAAGTCCTGTGTCTGTAGCTGTAGTATCTTATGGCTTGCTCTAATATATCCATTAAAATTATAATACTTTCATCTCACCTCAAATATTTGCATATGCTTGGTCTGCCATTCTCTCTATGGTCAGAAGGAGGAGCTCTAAAGCTGTTGCTAAAATCCTAAATACTAATTCCCCTATATATACTAGGGGAATTCGCTTGTGGATTCAACTCTTTTTGGCACCACTCTGTTCTTCTATGCCTAACAGACTGATTAGTCACCTACTGAATGTTGGTATTGTCAAATCTTTTCTCTTGTTGGTAACACAAATCTGGAGAAAATGGAGATCTTCACCTGTTTTCTGGTGGGTCCCCAAAATACTCCTATCAGGCTGCTTGTGATCAGTGATATTGTTCAAGACACCTAGCAGCTACCTGGATATGTAGCAGCACTTTGCTGGACCTTTCTCCTCCTTGTGTTTGTGACTGAATTTGTAGCAAATTTACACACCTCCTACAGTGTCTTTCTGATCATATGTCCACTCTTACTTGAAGGGACACCACTAAACTCAAGAACACTTGGTTCACTCTTTGAAAGACAGCTGGGACTGATGCAATCACTTCTTCCAAGGCTTATCAGAGCTATGACACTGTGGTTTTACTTGACATACCATAAACATAGCTTTTTAATAGTTTAATGACATAAGATAGTTGAAGTTGCACTAAAATTATGCGACAAAGATAAGCAATGTAAGACAAAGAAAGAAGGGAAGGTATACCACAGTGTACTTTCATTTAGCCTGTGAAGCTAGATTTGGATGTTCGTGACGTACTCTAGCCAATCTCAGCTGTACCAGATTCTCCAGTCCAGCCCTGTCTCTAGCATTAGGTCTCATGCTAAGAGCTGCAACTATCCTTTGCTTCCCCAGCAGTGCCTTCCTTAAACCCAGAAGGCCATTTTTAATGCACAGAACTGCAGGAATGATAGTTGAATTTGCCACGAGGGGGCGCAGCTATTGATTTAAAATGTTGGCATGAAAGGGACCTTCCAAAGCATCTTGCTCAGTTTAAGGTAAAAAACCATCTCTAACCAGTCTTTCTTGTAAATCTGCATTTAAGTATGTTCTGAGGGACATCAAAGAATTATATTCTCAAACCATTTTAGTTAACAGAGGTAGATATAGGTTGTATTTCTCTTACAGGTTCCCTTCTTCTGAGATAAGTGTGAGCACCATGTTTGTTTCCTTGTCACTGCTGAGTGAGATCTAGTAAATGTGGGGACCAAGAAGCCAACATAAGGAACGCACAAAAAGGGAGGGCAGTGGGAAGGCTTTGAGGACAGAGAATCCACCTCATCTCCTCTGAACACAGAGCCACTATGTTTGGGTCTTCTTCCCAACAACCCTAGAGATGTGTACTACATGCAGGCAGGCTCACAGGTCAGGCTCTGGTTATTTTCCTTCTAAGACTGGTTCAAAGACCTCAGAAGACTGGAAGGAGGAGTTGTTCCCTCTACCTGGGGTTATGTCAGCTGAATACTGTTAGTGTTTGTACTTGCTCTTTCTACACTGTGGGAGTACTCAGTCACAATTCCAGTTTTCCCAGGGGTCCACTTCTTTGGGAGTATTGTGAATTGATCAAATATTCAAATTTTGAACTGACTCTTATTCATGTTTTCTACAGCCTCAGCAGCTGCCTGCTCAGCAGTTCAGCTTCTCTCTTCCCCACAGCCTAGGAGCTGGGCCTGTTGCTTCCCTGCACTCCACAGGCAGGCCAGCTTAGGAGGGAGCAGCCTGGTTGTCAAGACAAAGAGTATATATAACAGCAAGCATGAATTCCGACAGCCAAAATCACAGGCAGCCAAGATCACCCAGTGATCACCCTTCCCGGTCCATGTCGTCAGGTGATCAGTGAGTGCCTGGATATCAGGGATCATTTGGCTTCTCTTTTGCAGTTTTCTTCTCGCAACACTTTAGGCAAACCAGAATCCTTAGTCTGTGCCTCTCTTCCTATCACTCTCTATTCTTCCTCTTCTCACCTTTTGCTCAGCAGGTGTATTTGCTAATAGCTAGATGATCCCTTTGCACCTTCTTTCATATAATTTTCTGCTTACTTGCAGGTCTGTCTAGCTTCACAGGTTAAATCTGCTAATTGCAAACAACATTTGCACTTCTGCAATATACACAGCAACAGTTTTCCTGTAAATATCTGATTGCCTCTGGCTAAGACAGTTGTTTATACTGGTTTAGACCTGGAGGTTTGAGACCTTCTGCAGAAGTCATGATCTGAGAATTATACAGTTCTAATGTAATTATGTAAAAGCAATTAAAATTGCTTTCAGTGTGAACTGAGAACATAACATTTCATTCTCTGACATTGCTAAATGCATACCCTTAAAGAATTTGAACAGCTTATTTCTTGCCATTTAGTATCACTATTTGAACTGTCACAAAGATCGGCTGATGTTCTATAACAATATCACTCCACAGCGTACATTTTTTCCTATTAGGAATGATTTACTAGGTTTCGGGGACTTCTGAGTATCTGCTGTTACAATTTGAAAAGTAAAGGATTGCAGGAACTGGTGATGCTTGTTTGTTTTCATGTACAATTCATGTTGTACCATCACCCAGTCATCCAATTATCATCCAGTTTTGGGTTGTTTCCATTTTTTGCTGTCTGTGGTTTTGCTACCAAGGAAAATACCAGTGAAGCACATTTACAGTCATGTAGGGCAGGGGAAAGGGTGCTCCAGTACCCCTTAGGTTCACCAAGAGTAGATGTGAGCATGTGCTGATCCAGCAGCACCAGATGGGTTGAAGTCCTTGTATTGTGGAGTTACAAGATCATCTATGATAGCAGCCTTATGTCTGTTCCCTTTGTACTATGTTTTATCATTTTTGTGCTTGGAACAAGGAAAACTTGCTCTCATTTAAATGTCAGCCTTTATCTTATGCAGTAAGGTGTCTTTACATTTTACAATTTTTGTTTGGGCTGGGTGTTTTGTTTTGTTTTGTTCTGTTTTGTTTTTTCTTTGCATATTTCCAGCACTGCACTGGTTACCTAGGCCTTTGTATGTAACAAGCAAGGTCGTGAAAATGATATGCAGTATTTTGCAAATCATCTATTGTCCAAAAATATTCCTTAGCAGGTTTCTTGCTCTGTTGAAGAAATTCCTGAGGCATGTGAGTATCTAACCAGACCTTGTCACGCTCTCAGAGGCTCTCAGCATCTGCCTGTTTCTGCACTGGTACGAGAAACATTACGTTCCTTTCATTGGAGCATTGAACACATTGTGGGAAGAACGGAGGCAGACATGTCTACATCAGGAGAAGGACCAGTGACCAGGTCCAGGACTAGGACCAGTGTCCCCAGAGACATCTTATTATTGTCACTGGGGATCTAGTCAATGGACTATGCAGGGTCATTCAGCTAACCCTAATGCAGATTACACAAGCAGGTAAGTGACTGCAGGCATCACTGTCTGTAATGGGAACACAGGTGTCTTTACTACGGACTTTAAAATTAGGTGAGAGAAAGCCAACCGTGGCTTTTGGCAAACCTGGGCAAAAGGCCACTAAGATGAGAAAGGGACTGGAGCACATGATGTACAAAGAGAGTCTGAGAGAGCTCTGATCATTTTTGCTGGAGAAGAGCAGGCTCAGGGGGTGTCTTGTTAAAGTGTATAAATATCTGATTGAAGATAGGTGGGGTAAAGAAGATAAGCCAGACTCTTCTCTCTGGAAACCAGTGATAGGAAGAGACACAATGGGCACATATTTAAATACGGGAAATTAGAATGAAAGAAATGGTGGTGAAACACTGGAACAGGTTGCCCAGAGAGGTTGTGGAGTCTCTGTCCTTGGACAAAGTCAAAAGCCAAGAGGACATGGGTCTGAGTAACCTGCTCTAGGTGACTCTGCTTTGAGCAGGATAGTTGGACAAATGATCTTTAGAGGTGCCTTCCAACCCCAACCCTTCTGTGATTCTGTGACTAGATTAGGCTTGACCTGAGGTCTGGAGAGTTCCATCAATGAAAGGGCTGGCAATAGTGTAAGGTGCTTTCCAAAGGACTTCCCCTGTGTTGGCAACTTATGAGTCTATCTGTAGTGCTGCAGTGCTTGGAAGGATTTGGGGAGGGGAGAGGGGTCTGGGAAGCTACAGACCAATAGGCCTGATGTTCGTTGCAGGCAACTGGGTAGAAACTGCAGTAAACCCTACACTTAATGGCTGTATGGATACTGTATGTATTTTATGAATACATCAATGTGTCTTCTGTAAGGGAAGGTCAGCCACCATCGAGCACAGGGACAAGGGGGAACTCTGTCATAAAATGAGGGATACCTGAATTTGTCAAAGTCATTTAATGAAGTATCCGACATAAGAGGGAGTATTCCCAAATTAACAAGTAAATTAATTGCTTAAGAGAGTGTGTATTCAAAGCAACATTCAGAACTGAAGTCTAGGGTGGGAGGAGGTAGCTCTATGAAGCTCTCAGCTCAGTTCTCGTGGCAGCCACCCAAGCAGCATGAGCACTGGGAATTCATAGCAAAAGAGTAGAAAACAAGACAGCAACCAGTTTCCTGCTGTAGTATAAAGCTTAATGTGTAGTGATAACAATTTTTTTTCTTTTTTTTTCCTGATTAATTTCTAATTAGATGGGTTCTTCACAGCACAGCTGTATAATGCTTATCAGCCACTGCATTAGCTGAACATATGATGTCACATCCTCCTTGATCTGCTTGTTTTCTCCAACGGTTCAGACTCCATTTTTCACCATTTCCTTTCAGAAAAAGGAAGCACCAGATCATGTAGTTATAGGCAAGCTCAGAGATGCTAATCTCTCGAAAATCTTGTCCAGCTGAGCAGTGACTTCTGTGGTATCTTGAAAGCAGGGGCAGGTAAGTAGTATTTGCAGTTTCTGTGCAATGGCACTTGCGATTTCAGAGGAAGGTAGAGTGCCAGATTTCCTGGTTTTGTTTTGTGAAATAAATGTATTGGCTAATGCAGCGTCTAAAATGTCCTCTTATCCGTTACAAAAGCAGAAGCTTCCTTCTAAATACATAGAAGTGCGACTGTAGTAGAAGTTTCACCTCTCACTAAAAATATGCATGTAACCTTGAAGCTTGCTCACAGTTGGATTAGAGCTGCACGTTTTCCTGTCTTCTCTACAGCAAAGGCTCTGGTCCCCTCAAGCCTGTACCTGCTTTCGTTTCTACAGTTTACCAAGCTAAAAATAATTTACAGGATTCAACCAGCTGTGGTGTGGAGGGAGGGGGAAATAGGTATGTAAAAAGTAAAGTGGTTTTTTTTTGCTGCCTGTAACACTTGCAGCACATGCTGGCATTTATCTGCAGGAGAAGAAACGGTTCTGGGAATCCAGAGCTGATTTGTGTATTGGCTGCCTCCTCTGTCCCCCAAGCCCCAGTGCCTACCGGAGAGCAGCGCTCCATAATGTTGCATTTGAAAACCTTCCAGTGCAGAAGTCAAATAATTTTCTGATTAGGCAGAGTTTAGTATGTGACCCAAACACAGTAACCAGGGCTGAATGACAAATGGGATTGTGTCAGCTGGGTTTTCTGTCCTGTTCCCTGTCTGTTTGGTTACAATTGTTTAATTAAAGTTTTTATTGTTTCCTGAAGCTCTCTGTCTGGAGCATAGGGATTTGAATCTGGAGATAGAGCAGAGGGAAGCAGGAGAAATCATAGAATCATTTAGGTTGGAAAGGACCTTTAAGATCATCGGGTCCAACCATAAACCTAATACTGCCAAGTCTACCACTAAACCATGTCCCTAAGTGTCACATCTACATGTCTTTACCTCTAGGGATGGTGACTCAAGCACTTCCTTAGCAGCCTGTTCCAATGCTTGACAACCCTTTTGGTGAAGAAATTTTTCCTAACATCTAATCTAAACCTCCCTTGGTGCAACTCAAGGTCATTTCCTCTTGTCCTAAATGCCACAATCCTACTCGCTGCTTCTTCATGTGCTTTTGTGCATCGACCTTTGGGGGACCAGTGGTCATCCCTGGAGCTGCTAGTTCTGTTCTCCTTTACTCTAAGGAGAGGCAAGGACAGAAATGATGCTGCTGCTGTTGAGAATGCAGCTAGAATGACTTCTCTTTTTGTTGCTGCCTTGTTAATAATCTCTTCCTCTCCATCCCTCCCTTTTTCAGGAGGAAGAGAGGAAGTAAGGGTAGGGTGGAAGGGGAGATTGCATATCCATCCCCAGCTGATTCCATTGGCAGAGCTGAGCAGGTCACAGCCAGTAGGGCCTTTGCATCCTGGGTTGGTGACATTTGGGTTAGCCAGCACCATCTACCAAAGGAGGTTGAAGTGAGGACTTGACAGGGGAGCAGGGTTGGGAAACAGCCTTGAAATTCTCTTTACCTAGGCAGTTCTTGTCTTTATCATCTGCATCTGCCTTTAAAGCTGCCTTGTATCAATTCCCCTCCCACTATCCATCCATTCTGCTATGCTACAGTGCCCTGAAAAGTAAGCCAGGCTCTCTGTAGGTGTGAGTGATTGATTTTGAAAGGCAACAACTGCTGGGTCAACAGACTGGAAGACTGAGGCCTCTTGGTAGGAACTGATGACAGCACTGAGGTTTTAGTATTGTGTTTGGTATGGGGTAAGGACAGGTTGTATATCAAGAGAAAAAAACTGTCATGAGAAAAAGCTCTTGTCAGGGCAGTAGTTCCACACAATGTCTGCTGACAGAGCTCCAGAAATATTTATAAGGAGCATTCCTATTTGCTCATCCTAGGGTTTTTTGCACATGCCTCATGTCCAGAATGACCTGAATGTCTAAAAGATGATAGATAAGGTTTATAATGCTGTTCCCAGCATTTGTTGTCCACCACCATGAAGGTATGCCATTTGTGTCAAATGCTGTATATCCTTCCAAATGGCAAGCACAACTTACATGGGCAATATACATGGGCAGAACTGAGGATCAGTCTTGGTTTTTGATATACAGAAAGGAGAGACTTGTCATTATTTTTTGCTTGAAAGAGAGGAATCCAAAGATGGGCAGTAGTTTCTGATGTGGGATCTGAAGGCCCTGTGACAATACAGAAAATCCAGGAGATTGTTTCAAAAATTACCAAAATGCCTAATTTATGCATGCTGCCCTGAGGTGAAGGAGAGTTCTGCTGCACCGTGGCACTGTCCCAAGGCTTGTGGTCTGCTGCCTTCCCTGTCAATGTCTTTTTCTTCTTTCTTCCCCTTCAGATCACCATGGTTGTTTTGGGAGAGCAGGCTCTGATGGGAGCAAGAATATCCAGGATGCCCAGCTGTCTGCTAAAACTGACCAGGGTGGTGCTGAGCCACAAGCTCAGGGCTATATTTATCCTCACCATTTCATCTGTGTTCTTTGCCTCTGTCATGTTCTACTGGAGAACTTGGAAGGATATTGGGGGCCCGCTTTACAGCTTGTCTACACAAAGCAATTGTGAACAGTCTTTGCCTTGCCTTATCTGTCCCGCTGCCAGTGGGCCTCCTTCTTCCCCAGGGGATGTGTTTTTTGTGGAGACCTCAGAGCGAACTAACCCAAGTTACCTGTTCATGTGCTCTGTGGAGTCAGCAGCCCGGACGCACCCTGGGACAAGGGTCGTGGTGCTCATGAAAGGTTTGGCAAACGGTAATGCCTCGTTACCCAGCCACTGGGGCTTCTCGCTGCTGAGCTGCTTCCCCAACGTGGAAGTCCGGCCCCTGGATTTGACAGAGCTTTTTTCTGGAACACCTCTGGCACAGTGGTACTTGCAGGCTCAGCAGCGCCGGGAGCCTTATTTCTTACCTGTCTTGTCTGACGCCTGCAGAATTGCCATCATGTGGAAATTTGGTGGCATCTACCTGGACACAGACTTCATCGTGCTCAAGAACTTAAAGAACCTCACCAATGCCCTTGGTATCCAGTCTCAGGGTGTACTGAACGGGGCCTTTCTGTCCTTTAAGCCTAAACACAAGTTCATGGAGCTTTGCATGAAGGACTTTGTGGAGAACTACAATGGTTGGATCTGGGCACACCAGGGCCCACATCTCCTAACGCGTGTCTTCAAGAAGTGGTGCTCCATCAGTAATATCCAGAACGCTATGAGCTGCAAAGGTGTGAGTGCTCTTTCCCCAGAATCCTTTTATCCTATTCAGTGGGAGCACTGGAATAAGTTATTTGAGGCAATCACCTCCTTGGAGCTTCACAAGCTCCTTAATAACACTTATGCAGTACACGTATGGAACAAGTTGAGCCATGGGACAAGGCTAGTGGTCACGTCTCAGGCTTTGCTGGCTCAGCTGTATTCCCAGTTCTGCCCTGCCACATTTGTGAAGATGAAGGACTCTGATGAGCAGTCAAGGCCTGCCACATAACCTGTAGGCTCTTGGCTGCTGGGAAGCTCTCCAACCTGAAGGAAAGTGAGTGCCTTTCGCCTTCCACAGAGTTGGTTTCTAGCCCGTAGAGCAGGAATTCTGTGTGACAGCTCAGTGATTTTGTACCATTTCTTATATCTGTCTCGCATCTTATGTGCTTCAAATATACACTAGAACCTGAATTCGGACTCTCTTGTTGTCCTTCAGTAACCCTTGATGCTACAGGGAAGGGTGAACTTGTTCATCAGTGCCTACCAGTTGCTCATCTACTGCTGTTCTCTGAATTGTTCCTCCTGTGTATCAGGCCCAAAAAGCCTCTTGTGGAGTTTAAACAGCTGTAGGAACCCTTGGTTTGCTCTCTCTAATGTTTTTAACTATGTAAATAAATGCCAGCCAGTGCTATAGGACACGGTTTACTGGAGCTTAGGACCAAATTCCCTGTGTGTTAAAGATTCTTACAGCTGGTGAAGTATATGGAGAGTATATGAAAATTGCTTTAAGAAACGGAAAACATTTTGAATCCCTACATGGCTCAGTGTAAAGTTTTTCTTGCTTTCCAAATGTACTTTATTTCAAAAGATCTTTTATAGTGTTTTACATTCCACAGAAATAGACCAACTCTTCTGGTCCTCTTCAATAAAACAAATAGAAAAAAGCAGTTCTTTTACCAGTGTGAGTAAAGACTCTTGTTTTGTTGAAGAAATTCTTGTGGAATGTGCGTATCTAACCAGACCTTGTCACGCTCTCAGAGGCTCTCAGCATCTGCCTGTTTCTGCACTGGTACGAGAAACACTACGTTCCTTTCATTGGAGCATTGAACACATTGTGGGAAGAACGGAGGCAGACATGTCTACATCAGGAGAAGGACCAGTGACCAGGTCCAGGACTAGGACCAGTGTCCCCAGAGACATCTTATTATTGTCACTGGGGATCTAGTCAATGGACTATGCAGGGTCATTCAGCTAACCCTAATGCAGATTACACAAGCAGGTAAGTGACTGCAGGCATCACTGTCTGTAATGGGAACACAGGTGTCTTTACTACAGACTTTAAAATTAGGTGAGAGAAAGCCAACCGTGGCTTCTGGCAAACTGGTGTGGAGCCAGTGAAGTGGTAGACCTGCTGTCGATCTGACGACCATTCGCTCATCTGTATGTGTTTCTTGTGTGTCCAGGGCACTGTAATTGTAAAAATGCATTTGAAATTACCTCTTATGAAATGAGGAGAGGAGAAAAAAACCTCATACTGTGGTTCTGCTTGTGTCAAATCAAAGTTCCTGTCTGGAAGGCAAAGTGTAAGCAATGTGTAGTTATTGCTCTTTCAGGTATGCAGTAGCTAACAAATAAGAGAAATATGTGCATCAATTTTAATATGGCCTTTTCCTAAACTTCATTATTTGCTGAAAAGTACTGTTATGCACATAGGAAGGCTGATGTAAGTTTGATGAGCCTTTAATATGAGCAGCAGTATGTTTTAACATTTGTCAGACACTGAGCCATGGCACACTATTGATTAAACACTCCATTACAGACCAAAAGCGAGTCACTAATTTTTACTCAAAATGAGTTGTATGGAACAGCACATCAACTTACTCCGCCACCCGGTTTTCTGTGTGTGTGTGTGTCTGTCCATCCGTGTCCCCCCCAAAGAAATATTGCCCGATCACTCCAATACTAGTCTTCGCTACTGGTGCTGAGGAGTACTGGATATGCTGTTCCAATGTGGCGCCCATGGCGGCAAACAACCATCTGTAGCTCATATTCCTCTATCTTCACTGTTTCACGTGTGACTCTTTCTTCAGCCAGCAGGAAAATGACGGTGTAAAGGGCAAATTCAAACTCTGGGCTGACACCAATAAAGGTGCTTCCAATTGGCTTGACCGAGCCCTTCCAGCTGAATTGGATGCTTAAAACTTGGTCATCTTTGTCAGGCTGAAAGCATAAACAAAACAACAGAATAATCTCCAACACAGCTGTGACCAGACAGATGTAATTTCTGACTCCAGATTTTTGAGAGCATTGCAAGATTCAGTCATTCTTGCTGTGACAGGGTGCTATAGCTGGAGCAGGGCCTTTTCTCTGTCTTTTGGAGTATACGTGATCATTTATCTCAATTAAGCTTCAGCAGTCTTACGATTCTGTAAACACCAGCACTAATTTTTTCAATAATTTTTGCAAAAAAAAGAAGCTGGATTTGAGGGCATGATATTATTTCTTTTGCTTATATACACCTGAGAAAATTAGATACAAATCAATTGAGCCTATGATTGCATCATTGTGCCTTGATTCATTACCACAGCTTTTATCTCTGGATCTATTTGTCTTATTTGCTTGTTCTTACCCTGGTTTTGTTCTTCCGAGTGACATATCCCTTGTAGTCAATTTGGTTGTGCTTTTCCTGACGGTAAAATTGCACCCAGTTGTGCAAACCTAAGATCTGTTTACCACGCCTTGTTTCTCCAACAAAAACATGTTCAAAACCACAAGAATCAGGTCTGTAATAAACCAAAGAATAGTAGATGGGTTTTTTATGTGTTTAAGTAGTTCAAATTAGCAGAGGTAAAAGGCAAGAAGATACACAACCTTGCTTAGGTTGATTTGTGATCAGTTCTTAAAATTCGTCTGGATTTGTTGCATTTTCTTTCTTTCTTTGCACAAAACTTGCAATGAAATCTAGCCACAAAGTCTAAATTTGTATTTGGTGATGAAGGTTGCTAGTAAATGCCACAGATGCATCACTGTTGCTTATCCAGATTTTAGCGAAGCTTCTGACACTGCCTCAACAGATTTATAGACAAACTCACAAAGTACAGATTAGAAAAGTGGATGATGTGGTGGGCTGAGAAGTGGATGAATGTCTGTGGTTGAAGGCCTCTGACTAGGGACACAAAGTGCAGATGGAGGCAACTCACTGGCAGCATACCCCAAGGGTCAATACTGTTAGTGTCTGAGCAGTAAGTCTTTAAATATGATCTGTGTGGGAGCTGTGAACACCTGATTTATGCCATATTCTGAGGCTGTCTTCCAGTTCTGTGTGTAAAAAATGGCACTCGGGCTTACATCTACCTAAATCAAAATAGTGTAGAGATTATCAGCAGCCATATCGATCAAACATACCTGTCTCCTTCTTTCCTGGCATAGAGCTGGAACCAGATGTCATAGAGCTGATATTTGAAATCTGCAAGATTTGGCTTTGCGAGGTTTTTTTTAAGCAGATATTCATGAGCTAGCTGAAGAATAGAAAACCAAGATATATACACAGTTTACATTTTAATTCAGTGTTTTCAGTGGCTAAAAAAGATCTGTGTTACTCACTTTCATGACTTCTGTCTCTAAGATAGCATCAAGAAAGCAATTGTTTTCAACTATTTCTTCTGGAGTCACTACTTCTGCTACACCAGTTGATGTCTCATAGTTGTCCAATAAGGAAATAAAGGCTGCAGAAAAAGAGAAGCTTTCAGCATGCTCACCCTGATGAACAGGCCATATGCCTAATCATACCTGTGATCCAGACATTAGAGAGTGCCATCATAAATAGATGCTATATAATATGCTTTGAAATCCCTGAAAGCAAGACATTCTTTTATATGTCAGTTTTTATTCTCAGGTACACTGTTTGGGTGTAGGTCTAGAGGTGACTGAAGGCCAGACCACTGCTGTACTTCTTTTAAACTGCTTGCTACTGAGCTTCCTTATGGAACAAAGTGCTGAAGCAATAATGACCTACCAAAACAAATAATATCTGATCATCAGAATTACATAGGCTTTTGAACTTCAGCTATGCTGGCAGAAGGCTTTGTGGGCATTACTTCAATAGAGCAATAACACAGCAAAAACCTACATGATATGGCTTGAGCATGTGGCCACTGAGTGGATGGGTTCATTTTCTCCTTTGTACCCCTTTTGCCATTTGCTCCTTCCCATCACTTCATCTACCTGTGCTCTGACACTCAGTGGACTCTGGGGACGGATTCAGCACACCAGGCTGATAGAAAAATGCTTGAGGTCAAAAACCTAAGTTGTTTCCTGCCAGGTTAGTGAGCTGAAGGGACCCAGCGTAGGGTTCAGTGAGTACCAGAGCTGCCCTCATTAGACACAAGATTGTGTGGCTTGGAGTGGGGGAGAACAGAGACAAACAGTGCCCCCCATTATGCTGGCTGTTCAATCAGCTTAATGGGAAGGAAATATACATTCGTAGACATGCTTGAAGTTTAGCCCCCAACAGAAATGAAGGAAGTAGCCCTCTGAAAGGGCTAGAAACTGTGAGCAAAGGAGGACAGATGACTGGCCTCTTTTTTGATACATGGAGTAACATCAAAGCAATGACAAGAGCCTCATCCATTCCACTTTGTGGTGGAAGAGCCACAGAGAAATTCAGATTTTAGCTAAGACACAAAAGGATGTTCTTGCTGAGGCTACAGGTAACCTCCATGCAAATGTTGTGGAAACTGCCTTCAAATGACATGCAGCCTGATGATCCTCGACCTCCATCCATATTATAGATGAAGTTACACTCTAGGCAAACACATAAACACCAACACATATTCTTCATGTAATTTCGCAACAAAAGAATGGGTCTCACTTGCAAAAGTTTTTATGCTCTTCAGGCGCTCTTCATTTACGCTGTGAAACAAACGTCTGCTTGCACTGTCCTGGACAGCACTGTCGCCTTGCTGTGCAGCACCTGCTTTGCCCTAGGAGAAACACCAGAGTAAGATAATGAAAGAAGTAAGATGTCCTTAGAGGAGACAGTGCCTGCCTTTGTAATAAGCAAAACAAAACCCATAATGCTATCAGGTTATTTGTTAGGAATGGCCTTCCTATGAAACAAGAGAAGACATTATAGAAGAACTGCTAGCATAAATAAAAAAAGATGTAATCTCTGACACTGTAAGAGTCTGAGATTTCTTTGTTAACTCATTTTCAGAGATTATTGTGATGACCCATGTGGTAGCTCAGTTCTGACCAGTAACTAGCTGTGCTACTATGCTATATACATCACAAATTATGAAGAGAAGTAATGTAGAGCCAAGGCTCCCTCTCACCACAAATAAATAGAAAGGAGATTTGAGCACCTTCCTTCTCTGTTCATTTGTATCCCACAGACCCACTGCACATAGTTTATGAGGCCATGCAGTGCGGCAGAGGGCTTGTTTCTTTCCTCAGTCTTTACTCCCCAAGCTAGCCAGTCTAATTCTCCTCTTCTCCATGATAATGTTTAAGCAATCCAGCTCCTGAGCAGGCTCCCTCAGGCTCAGCCTTTGTTTTCTAACTTCATGACCACAGTCCCAGCCATCACACCCATGCCTTAGAGATGTGAGATAGTTCTGTGCAGCTCCATCAGCTTTGGACTGGTGCATCCCGGTGCTCTGAAATTTTCAAATACTTCTAGTTGGCCAGGTTTAAGCGCATTTTAATCAATGTTACCAATAAGCACATCTAAAATGGAAAGGAGGCTTTCCTGGCAGTTTTCAAATTTCTGTTCCAAAAAGGACATTCTCAAGAAAAGAAGAGAAAAAGTAAGTAGCAGTTTGTTAACATGGGCAAGAGGTAACTAGAGCCTTGTTCTGAGAAATGGAGAAACCATATGGGAGAAGTTTTTCCCACACACATGTTGGCCTGAGGTAGGTGCCCCCTTTTCAAGTTATCAGCAACAGAAAATTATATCTTATAATATGAAGCAACATTAGAATAAAGTGTTTGAGCACTGGTGTGAGTACAAAATTGGATACTGAACAGTCAGTGGCCTGCTGCACTTTGTGACCAAAACACATGGCCATGTTTGCACTCCACTGAGTGGACAAGGATTGAAACGGCTGCTCATCAAATGTGATACCCACTCCTCCCTCAGTTTCCTGGGACTGGTAGCAGCAAACTTGAAAACCTCCTCTCCCACACCTCTGCTACTCCATATTCTCCAGAAGACACACAGGAGTTCCTCAAATTCCTTCCTTATTCCCCCAAGAATGACTTGGGACCTATCTCCCCTTCTCCCTCACTGCAAGTCACCCAGACAATCCACACAAGAAGTCACACGCACAGAGAAACATCCAGGGTGGAGGGGACCCCAGGACATCTCTAGTCCTCAAAGTATGGTCAACACTGAATTCAGACCATATTGCTCAGGGTGTCATCTTGATGGGTCTTGAAAACCTGCAGAGGTGGAGATTTCACAGCTTCTCTGGGCAGCCTGTTCTGGTTGCATTTGTCCTTGTTGAATTTCATGATGTTCCTTCCTTAGCCTATTCCTCCAGCCTGCCTAGGTCCAGATGAAGAGAAGCCCTGTGCTTGAGCATACCAACCTCATCACCACAGTTTGCTGTCATCTGTAAGATTGGAAAGGTTGCACTCCATCTCCTCCTACAGGCCTCTGATAAATATATTATGTTTTAGGACCCAAGACAGACACCTGACAGACTCCACTTGTAACAAGTGTCCAGGTAGTGTGGACCATTAATGTGTTCTTTGTACTATTCCCTCTCCTAAGCGATTCTTCATCATTAAGATAAGTGTAAATGACAAAGCATAGGTGACTGTTTTAGCAAAAGGCAGTTTTCTGGACACCTTTTCCTACAGTACTATAATGCCCTTAATCCTCTTGTGACTTAGCAACTGGTTACCTGCAAATCAATTGTGTAGTCTCTCCCAGGCATAAGGCGGTTAACATCCATATCCCACATCTTGTTGAAAAGTTTAGAAAGTTCATGATTTAAGGCTTTCCTGTCAATAAATCCAGAGAAACACACATGTTAAAAAAGACAAATGCTATTATTTCTGCAAGACATTTCTACAGTCTTCTATGTTACTCTATGTTCTGGATACTAGCTTGTCATCAGGAGAGCTTTCTCTTCTCCCCACACCTTCCTGTCAGTGCTGCTCTAAAAACTATAGATCTTACAGTTCACGTTCATATATAAAGAATGCAGGTAACCTGTAAGGAAACTTGAGCCTTCCCTCAGGATATTTTAGAGTATATTTTAACAAATTTCTTGTTAATAAGCCTTCCTGTGGTGTTCCATGCACTGAAATACAAATGAAGATGGTGGTGTTTCATTCAGGAGGATTCTGTGCATAAACCAGAGGCAAGCAGGAGATCATGGTGCAGCAACACTACACACAAAAAAAAAAAAAAAAACAAAAAACAAAAAACAAAACAGGAAGCAAAGAATTTTCTCTATGAAGTTTTTCTAGCAGTGCTCTTACATACACTCTTCCTACCTTTTTTCCTGCAAGACTCCATACTAGAGATGTTTTCCTTTGCCCATACACATGGTTCTCCTAGCATAAAGTTAGAATGATGAAAGATGACCAAGACTCTAAACATAGGGTCTGCATACAATAAAATTCTCTCATTCACTGATCTCTGATGCACATACAAACCTACCCAGGCTGGTCCTTTCCTCATTTTAATGGAATTTTGTCCTACATAATAGTGCATGGTTTTTAGAAGTCTATCCATGCCTCTATCAATAAGATCTAGGAACGGTTGTTATTGTGATGAACTGGCCAAAGGTGACTCCTTTGGCCAGTTTCAAGGTCATTGTGTCCACACTAGCACATATGATCAAGACAAAGAACAGAGTGGAGAAGTAAGAGAAGTGGATTAATCTTTAAATGACTGACAGCTGAATTAATCAGTTACAAACCAGCACGTGTGTCAAAACCCAGAAAAGAACTGCTTGGTAATTTTGAATTTCTTATCCAAAGCAGATATTCTTAAGAAAAGAAAAAAGTGTAAAAAGTTGTCAGAAACTGGCATTTAATTCAAATAGCCATTTAGACAACATGCCATGATTTTAACAGCTGGCTCTTCCACACCTTCAAGCCCAACTTTGAACCTCCTAACTGATTACTGTTCTGTCTTCTCGTTCTATTCTGGCCAGAATGGAGATGTTCGCTGCACCCTCCTGCCAGTGGCAAATTACATGTTCTTTAACAGAAAAAGCAAACAAATATTGTGTGAGGGCACAGAGAATCTTCTGATGTGGCAACCTTGAGGTGAGGCAGCTTGAGCAACAGGAAGAAAAAAAAGTGAGCCAGGCGGGAAACCTGCCCCATTGTTCACAGGAAGCGAATAGAAGTCACAGCAGAAAACAGGGCATTAATTGAGTGGTTGGAGAATAGTCTAGAAGCAGTACAGCAAGATTTTATGTGCCTTCTCCTGTCCCAGACTGCGCTTCATGGCCAGCTCAGAAACTGCTGGTCTAAGCTCCATATTGAAAGAAACAGAAAGCAGCAAGCTGTGCCTGGAGAACTGACACTTTTTTTTTTCTTCACATTATAGAGCAACCGTTTTTCTCCAGATTTGTCTGTCTAAGTGTGAGACGGAACTCATAGAGCCTAAGTTTAAAATCCTGAAAATCATAAGCAATCTGTGCCTAACTCCTTGAGAGCTTGTTGCCCAAAGAAATTAATATCTCTGGGTTGAGAGCCAAAAGCGGTCAGTTTACATGAATGCATCAAAGGATAAGCTACAGCAGCTGGGGAGCATAAAGAACATACATGATATTCATATTATACACAGCATTATTCAGAGTGGGGAAAGCAACCTCCTACAGAAGGGCAGGGCAGACAACCGTAACTACTTCAGCTGCCACACCTCAGTCTGCCTGCAACTGGGAATCCGAGCCATCGTGCACCTCGGCTATGCTTGGGCTCTGTGCTACTTTGAGATCGTTGTTGATGGGAAATCTACAAGATTGCTTGAATTTTGAACTGGTTTTGAATCAGTGTCAATACTTGAAAGAATGAAAAGAACTGAAATTCTAGTACATGGGAGCCAGAGGATATGTTTGTTGCTAGAGTTAAACACGAATATGAAGGAAGATTTTTTTTTTTTGCTTGGAAGAAGTACTTGCATGGAGTGGAGCAGAAGGTGGCTATCACGGAGGAGCTATATTCACCCCTTACCCAAACCCCAGGCTCTGCTTACACAGCAGACGTGTGGCTTGTGGCATCTCATTATTGATACTGGCTGTGCAGCCCAAACAAGGCACCTGCTCAACTTCATCGGGAGTTAGCCTCACGGCATATCACAGAAGCCACCACCACCAGCATTTTTATTTATTTTTCAGCCATACCTCCACATTCTTTCCAGAGTCTTCATAAGAGCAATTCCTTCTCAAAAGAGCTTGTAAACCAACACTAAACAGAAAATTGTTCATCTCACCAGCTCAGCTGAAGTCCCAAGAAACAGGATTGGCGAGTTCATAGAACAGTACAGGAGAAGTTTTTCAAACTTAAAAGTCTACATTCATGTTACCTTAGACTGGCCTAATTTTACTGGATCACTTTTCTCCTGGGTTCTGGACCCTCCTGCTGTCTACTCCTCTGCAACAGCTTATCCCATCTGTTTGAGTACCGCCATATTATGTTTAATATATTTTTTACTTTGGAAGTAACTACCAGTGGCAGATAGGCATCTGCTATCTGTTGAACATCCAAGGTATGTGAAATATTAGGGGGGATGTCAGGTGGTTTTAAAAATATTTTGTTCCATATATATAGTATTTTATATACATATATTTTAGTATGCATGTATTTTGGTAAAAGTCCCCTATACAGGAAATCTGTCATCCCTTCAGTACCTACTGCTTGTTCTCGTCTGCTTTTGGCAGGTTTGTCCTGTGTTTATAAAGTACTGTAGGGCTCTGTTTAGCCTTCTTCCTCTAGAAATGTTATGGAATATTGCATGAGCTCATGGAGACAAGTTCAAGGTGTCTACTCAGGAGAGGGTTACAGCAAGAATACCTACAGATTTCAGTCCTCATATTTATTTAATAAATACAGTTCTATTAAATGTATTCCTGCATTCAGAAAATGTGTCCCAAAACTCTAAAGTCACTTAATTTTATAAAAGAAAAGCCTTTTCACTCCTTGTTCTCTGCTGGGTGCTACCACAATATCATCATGGATTTTTCATCTCCTTTTTGTTGTCCCTTCAGTTTCCAAACAGAGCAGAGCACCCGTACACACTGCAACTGAAGCTTTGAATAAACAAAAATATATCCCTGCCAAAGCAAAGAACTCGTTTACCAACTCACATAGTCATCTTGTAAAAACTCTTTCTGGACAGTATTTCTTTAAAAAAAGGTCCATAAACTTAGGTTATACATATGAGGTGAGACAACTTCAAAGAGAAGAAGCTCAACGCCTTCATGCAAATCCATGACACACAGCATTTAGATTAGGTTTTTCCTGAAAAAGTGTATTGTGTATTTACTCTCTGGTTTTCAATACGATTGTATGTATTGACTCAGAACAGGGATTTTTTTATCATTAATTCTCAATACCCTTCCCATGGTGAAATCTCTCAGTTATTAGATTTGTGCTTTTGCATAGAATAAATTATTTCTGTGCAAGAAGCCTGGCCAGTTGGATCTTGTCCAGTTGGAGTCTTGCTTGGGTGTGCTTATGTGTGCTAAGCCCCACCCCAATAACAAGAGCACTTAGTCTGCACTTGTAAGAACTAAGAAAGCTTTTTGGGGAGGCTCTCTGCAATAGTAACTAATGCACCAGCAGTGCAGTTAGAGCAAAAGAATCTAACATCTCAATTTTATTATAGCTTTCAAGTGAAACATTGACATGGTGTGCCTGTTTCTTCCAAGTGATTTTCTTGTATGGAACCTTCATTCTATCTGAAACAATGCCCCAAGTAGAAGTCTTTTATTGCTATAAATCAGAAATGACTCAAGACATGAAGAGAATTAAAGGGTCAGTGGTGAATCATGTGAGCAAGTCAACACTGTCAAATCAAGAAAAACATGTATTGCAAATGGATCACAGAGCCCTGCAAAAAAGGTTTGATTAAATGTCTTCTCTAAAGCAAATTTACCTTCAGAGATCTGCTGAACAACATTCAATTTTTAAAAGCCTTTAATCTTGGCATAGAGAAGAAAAGCATTTGGAAAGCCTAATGAGCAGCCATTTACAAGAAGTGTCCAAGCATTTAAAAAAAATGGTTCAAATGTTGTGAAGTACATGCACCAGCTTATATGGTTAATGGAATATACAAGCAGTTCTCTCGATTTTCCTCTTATGCCAGTGTGTATGTCTTTTACTTGAGTCCAGTGATGTTTTCCTTAGTTTAAAGCTGGTATTTGAAATACCAAAGGATAAATAAGGCAGGTTTAGTAGGTTGAAAGGAAAATGCACTCTCAAGGGACAAACATAAGAGTGGGCAAACACTCCATCAGGGTCCTAGGTGGACAGGTGATATTTGGTGAACTGATTCTACATTATCAGCTATGTTTAAGCAAAATCTGATCTTAGCATTACCTTATTTTAGCTAAAACACCTTACAATTCAGTTGTTGCACCAACTTTTTAAACTGAGTTGAGTCAGTAAAACACACAGAATAGAAACAGGAAGCAGGGTCATTGCAGTGCTGCATTTCACATAACTCCCTTTTACACGTCTCCCAGATGAATATATCCCATCCTCACTGCCCTTCTGCTAGAGAAGAATTAGTATGATTTCCTCTTACCCACTAGCCATGCCAGGCAGAAGTTTTCTCTTAGCAAATACACTGAGCAGGGATAAGGCAACCTGAAGCTCAGAAATCCTTCTGGTAGTCCAAGGCACGGAGCTGTCTCCCTCTGCCACTCGCCCGCTGAGGACTGTCACTCAGACTGACAGGAGGTGCCAAAGCCCACAAGAAGACGTGGAACGTAAGGACAGCACCGTGTCTCACGCCTCTCTCAGCACGGGCACACTCAGACCAGGAAGTCTGAGCCACCTCTATCTGGTTCCTGCTTCTCCTGATCGCCCCAGACAGCCAGCGTGGCAGGGAATACGGAAAGCACCGCCGCCTTCTCCCACCTGGCCTTTCAGATACAATCTTGAGATCCGTGTATGAACTTCAGACACGAGCCGTGACATTGCATCTGGAGTCACGCTGGATTATTTGCTAACAGATTTTAGATCCCTACATGAATCTTGGGCCCAGAAATGAGCACTTCAAGTCTGAAAGCCTTGACTGAGATGGACAGGCCATAGTAGCCTTGATGTTCTATATATGGCTGTTATTTGACAGTAGAAGGGAAGATGATAAATGGGAGATCAAAAAAATTATAGGTGGGAAAGAAAAAACCAACAACATACACATCTCTATTTACAGCTGAAATTGCTAGTTGTGACCTTGTAAATATTAGAAGGCATTATAATCAGGAAATGTTTTACAAAGGCAGCACTTCTCATGCATCTCTGGAAGCAAGTGGTGGTGGGTACTGGTACGCACAGGTACCCATTCCAGTGGCTGTCCTGGAAAGCATGCATTCGTTATGTGACTAAATTAACCTTCAGGTGGTTTAAAGTTTATTTTTGTGTGATTGATACTTTTAAAATTTTCTTCTTCATAATAATTAATTCCTGAAAAACATAGCTTTAGGTTTAAGCTGTATATATATATACACAAAAGCCAAAATGGTCTTATGTTAAGCTACCAGTTATACAAATAGCTCTGCACCTCTGGTCCACGTATCCCGTTAAGGAATCATATTAGAGCTAAACAAAGCTCCTGGTAATGAAGATACCTGACACATGGAATTGCATAGGGGACAAGACATGCAACCAGCTCACTTAAAACACTTAGAAGCAAAGCTTCTTTCTGACACTGGTAAGGGAAATTAATGTATCTCAAAACTGAACACCCTTAACTTTCACAGAAATTTTCTTTACCCCTTTTTATTAGTATTTATTGTAGTTCTGGGTAAGCAAGATAAATGACAAAAAATACAGTGCCTGTGTTTATCAACTGAAGGCAGGAACTCTTTTTCTAGGCTTTCATTTAAAATACAAAAGCCAATGGGCATATTCTGTCTGTAAGAAAGTTGCAACTCCTTTCTTCACATTAGCAGAAAGAGCCCAGATAGGAATTTCCATTTACAAGCAGCAGCATCACTGGAGTCAGAAGATTTAAGTTAATCTTTGATAAGATTACAGGTCAGATCAAGCAGATTTAAGTTAATCTTTGGTAAAATTACAGGTCAGATCACTAACATCACTAGCAATTTCATAACCAAATCTGTACTTAAATCTGTTGTAAAACTTTTGTCCTAAGATTTAGATGATGAGCTAAGAAAAACTTGGTGTAAAAGGGTGTGTTTACCAACAGAAGCGAAGCACTGATCAAAGGCAAACGAGAGCAGCGCAGAATCTAGGTCGTTCCCAGGTCTAATGCAGGCAGTAAGAAAGTCCAGAAAGTGGCCTTGCTAGCGCTGTGGGTTGGCTTTCTCTACCGTAGAGATGAGGCAATGCTTTGTCAAACCCATTGCACAAGGCAGTGTACGTTTGCTTGTGCAGGAGCTGAGGTCAGGCTCCCCCTGCTCTCTATTCCTCTTTTCTGGCACAAGGGAATGGGGAGAGTATTTGGTGCGGTCTCACTCGCATGTGAACAGCATTTCCAAAGGAATGGAGTAATAGACTTGCGGAAGATGCTCCGCCTAGCAAAACTGCCACCTCAAGCATCAGATGTTGACCTTTCCCAAGGTCAAGCAAGGATCAAGGAAACCTTGTAAGACCTATTTTGAAAGTATATAGGCATCTCTATGTGTTTCAGGCCCAAGAATTTTGCTTTTCTAACCAAGATGGCCAATGGATAAGTGCTGGTTTGTCGCCTCTAGTCAGGTGCCTAAACTCCCCTGAAGAGGGAAAGGGCTCATTCAGAGTTAATTTAAACCACCTCTCTGGTGGATCTAGAGAGGGTGAGCGGGAACCCTATGCTTTACAGGCTTCCAGACCAATGCAGCCAGGGCTCACACATGCACGAAGGACACATTTGGGCTGGACAGGCCCACTTGGAGACTGGGTAAAAGCTGGAAGCTAGAACAAACACTGTGCAGATCTAGAGCAGGCTCAGTACTTTCCCCAGAGAAGGCGTGGATATAGGGAAGAAGAAAGTTTCTGAGACACTGAGTTTGCTGGATGTTCCCATAGGAGCTTTGGCTCTTGCTTCCAAGTCTCCACAAGCAGGCCAACACTGAAAAGCAGTGGAGACATGGCCTGGGCTGCTCAGCGAGAACCTAGCTGGCTCAGAGCTCACTGAGAGCAGGGAGCGGGGACTTTGATGTCTCCACCCTGCCTTTGGCATTAATTGGCAAGCTGGACCCTCACCTGACAGTCTCCCACCAAGCTCCACAGACCCTGTGCCCAGCTTGTCTTTTAGTTTTCTCTCCAGTTTCCTAAGCCTCAGCCTCTCAATCCTGGAGTCCTTTTCTCTAGCCAGTGGTGTTACGATCCCTCCTCTTACTCAGGAGCTTCTGGTGCAGCAGCTGTCCTCAAAGAGAAAAGTAAGAGGATTACACGGCCAGGCATGTTTTTGTCATAGGAATGCCAGGAACAAATAACTCCATTCCTGCTACTAAATGTCTTTACTTAGACTGTGCAGTGACATGACCTGCTTACCTTTAGGTTGGTCTGATAACCTCCCTTTATTTACCAATGCTAATCCCCAGGTTTAATAAGTAAACCATGGCTGATTTATGAATGTTCTCACAGCCAGACGGGCTGCCTGCACAGCCAGCAAACCCAGAGGCTGGGAGAAAGCAAGTGCTTGGGGACACAGGTGGCTCAGTACCCCTGTGTAAGCTGCGGGGCTAAGGGAGGAAATTTTTCATTGTTTTTTTTTTTTTAGTCTTCATATTAGGACTGTGAAGCATATGCCCTCCTTGATTTTCTAAGGAGAAACTGTCTAGGTCATGGCAGTCTGTTCACTGCACGTTAAGACATATTAATTAAAGAGCTTTGAAGCATTTCACGTTTAGCACAAAGACGCATTTGCTTATTAGTCATCAATTTGTACGCACCGATGTAAACCAAAATTTTAGGCGGTCTGGCTGAAACATCCTCTCTTGTTGCACAGCTCCGTTCTTGTGCTTTTCGGATAACCACTGCCCTTAACGAATCAGGCCGTCAGCCACCAGCGGCCCGGGTGAGGCGGAGCGGATTCCCGGGAGGGTTCACGAGTGGCCGCGCCGGGCCCCCAGGCACCTTTCTGCGCAGCGCGGGGCCGCGCAGGTGCCGGCTCCGAAGCGGCACAACCGGGGGAAGTTACGGCTGGAGAAGTTTGTTTGCTGTAATAATGAATTGTGGTGTTAACAAACCGAAGTTATCCTCTTCTTATCTCGTAAAGATAGCAGGGCTTCGATTGCTCGTTATAAAAGGAAGGCACTGTAATTTTATTACCCTCGCTCTCCCCCCACCGTCTTTTCTGCAGTTAATACGGGGCAAAAGGGCGTGACGTAAGCGGTACAACACACAAAGGGCAGGCTCGCGGAAGCGGTGGCGCTAATCACGGCCACGCTCGTCCCTCTTCCGCGTGGGCGGGGAGCGGCACGGAAGGAAAACGCGCAGGGGCGAGCGCTACACGCGTGACTTCAGGATCTTTTTTTTTTTCTTTTTTTTTTTTTTTTAATGCGTGATTCTCTCGGCTCCCGCTGCGGTTTGTGCAGGCACCGGGCGGGACCGCCCCGCCAGCCCGCCCGCGGGCACTCGCGCCCCGCCGCCATTTCGAGCAGCGCCGCCTCGGCCCGCCGCTACCCGGGGCCGCGGTTCCCCACAGCCACCGCCCCGGAGGGCACTAGCCAAAACAGGGCGGGCAGCGCCTCGCCCGCCCCGCTCCCTGCTCCCCCTCCCCGGAGCGGGGAGCGATCCCTGCCGCCCGCCCACCGGGCGGGGGGGGTCCCCGTGCCCCGGCCCCGCCCCGGGCCGCGGGACACCGGCCACCGCCCCGGCCGCCTCCGCGGGGAGCGGGCGCCCCCTGGCGGCCCCGCCGGGCGCCGGGCCGGTTGGGAAGGGGAAGGGGGTGAAGCCAGTTGGCTGCCACCGGGGGGCAGTAGTGTCTCGGCGCTGATTGGCGGGGCGGGGCGTGACGTGTTGGGCGCGGGTGGGCGGTGCTTTAGCGTCTGACCGGGGGCAGCGATGGGGGCGCAGCTCAGCTCGGTGAGTGCGCCCGGCCCGGGGGGTCGGGGAGCCCCCCCCGGGGGGAGCCCGGGACCACCCCCCGGGGGGAGCCCGGCAGCGGGCGGTTGGGGTGCCGCTTGCCGTGGCGCTGCCTTCTGCTCCCTCTCCGGGGGTTCCCCCGGCGGAGCCGTGAGCGAGCTGAGGCCCTGAGGCCCGGCCGCGGGTGAGGGGAGGGCCGCGGCCGCTCCGCCCGTCCCTGAGCGGGGCCCCGTTGGGCGGTGCCGCGGGGTGCGCTGCCGCCTACCCAGCATCGGGGAGGGGAGGTGGGGGGCTCCTGTGTTGGGAGCCGCGTATGCCCGCCCCGGACCCCCCACCCCTCCCCGTAAAGCCACCAGTCCGGCGGCTGCGGGGGGGGGGGGGGCTCTGGGGTCCCGCCTGCCGAGCCGTGGGCCTGCGGTGGTGCGGCCTGGGGCCCGCTTTTCTGCAGCTGCCTGGCCCTTTCGGTTCTTTCCTCTGAAGCAGCTGCTCAAACGTTTCTGGCTCTTGGGTGTGTGAGAGGAGCGGGACCGAGGTGGGTGCGACGTGCCCCACTGTGGGTACTGGTGCTTCTTGGGTCACTGGAGCGCAAGGGGATGAGGCAGCAGGAGTGAAGTAATGCCTGCCCCTTAATCCTCTCATCGTTTTCTAAAATGGATGAAAACAATATTTAACGAAGATGGATTAAAAATGAGGTGTGATTGACGAAGTGTGTGTGTGTGGGGGGGTGGAGCTGAGGACATAAGGCATTTCTTGCCAAAGAAGCATTTGTTTTGTGTGTTTGTAGGGCCGTTCGGTGGTGGAGTGTCCTGCCATAAGCTTATATGTTTGACTGTTTTGCTCACCGCGCCCTAGTGGAAAGGAAAGGCAGTCTCGATGCTATGGCTTTTCTCTCTCTTGTGGCCTTTTTTGTTACCCCGCAGAGGTCTGTTTCCATTAATAAAAATTCCTGCCTGGTTATTTATTTTGTGATCTCTGTTAGCAAAGATTTGTGCAGCTGGAAACTGTGAGTCACCAGATCTTTGTTTGGTGATTCTTAGTCTCATGGTCAGCCAGTCGCTCCCTCTGATGCAGCTTCTGTGGTTGCAGTGCAGTTCTCTTCATCAGTATGTCAATATACCCTGTGGTAAGAGTATATAGACTACTTTTAACCCTGAGAATGTATTCCTTACCAAGGATAACTTTTTGTAATCATTCAGCCTTCAGTTCTCTTCCCCCCCCCCCCCTTTTTTTTTTGTCCCACCAGCTGATACCTTCCGAGTTAGGAACTAAAATAGCTATCTGAATTAGTGGGTATGCTGTTTCTTTCCTAGCTAAATCCCATGAGGCTTTTGCACTAATTGACCATGAGTAACAAATTGCCTTCCACGAGGCTAACACTGTTAAAAGTATTTATCAAAATACATTAATTCTGTTTCAGTAAGCTCAGATCTGGTGCATTGCTTCAAAAAGTTAGGCACATTTCGGGGAAGAGTGTGTTAATTTCATTTATTGAACAGCTGCAGTAGTTTTCACTTGACATCTGATGATTCAAAAATGATTTGCAAAGATGTGAGAACACTTATCTCTGCAGACAGGTGGAGAAGCTGACTTGCAGAGATGATATTTTGCACTCTACTCCTGCCATCCTGAACATCTGTTACTGATGTACGTTAGTGTTGGAGTTGGGACTGTACCCAAGTTTTTGAGTTCCCATTTTCAACTGCAATTTTGCTAGACCACAGCTGTGCTTTTTTTGGTTCATTTTAGGTAGCCACACCTGTAAATTAAACTAGTTTATTTTAATTTATTAATGTCTTATGTGCAACTTCATCTGCTGCATATTCAGCTTGCTATCTCCACCAAGTCTCATTCAGCTGTTGCAGATCTCATTAGGGAGCTTATTTGCTGCCCTGTCACTTTCTTAAACAGCTCCCCTCCCTCCCCCTTTTTTTGTGGCTCAGTAATTAAAGTTCTTCCTTGAGCTGCAGTAATCTGATGCATCTGCAGGAGTTAAGGAGTAACATTCTTGTGCACTTCAGCTTCTTTAGGAACAACCTGTGTGGAGCTATTTCAGCATTTTCAAGTAAAAGTGAAAAATGCAGTGTGTGTGTGTGTATGGTATGGTGTGCCTTCAAGCTATACTCAGTGTTGACATATTTTAAACCTGTACAGCTGCATTCTAAGAAGAGAGTTTATGTTGTCCCTCATTTTTAATTTTACACTTGCCACAGTTATAGTAATGTAGGGCATTTCTTTATTGCCTCCTGAGAACTGTCACACACATGGAAATGTGCGTTGAAAAGACTGGTCAGGTCCCTTTAAAATTAAATGAAAGTGAAAGCTAACGGGACAGGACTTTAACCTTTTCCATTTAGTTAGTGCATTGTGTGCAATCTGTACAATCTAAGTATTTGCTTTTTTCGCGCCCCCTCCACCCACCCCCCTACAGTCATGCTTTTTCCATCTCCTCTGTTAAAGCATTGAATAACAAATTACAGAGTTGGAGAGGATTTTTGTAAGTAGTTGTTCAGTTTATTCTCCCCTCCTAAGTTGAGCTGCTGGGTTTGGCAGCCCTCTGCTGCTATACTAGCTGCCTACCCGAGTGATTTTGTAGGCTGTTGTAGTGCTCATCTGACCTTGCAAGATCTGGACTCTTGCTGGGAACAGGCGCTAGAAACGAAGGCACAGGCCTCTAGCTGAGCATGGTCCTGGCAGGTTCCGCACTTGTAGCCTGTGGCTGACCCATCTGCAGCCCCACAGACCCATGAGGTGCCCAAGATGTATGGCATGGGGCCGGGGAGGTGACATCTTCCTCCCATGTTGTCTGCACAGCTGTAGTTGCAGCAGCCTCGTCTTTGCTGGGCTGGTGTGGCCACCCGGTCTGTCCCGGCTAGGCAGCCTGCGCGTGGTGTCGGGGATGGAAGAGTGGGCTGTGGTGTGGGGGCATAACCTGCTCCTGTCTTGTGGGGCTTCAGCCCGGGGGTGAAGCTCATCCCTGCAGCAGGCTGCATGACCATGTCTCCCTCAGCTTCCTAGCGCTGTGATATGAAAGGCCCAAATCAGAGTTGAGGAGCCTGTCTGCACGCATGTGCACCAAGGAGCATGGTGGGTGGGGACCTGGGTGATAACCTGACCCAGCTACTCCCATGATCATCACAGGAGAGCAGCCAACTTGTGGAGGCTTATCACTGCACGCAAAGGAGGGATGGAGGCCATTTGTGGAGGAACAGATGTGAGGAAAATAAAAGGATAAAGGGATGAAGAGGGCTGACCCTGTGTAAACAGACCTGCTGTGTACTCTTGTCTGGCTGTGTCCCGCAACCAGTCAGTGCGGTCTGGCCCGTGTCCTCGTTAAACTCCATGGCTGCTCTCCCGGGGAAGGGACGCTGCTCTGCATGCACCTGTCTGTTTGGAGGTGTAAGTGCTGATGCTTGGAGCCAGACTGCGGGTCGGAGGGCCTGTGTGTTTGTGGTGCCAGCACCCAGCGCGTGGTGCAGTGGCTAGCAGAGATCAAGACGGACTAGCCAGCAAGTAAGTGAGGTGGCCTGGGAGCCAGGCGTGTGCTCATCTCAGGGTGAGACCACCAAAGGTGCTGGCTGCTGGGGAGACTGGGGTTCCTGAGCGTCTGCCAGAGGGAGAATGGGATGTGTGGTCGAGTGCGAGACCCCCAGTTATTGGGGGTCCACAGCACATGTGATGATGTATGAAGGGGTCTGTGCAACAGTGGCTTCTGTGTCCAGATGCCAGCAAGTGGGCAGACTGGAGTCTGGGGACAGCTGCTGGTGGATCCCCTTTGTACTCATGTGTGTACATGTATTTCTCATTAACAGACTTTCATCCTCATCGGTCAGGGAGGGGAACAGGATGAGGCCATTGGTGCTGTTTGCGTGAGCATCTGTCTGTATTGATCAGTGTGGCCATCCATGTGTCTGTCTGTCCGTGTGCTGTGTATGTGTGTCTGTCTATATGCGTGCCTGCTGGACATACATGCTCAGCCCTGCTAACGGTTGAACCTAGGGACGTGGAGCTGTGACAGCCTTGCTTCTGTTGAGCTGCCAGGTTTGGCAACCTTCTGCTGATATGCCAACTGCCTCAATGTAGGAGTAATGCCAGGGATTCATAGAACAAATTTGAGTGTTACGCTGGCTGGTGGTTTTTTATTATTTTCACTTCCCACTCACATTAGTACAAAGAAACACAGGGGTTTTTTTTGTGGTTAGGTTGTTATGTCATGCTACCGTATTCCTTCTCCCCAAGATAACTTTCTTTTGTTACGCATACACATCTAACGCTCTTTCTGTATTGCTGCAGTTGGGTCGGATTGTGACATACCCAATATGGCTAATCTACACCAATATCCTGAGGATTTTCTGGAATCCCCGTCCTGCGATTACTCTGAAGGATCCTGAAGTGAAGTATGCATTGAGGCTGATTGATAAGGAGGTAAGAGCATGTACAGTGCTGAGCATGACCTCTCCATCAATACTGTGAAATGTTTGTAGCTTCTTAAATCTTTGGTAATGTTGCAGCAGGGCAAATATTTGTATTTTAAGGAGAGAACTTCTTTATAAATGCTTCTTGCCTAGTATAACTGAGATCTGCAAGCAGCTTGTTTCCAAGCAAGTTAGAGTGGAAAATGCTTTAGAAATGATGAAACTTGTAGTTTCTGTCACATGTGTGTCATGTCATGGAGTGCATCAGCAGAAATTCCTGAACTCTGCACTACTAGATTGGCTATGAGACAGAAGTCATGCTGTCAGGCAGAGCAGGCAATTTTTTCATGGTCAGTAGCATTCAGCATAGTAGTTGTCAAAAATGTGTTGATACTGATTCCTGTTACTGGATTTACATACTCTAATGTGTTATAGGAAGAAAAGTGTTGAAATGGTGTCGTCCTGACAGCACCTAAGCTGTCTCAGCTATTCTTCCTTTCTGTTAAAAGTAGAAGCTGTTCTGTGCCTCTGAGGCTGCTTTACCAGGTTTTCAGAGGAAAGTCATGACCCTTTCAGGGGTAGATCTTGCTATCAGATGTTGGTAACTCAACCTGTGGAAAGGGGACCAAAGCCACAGAAGGCAAAAAGTCCAGATTGCCCTTGGATGAACTCACCATTAAACACAAGAGAGAGAAATGTTGGCTTTTGAGGTGTGAAGTCATACCTGCAGATACTTTCGATGTTGATTTTTTTTAAGTCAATGAGCTAGACAGAAAGTTATCAGAGTTTTGATGAAAAGGACTTTGGACTGGAACAGAGCTTTGTTTGAGGTATGGGGAGTGCACTGATAGCTTGGCTTTCATTTGTTCTGTCTGTCAAAGAAAATTATTACTGTCATTCTGAATCCTAGTTTCGTGGGAACTGAAATCTTCCTCATGGCTTGGGCTGGGCAGCATTACTGAATTTATTTCCCATGTGTACTTACTGAATTTATTTCCCATATGTACTGCAGCAATACTGTTGTTATATACTCCCCACTTTCTCATGAGGTGTGTAGCATGTGGTTGTGGGTGCAGTCTGCCTGACCTGCAGGAGGGGAGGGAAGCTTGAAGCACTGCACATGCTTCTGAGAATCAAGCTACTTGCAGGTTTTCGCTGGAGCAGTTTGTAACAGAAGAGAATTCACAGTTCACTTGATTTTTTTGCTAAATACTGATTTCTTTCTTTCTTACTGTTTTTTTTTTGTATGCTTTTTTTTTTTTTTTTTAAATCTTGGGGTGGAGTAACAGCTCTTATATAACCAGGTAAAATGCTGCTGCACGTGGTACCTTGATCGACTGAGAATATTTGACTGATAGATGTTTATAATTTTTTGCCTAAATGGAAAATGTGACCTGGAAACATAAGTTAATTTTAAAAAATAGTAACTTGACACAGTAAGTGCTAGTAGTTTCTAACATTCTACCAAGAATCTGGGGCAAACACTCTGATCTTTGGTATTAAACTTTTCAGCATTGCCATGTCCACCTGACTGGAAAAGATGAAATTAGACAGAGTCTTTCTGACAAGCTTCAGTTTGTATTTTACAAGCTATGAAATTTGAAGTAGATGAGAAAAACTTTAATCTAAAAAGACCTGTCATTACAAGAAAACATTTTAACTTGGGAACCGAGTCATGGAGCCTCCTCAAGATACCTGTGTGGTTGGCTAGAGTTTACCTTCCATTGCAAGAGGAATTTCAGTACGTTGGTTCTTTTGCTTGCCCAGCCTAGCTGAAGACCCTCATATTTTAAAAATCTCTGCTATTCCCATTACTGTGTTGGTATTTATGACTCCTTTTTTGTGACTATGAAGCTGTTGGTACCTTCACTGGCAGAGCACCTAAATGATTTCTGTTTAAAACAAAAAATTAACAGTTGAACTCCCTGTTTTGGGAGTAGCTGGGTGTTGTACTTTTCAACCTCATGTATTTTGCTGCTCAGGTTGAGAGCATGGCCTTGCAGAAGGTTTTCCTAGTGGACTGTGCCCGAAGCAAAGGAACAAGAAGCTTGACCAGGAAGGGAAGTGGTGGCAACTGCTTAGACTGATTTTACAGCTAAAGAAAACGGACCAGTGATTGCAACAGAAAACTGAGTTGCACATAGTGGGCTGCCATACAGTAGTACACGTATGTGAAATTTCAGAAAGATTCCACAGTTACGTAGAAACAGATTTTAGGTGTCTTCAGTCTGAAGTTTGGAAAGCAGTGGTCTAGAGAAGGCCTGGTTTGATGTACACGTATCTGTTAACACAGCTTAGATTTTTGTGTATGAAAGCTGGAAATTGGATATACCATTTTGTCGAGCTGTTGCAAGCAGAAGCCTTTCTTCCTCTACTTACTGTGTTTTACCTACTGAATGAAATGTTAACATCTGCCCAAACTGAGTATGCATTACCTCCTGTCTGTTGAATGGAGAAATAGGGGTCACAAAGCTGCTTACTTGTGTTTATCATAGGAAAAAAGTGTCATGATATAGTTAGGTGTGCTAATTGAATTTATGCCTTAAGCCCATAATCTCAGGGTTTTTTTTTGTAATGGTAAGCAGAATTCATTGCCTTTCAGTGGCTTCAGCAAAGCAAAAACTGTTTTCCAGCTTTGCATTTGCAGTTATGAGTGTGGAAGACTCCTTAGCAACATGAGACAGAAACGTGTGCTGGTAGCTGGAGGCCAGGCGCTTGGGGCGATACCAAATGATGGCTTTGGGGAGAGCAGCGGAGAGGAGCCCTGGCTGGAAATGGCTCCTGTGTCCTGTCGCAAGGCTCTCTTTAGCCTAGCCTTGACTAACGACTGAATGGCATACTCAGGGTCTTGGCCAAGTAACAGAGACAAGGTGTAGGCATGCTGATCTAGGTAGTAGGAATTTCTTGATCCTTTTGGTGTTTCTCAGAGTTGTCTCTTGTGATGCATCTGTGTGTTCAGATACCTTCGGCTAAGCTATCTTGACTTTAATTGGCGAGATGATTATCTGGGATTTCAGAACTTTGTTCTTTCTGCATGCTGTTAAAGACACCGTCTTAAAATAAAGGAGTACTGGCAAAATCCAGCTCTGAAGTAGTGAGGCTGGTGGTGAAATTTTCATACAGAAACAGCAGCTGTCAGTGAGAGAGCAGCAGCGTTAGGTCCACGTTAATGTCTTTCTAGTGGAATTTTCAATGGCAGTTACTGTTCCTGAATAGACGTAAGTATAGAGAAGCACTTTTTAGACCGTTACCCAGTTCCCTTCTTTCTTCAGCATTTATCTTAAAATGATTTATTGTGAAGAAAATTTCATCACTGCGACCAGAACTCATAAGGGATGACTAGACAAACTGTAATGAGAAATAAATCTGTTTCCATTGGTTGGTTCAAAAACAAAAAACAAACAAAAAAGGATTACAACATTTTATAGGATGTTTCTGAAATTTTCTCTAGAAGGGATATTATGTCCCGTAGGGCTTTAAAAAAAAGAAAGTAATTGGATGAGGCATTAGGCTGTCTGCTGTTTCTTTCTTTTTTTTTTTTGCTTTCTTTTTCAATCCCATGAATGTGACCAGATTTTTAAGAGATAAAACTTACGTAGTATAAGAAATAACGTTTTATTTACTCATTACCAACATTTATTCAAGATATGACTTTCCTGGTAAAAGATTAGGATAATTATACCAGCTGGACTGCATAAATTGTCATAAATTTATAATAAAGTTCCTATCTAGAGTGCTCTTTTCAATTTTAATTAGGATTAATGAAATTTTTATGGGGAGGATATTTTTAAGGCTGTTAGCATAGCTGAGGGGACCAGGGTGCTGCTTTCTGATCTTTTTTGACATGCACTACAGTCTTCTGAAATCATCTACATCAAAATGGTTAATTCAGCTGATTTTAAGACATCAAAATAGAAATTTTTTGGCCTTGAACTTCTGCATATTTAAACTTCAAATGAGAAGTGAAGAACTGATTAATTTTTATCTTGTGGCCTTCTCACAGAAAAATTGTAAATGCTCATATTATATAGAAAGTTATTGTTTAGTCTTAAACTGCATATGAGTATTTTATTGAGTTTTGCTATTCACATTAAAGAAATCTCAAAACAGTGTTTGCATTTGTCTGTGTTTTTCTATTTTTACTTCTGTATTACTTCCAAAATACTTTGAGATAAAGTTTAAGTTTTCTGGGAGTTTGAATGAAAAGTTGACCTCTGCAGGATTGCTACGTTCAGAGGAGTTCATATTTGCACGATGCAAAAATGTCAGTTAGGATGCTGCTCTGCCCCAGATATTTAATTCTGCAGGAAGCCAGACTAGCATATTGGTTTTACAAATGAAATCACAAACATTAAATCCCAACAACATAACTGATTGTTCTTTTTATTTTCCTCTTTCAGGAAGTTAGTCATGACACAAGAAGATTTCGATTTGCTCTCCCTTCCATAGATCACGTTCTGGGTCTCCCTGTAGGTACGTTCTGTCTTTCCTTACTGAGAATCCAACCATTGTTAAAGAGATTTGGAGACAGCGGTGGAGGGCAGGTTTCCTGCTTTTTGAACTGTTGAATTTTGACTACTGTCCACATGGTTTGAACTGGTATTTAGAGCTTTGCAAGATTATCCTCATGCTGTGAGTCATCTGCAGGGTCTGAAATCTTGTGTACTTACAGAGAGTGTACATCCAGCTTGTTCTGTGAAGACGGTAGAAACAAACACTGGTCTCTACTTGTATTTTTCCAGTCTCAACTTTCCAGTGTGTGTTATTCCCCGGGTGCTTGGTCTCTGTGGTCCCCTGAGGCAGTGCTCCCAGCTACTTCTAACGCATGTGGTTTACCAGATGGTCTGCTCGCTTCTGAATTTGCAGTCAGTCTCATGGAACTTCTTAATCACCACGGGGTCGATGTTTCCTTAAGCCTTGCCATGTGGCGTGTTGCCTTCCATAATAGCCTTGTGCTATTGTTTCCTGATGAAAGCTGGTGAGAGTGGTAAAAGCAGCTGGGAGCGGCAGGCTTGGCAGCCGTGGGACGGATACTGGTGTGCACTCTGCATGTTTAGTCCAGCACCAGCATTTTGCTTTTACCAACCAGCTGGAGCATTATAGGAAAAAACCCAGTTCACTCAGAGAGAGTGGGATTGTGTGTGGCCCCACGCAGAGGCTGCCAGCTGCTGTCCTGTCAGGGCAGGATAGAGCTCTAGCAAGTAAGAGCGTAAGGCATGTTTTCCCTTTGGGAGGAGCACCTTCTTTGGTTTTGTGCCAACTCTTGTGAGACGTGCCCCAGCAGGTCTGTCCAGGTTCACAGTCTGGAGTGGTCGCCATGGGTCCGTTCCTGGAGGAGGAACGGGAGGCTGCTGCTGCAGCTCCCTTCAGGTCTTCCCTGGCAGGACATGTGTGCTGCCAGGTGTGCATAGGCTTTGCTGAGAGGGTTGTTGGAGTCACCCTTACAGTATGTCCGTGTACAGCTTCAAGTGAGTTACAGTTGCTCGTTTCCCAAGTCACCAGGTAGCACATCTTCATTCACCCACTGGCCCTCCCCTCTGGCTTGGCGAACTTGCTCCCAGTAAAATCCCTGTTGTGTTCCCATAACATGCAGAGGAGCTGCGTTCGTCTGAAGAGATAGTTTGTTCTGTTGACCTAGTGGCAATAAAATAACAAAAAAAAAAAATCCTCCCCCTGCCAGGTATTCTTCACCCGTGTCTCTTCAGGGTGTTAGAATTTGATAGGAAAACCTTTAAAAGGAATTAATTCTAGGATTTTTTAATTGAAAACATAGACATTGGGAAAAGAAATTATTGTAGAGAGTTCATTGAATGTGTGACGGATTGAAACACGATTGCTACATTCAAATGTTAAGCTGGAGAAATAGCAGGGTTAGGAAAGTGCGTTGTGTCTAGGCGGCCTTAGAAATGGCAGCTAGAAGACCTGCTGGTAGATGTGAGCAATCTGTGGTCAAAGTAAGAACAGTTATAAACTCAGCTGTAAATAAACTGTAACAGTTTATAACTAACATGTTAATAAAGTGTGAATAGCACTTGACAGTTTTCCCCTTTTGTGTACTTTTTACTCGTCTGTATAGGAGAGACGTGTCACATCTTTTGCAAGACCTCATGTACAGTTAGGGCTCTGGTAAATGTAAATGCATGAAGCTATCAGAACAGATATGATTGACACATAAAGTTAGCAGTGGAGTTGTATGCCCTTGCAGGTAGAATTCTGTGCACGGTTAACAACTCTGGTAAGGTGTTACAATGTCAGGAAAATGGGAGAGGAAAAAGCAGTGCTCCAAAACAAGGTAGGTAGGAGAACTTACAGACTGTGTTTGCAGTCCATGCCAACTCAGTACATCCACTGAAAGAAAAATCTTTTTAAATCAAACTACTTTTTTTCTTCCTTGTGTACAGGACAGCACATCTACCTGTCTGCACGGATTGATGGAGCTCTGGTTGTTAGACCTTACACTCCAGTTTCTAGTGATGATGACAAGGGCTTTGTGGATCTTGTAGTCAAGGTGAGAATGTCACGTTGTTCTACCAGGCCGGGCAAGTTCGCAGTGCTATGTGAAGTCTGACGTGCTGGCTTCTGTTTAGGTACATGCCATTGCAGACTTCTACAGTTGTAACAAGTGATCTGCAGTTACCTGCAATCCATGTGGCGTTTTGCAAGCACTTAATTACTCAGTGTGTCTCAGGAGATCATAGAATCACAGAATGGTTTGGGTTGGAAGGAGCCTTAAAGACCATCTAGTTCCAACCCCCCTTGCCATGGGCAGGGACACTTTCCACTAGATCAGGTTTCTCAAAGCCCCGTCCAACCTGGCCTTGAACCCTTCCACGGAGGGGGCAGCCACAGCTTCTCCAGGCAACCTGTGCCTCACTGTCCTCACAGTGAAGGATTTCTTCCTTGCATCTAATCTAAATCTACCCTCTTTGAGTTTAAAACAATTACCCCTTTTCCTATCCCTACACTCCCTGATAAAGAGTCCTTCCCCACCTTTCCTGTAGCCCCCTTCAAGTACTAGAAGGCCACTATAAGGTCTTCTTGGAGCCTTCTCTTCTCCAGGCTGCACAACCCCAACTCTCTCAGCCTGGCCTCACACGGGAGCTGCTCCAGCCCCCGACCATCTTCATGGCTTCTTCTGGACCTGCTTGAGCAGGTCTATGTCCTTATGCTGGAGGCCCCAGGCCTGGACACAGTACTCCAGGTGGGATTTTATGAGAGTGGAGCAGAGGGGGAGAATCCCCTCCCTTGCCCTGCCGGCCACACTTCTCTCGATGCAGCCCAGGACACAGTTGGCTTTCTGGGCTGGGAGCGCACATTGCTGGCTCACAGTCAGTTTTCCACCCACCAACACCCCCAGGTCCTTCTCCGCAGGGCTGCTCTCAATCCTCTCATGGCCCAGCCTGGATTTGTGCTGGGGATTGCCCCGACCCGTGGGCAGGACCTTGCACTTGGCCCTGTTGAACTTCGTGCAGTTCACACGGGCCCCCCTCTCCAGCCTGCCCAGGTCCCTCTGGATGCCAGCCCTGCCCCCCAGCGTGTCGACCGCACCACACAGCTCGGTGTCGTCGGCAAACTTGCTGAGGGTGCGCTCGATCCCCCTGTCCGTGTCACCGACAAAGGGGTTAAACAGCGCTGGGCCCAGTACTGACCCCTGAGGAACGGCACTTGTCACCCCCCTCCACTTGGACATTGAGCCGTTGACCACAACTCTGAGTGACACCATCCAGATAATTCCTTATCCACTGAGTGGTCCATCCACCAAATCCATGTCTCTCCAATTTAGAGACAAGGATGTTGTGTGGGACAGTGTCAGATGCTTTGCACATGTCTAGGTAGATGACGTTAGTTGCTCTTCCCTTATCTACCAGTGCTGTAACCCCATCGTAGAAGGCCACCGAATTTGTCAGGCACAATTTGCCTCTAGTGATGCCATGTTGGCTGTCACCAATCACCTTCTTATTTTCCATGTGCTCTGGTACAGTTTCCAGAAGGATCCACTCCATGATCTGGCCAGGCACAGAGGTGAGACTGACTGGCCTGTAGTTCCCTAGGTCTTCCTGGTTTTCCCATTTTAAAAATGGGGCCTTTTCCATTCAGTGGGAACTTCACCAGACTGCCACGACTTCTCAAATATGATGGATAGTGGCTTAGTCACTTCATCCGCTGGTTCTCTCAGCGCATGGATGCATCTTACCAGTTCCCATGGACTTCTACACCTTCAGGTTCCTTAGATGATCTTGAAATAGATCTACAGTAGGCGGTCCTTCATTCTCCCAGTCCCTGCCTTTGCCTTCTGTGACTTGGGCGGTGTGGCTGGAGCACCTGCTAGTGAAGACTGAGGCAAAAAATATTGTTGAGTACCTCAGCCTTCTTCATATCCCAGGTAACCAGGTGTCCCATTTCCTTCCAGGGAGGGCCCACGTTTTCCCCAGTCTTCCTTTTTTTCACCAACGTACCTATAGAAGCTTTTCTTCTTGCCCTTGACATTTCTGGCCAAATTTAATTTGTCAGGGCTTTGGCCTTGATAACCTGATCCCTGGCTACTTGGACAACTCCTCTGTATTCCTCATAAATTTCTGCGTTTGCACATGTTCACATACTTTTTTTTAGTCCTTCTGAAATAAGGAATTAGCCTTGCCTAAACTGCCAGCTTCTTCTGAAGCTAATGTAATAGGGTCATTATGATCATTAAGAGCAGTGATTGTTATTGTTACTGATCCAGACAGTGTGAACGACTGATTTAATTGGCAAGAATGTGATTTTGAGTCTTGTGATAATGTACTTCTGTTTTGTCTCTTGGTAGCTAGACTAAGCAAATATATTTAAAGCTGACAGGAATTTAAAACCTGAAGAGCTGCACTGGATTTCCTCTTAGAATTTTACTGTCATGGCTTTTTTCTTCTTTACAACTCAAAACACTTTATTCATTTATTGTGAAACTAGATGTAAATTTGCCTTTTACTACCTACTTACCTTCATGAGCTTGGCATTGCACACTGAAGACATGACAAGGGAAAAATGTAAATATTTGTCTCAGATAGAAATGTTTCACAAGAGTCCTTCTTCCCAGTGTGGCTCTCCATGCATGCAAATGATGCTCTGTCTTGTAAAAGTGTAGCTAGTCTGAGTTTGAACTGTTTCACGCCCAGGTGATTTAAAACAAAAAAAACCCAGCACAGTTCCAGCAATTTAACTACACCTAGTGATACTGTTGGTGAACAGCTGAATATTCAATTAGTTGGTATCCACTTTTTTTGTTACTCTAATTTTGAGATGCAAGCAGTTGGGCATCCCAAAAAGAAGGTTTGGGTATATCCCTTTGCAGCTGAGATGTCAGGGATCTTTCTCATAAGTTTTTCTGTTTGAAATAATGGTGGGGTTTTTTATTTTTTCCCTTTTGAACTTGAGTGTAAATCATGTTGATTATCTAGAGATATCTTCTATGTTGCAGAAATGCAGTGGAGAAATTGCCAGTCTGTGTCCAGTCTGATCAAAATTGGGGCAGGGGTGGCATTTTAATCTTTTTCAGAAAACTTGATGCTTCTCTTTTGTCAGTCAAATCTGCATTGATAGTATTTCTTTATGTAGTAATTGTGTTATTTGCATGAGGAGTATGGGTACCTAAATATTTGAAGGGCAAATGTACATCTTTGAGCTGTAAGATTAATAGCTTCATTGTTATTTTTAACAGATCTACTTTAAAGGTGTCCATCCGAAGTTTCCTGATGGAGGGAAGATGTCTCAGTACTTAGACAGCCTGAAAATAGGGGATACTATTGACTTCAGAGGACCAAGTGGCCTACTTGTCTACGAAGGAAGAGGTAAGGCTGACTTGGAAGATGTAAGTTATCCAGAGTAAAGAATATAGAAGAAAACTATTATGAAGTAGTAGTAATACTGAGGACTGTTTTTTTCGAGCTGGGCTCAAGTCTTTATGGAATCATAGGATCATAGAATAGATTGGTTTGGAAGGGACCTTTAAAGCCCATCTAGTCCAGCCCCTCTGCAATGAGCAGGGATGTCTTTAACTAGACCAGATTGCTCAGGGCCCTGTTCAACTGGCCTTGAATGTTTCCAGGGATGGGGCATCTGCCACTTCTCTGGGAAACCTGTTCCAGTGTTTCACCATCCTCGTTGTAAAACTTCCTGCTCTATGTCTAGTCTAAATCTACCCTCTTTTAGTTTAAAACCATTACCCCTGCTAAACAGACCCTGCTAAAAAGTCTGTTCCCATCTTTCTTTATAAGCCCCCTTTAAGTACTGAAAGGCTGCAATAAGGTCTCCTCGGACCCTTCTCTTCTCCAGGCTGAACAACCCCATCTCTCTCTGTCTGTCCTCATAGAGGTGCTCCATCCTTTTGATCATTTTCATGGCCCTCTTGAGCGGCTCCAATGGGTCTGTGTCTTTCCTGGGCTGAGGACCCCAGAGCTGGACACAGTACTCCAGGTGGAGTCTCACCAGAGCGGAGTAGAAGGGGAGAGTCTCTCTGGTGACGTTTTGATTATACCCACTGCAGGAACTAAACCTTAGCTATCACCTCGTAATTGTTATTTGGGCTGGTACTCTCAGTATGCTCAACCTCTGCCCCTAGACACAGCATTTCTTTTCTGTTGTTACCATCTCTGCACAAAAGAAATTGCTAGTGTGTTAAGTCAGTGGCTCTCGAGGAGGGATTGTTACATGACTATAGAAGTGTTCATTACTGATACTGTTCTCAAAGAAGAGAATTCTCTCCCTACTTACATGGATATATCTTAAAAACACGTATTTACACTGTTCAATGCTAATTTCTCAAATGAAAATTAACTTTTACCAGTAGAAAGCAGTTTTGTGCCAATATAAAAAAAATCTCACTTTGGCATAGTGCAGCCACAAATGTGTCACACAAACCTTCTGGCAGTTTTGTGAGCAGCAGAACAAACACGTGGTTTTCCAGAGCTTTGTGTGTTGTGTTCATGTTACCCTGGATGAAGAGAGGTGTGAATACAACAAATACAACATTTGGGGCAATTTCAAACTGTCGGATTTGGGTGAAACTAGCAAATCAGCTCAAAAAGAGGAGGTAAATACACAAAAAAAACAGTACACCCTTCATATTTCAGGTTTTCCCTTAAAATAATCTGCATGTGGTAAATAAACTCTGAGCAGATTAATTCCTTTGTGTAGAACTGTTTACAGAATATGGGCTTCTAAATATCACAAGAAGTATGGGATGTGAGCATATAGAAAAATAGGTAGTGACGGCTTAATGGTATAGTCAGGAGTAAGCACTAACCCATGTCAGTGTCTGATGTTATCATCATGTATCTTACAATCTCTAATCATATTTCAGGATTTGTTTTAATTGGTGTCAGCTTCACCTTTGTTTCCTGCTCCTGCTTTATGAAGGGGGAAAGGTGACAGGGCTGAAACAAAGTCAATTAGCTGAATGTGCTGGGAAGGCATCGCAGGCACTGTTTCCTGCTTGCTTCAGTGTTTTCCATCTCTCTCTCTCTAGGCAAGTTTGCTATTCGGCCTGAAAAGAAAGCTGAACCAATTACCAAGAAAGTGAAATATGTGGGGATAATTGCAGGTGGGACTGGTACGTATTTATAAAGATTCATCCTTGGTTTCTGACAGCTGGTAGATGCATTTGTTCATACTTTCTTCCGTGTGCTCACTGGTGCTTTCTTTTGCTCCTTTCCATCCTTTCATCATTGACCTGTCTTTCAGGGATAACACCTATGCTGCAGATCATTCGAGCAATCATAAAAGACAAAGATGACCCTACCACTTGTCAGCTGCTGTTTGCTAATCAGGTAATTCTGTCCTTTTTTCTGTTTATAAAGTTTTACTTCACTAACAGAACTTCAGTCAGCAAATTAAATTCTTGCTGAGAAATCCTGGTACAGAAATGCAAACCCTGAGGGCAGAAGTGAGCTGAAATGTTTAAAGCTTCCTGTATAAAAGCACTATAATGAACTGTTTTTTTAGTGTTACAACAGAAATGCGGCTTTCCTCCCAGCTAATGTTCATTTTCCTGTGTCTCATTGCTCTGTTTCTAATCCATTTTATAAATGTTTTAAAACTCTATTCCCTTGTGCAAGTTGTTAATGTTTTGGGCAGACTTCCAGAGCTGTCTGTCATAGTGGAAACAGGAGAGAGGTGGACATCTGTCTCCTTCAGCAATTCCCCAACTTCTCAGCAGGGTTTATGTGGAGTCTTGCTGTTTGAGAGCACCTTAGGTGAGGCTAAGATTAACAGTGGTGTCCAGCAACTCCCTCAAGTATGGAGCTGTGATTCTGCATGGCTGTCTCCTTTCATGTCCATTCCCGTTGTCAGTTCTTCATGCATTTCTATTGCTATTTGAGGTGTGCCATACTGCCGTGCTGGACAAAGGGAAGGTACCTTATCCATGGAATCCTCGCGATAGAGATTTCTTGGATGACCAGGCAACCCAAATGGTGGTGTGCTGCTGAACTGCAACACCCCTTCTTTCCCTGACGTTCTTCTGGTGTTAATCCTTTTGCTTTTAAATTTCTCCATCATAATGAGTATTTGTTTCTGGATTATAAGCCATTACTTGTGGTGAATCTCACTTCATGCCTGGGTTTTTTATCTTCTTTAGGCTCTCCTCTGTCATTCCTCTCTCCTCTGATATTCAGTGTGTCCTCACTTCCTTTGTACCATATCTGAACTATAAAATAAGATTTTTCTACCCAGAAGCTATGATCCAAGTGCCAAGATATGCCCTGTTCTGATGCTTTATTACAGTAACACCTCCTAAAGAGCCCTGTCAGTTCCTGCTCGCGTGGCTGCAGCAGCTGGTCTCTGCTGAGCCCTGGGAGTTGGCATTAAGTGCAGTCGGTGTCAGAGCAGGAGGGCCAGGATTTGCTATGGGTCAGAATGACTAACACAGGGCTAGAGCTGCTTTAGCAACCTAGAAAACCCACTGCTTCTTGCAGGGAGGACTCAGGGAACGGTTGCCTGTATTAGCAACAGCCTGTGTAAACATCAGTCCTTGGCTTTAAAGAGTCCTTATACCCAGTAACAGCACAAATACAAAGCAGTCTCATGACAAATGGTCAGTCAGGAAAGTCTACAGACTAGATGATTTTTAATATTTTAAAATATTTTTTTAAATGTGTGTTTTGTTGAACTTTTATTTTGTCCCTCCTGAAAGAGCTGTGTTGGATTACAGGTGACAGTGTACGTGGGCCTGTACTGTGCTTCTGACTGGCATGCTTTGAGTCGGTCAGACCCAGTAACAGCTTTTCTGGAACACGTGCAACTGCAGATCCAGAAATAGGCACCTTTTTGGCAATAATTACTGGCACTTCCCTCCTTACCCTCCCGCCCCATTACAGACATAATGGTGTCCTCAGTGCCAAATTATTAAGGCTGCAGAGGATGGTACCACTTTTAGTCTCTACCCTTTTCCCTCCTTCCTAAACTGCAGCTGCTCTTACAGGAATAACACTTTCTTTTGGCCTTCAATGATGTTGCATCAGGGAGGAGCAGAACTTGATACCCTGGGTAACAACATTTGTTGTTTCAGTCAGAACTTGATACCCTTTTGGTTATTTGTTTCACATCCTGTTTAAAAACCAAGTGATCTTTGTATGGCAGTGATGATGACATTTCAAGTAGCAAAGGTGAAAAACCTGGCATTTTCCTGACTGAATGGCACAGTATGGAGGGGTAAGGATATAGTAGCGTGCAGTTGTGGTTAGTTTTTTGATGAAAGTTGCTTTTGTAATAGGAGTGCTAAAAGAGGGCTTTACTCTTCTGATGGTGCAACTAATTCCCCGAACAAGTGAAGGTTCTGTATTTTGATACAGGTTTTGCTTTTTTTTTTTACTTTTTCAGAGGGAAAACATTGCATGGTCGGTATTTGGGAAAGTTATAAAACTTTTTATGAGCTCTGCCACAGGATTGTCATGGAAATAACTTATGTTTGATCTCTTCAGCCTGTAAAATGGAGTTGAATAACCTGTTCCACCTCACAGGGCTGTGGCGTAGCTAATGCTCTGTGTTAATGAGGGCTGCACTTGAATGCAGAGTATAATTGTTGTTTTCCTTATCCCGCAGACAGAGAAGGATATCCTGTTACGTTCTGAGCTAGAGGAGATCCAGGTTCAGAATCCCGGTCGCTTTAAGTGTTGGTACACACTGGACAGAGCACCTGAAAGTAAGATCTAACATGCTACTTCCACTGACACTTGAGTATTAATGCATGTGTTTGGCAGTAGGTATGCTGTGTCATGTGTGTATTTCTGGGCTTCTTTCTTGCTTAATGATTTGTGTCTGAATGCATCCAGGAGCATCATTTTTCATCCAATGATCCACAGAAACTCTTAGGTGTAATTGGGCAGTGTTTCCAAAGTTGCACAGCTCCCTTCAGGTGAATGTTTGTGCATTGTTTCTTCCATGACTACACCTGAATCTTTACCATTATTTACTCTGGAAGGTGACCTTCCTTCCCCACAGGCATGATTATAACACGTTATCTTATTGTCTTGGGTTTAGAGCACGCGTTACGGCAGCTGCCGTGGGAGTGGTGTCAGAGGTGCTGTGTCTCACCCAGACGCGGCCGAGTGCAGGCTCCTGCCCAGCTGTCACAGTGTGGCAGTTCATGGTAGCTGATCTTCTTCCTAGGCCAGGGAGTTGCCTTTGTATTAACACTGTTTCTCCATGACAGTACTGTTGCAGCTTGGTGCAGTCGAGTTTTAAAGAAAATGCGATATAGCTGGCTGGTTGAGGTGAGAGGATGAGCCAGCTGAATGTGCCTCCCTCAGCTGAGCAAGTTTGAAGAAGGAAAGCCTAAATAGTTACTGCCATTGTGAAAAGGCTCAATAGTTTCCATGTCGTTCCTTGTTGTCTTCCTTTTTTACCATTCCTTGTCATGCCCACCCACATCAGGATAGATTCACACTCTATTCAGTGATAGTTTGGGGCAGAGAAGAAAAAGCCATATGCCTTCTCTTGCCTTGTGACCATGAGTACACCGCAGGTCGGGTGGGGGTAAGGGTCTTGCCATCCTCACAGTCTGTTGCTGCCATGTCATCTTCTGCAATTAGTGTTCTGGAATTTCTAATCACTGTTCCTTTTCTTCGATAATTGTGACTTGTGAACTGATCTTAGCAGTTGCGATAGAAATTTCTCCTTAGACCCCCCCAACACTGTTCTGCTGACTTTCACTACCACATGTGAAACCAGACCAAAACCAGAAACTTTTGGGTAATTGGTGGGAGAAAAACATGTCAGTCTTACCGTGCCCGAAGGTTTGGGCCAGCAGCTTTTTGCAGCCAGGGCTGGGGATGCGATGGGTAAACCTGAATCCTACTATGAACTGATGAGCACCGTGAGTGTTCCAACGGGGAACAGCTACATCAGCTAGATTTCCCCTCGTGATCCTGTAAATGGGGGGGTACGGGGATGGATGCTGTTATTTCACAGTTCTGGAGCTGAGAAGAGTTACATTCTGTTCACAGCTCTGCTTGAGATTTCCTTGGGGCTTTTAGCAAGCTTTATTAAAAATTAGCCCTTGTTTTCTCCATACATCAGTATTGCATCTTAAAAGCGGAGGTGGCAGTTTTTCCATGTAGTGTAACTGTGTTGAGGACACTACTGCAAGTGGAGTGTACAAATGCTGCAGTCCAGAAGGCTACTAAAAAAACCCCAAACCGCAACACTCATTCTAAAGCAACTTATATCTGTCTCTTCCTCGCTTCCCTTTCCCTACTTTAATTTTTTCAACAGGTTGGGATTACAGCCAAGGTTTTGTGAACCAAGAGATGATCAGAGACCACCTGCCCCCACCTCAAAACGATGTTCTGATCCTTATGTGTGGACCTCCTCCAATGATCCAGTATGCTTGCATTCCCAACCTGGACAAACTGGGCTACACCAAGGAGATGAGATTCTCCTTCTAAAGATGACTGATGATTTGGTGATCTTATGTAGAAAGGAAGAAAAAAACATTTAAAGGGGAAGAGGACAGAGTTAGAGATGGCTGATGCACAGTGCTGGGAAGCTACATTTACATAAAAATGTTTCATTTTTTCTCAACCTCTGGCAAGTAAGACATCTAAGCTCAACTGTACTAAAATTGTACTGTATGTTGCACAAACAACTGTACTGTGGAAAGGTGGTGATGCCTAGTGCTTGGCTATATTGTATGCTTCATCTCAAGGGAGGACAGTATAGCTGCTTAGGGCAGAAAACACTCACAGTTTTTCTTAGCCCTGTAATCAAGTGGCAGTAATATCCTATTTCCTAACACTGTGCATACCCAGTATTTTTTTTTTTTTGGTATGAAGTATGAAAATACATAGAACGTACTGGATTATTCACCTTGCTTATGCCAAATTTGAATCCTACAGAGTTCTTACCGTATGAGGGCCAGGAGTATTTGCCTTGTATGCATAATCTTTGCAACATCAGAAGCTTAAAGATGCTTGTTCAGTTGAAGGATGACAGTTAATCATTTATGACTGAAGTAGATGAAACTGTCTTGTTAGTCAAAACAGAAGTAGACAGCAATACAAAATTTGTTTCCTCTGTACTTTGGAATAGCTGCTCTTGAATGCAAACAGTTTTCTAGCTGGTTACACTTCTTGTCCTTGGGCAATGAAAGAAACTGCAGAAAGCCGGTGGCTTTGTGCACTGTTCCACAAATAGCTGGAATGTTTTGCTTTTATGTGTGTGGAATACAGAAAAAAAAATACTAACTTCTGTATTTACTTTTAAATAGCGGATGGTGCCATAGGAGTACAAAGGCAATTGTTCCACATGTCCTGTGCAGTGATAAAAAATGCTGGGTGAAAGCTGGATCTAGTTTTAGTTTCTTGTTTCCCAGAGATGGATTTGGAACAAAGGGAGCTCGGGTTTCATTGCCAGGGTGGGTTTCAGCAGGTAGCCTGGCTTCGGATGGGCTGTGCCTGCAGGCAGGGCACTCGCCTGAGTGTCTTGCTCAGGCAAATCTCCAAAGAGTTTTGCTTGGTAAGGATGTGTGGGAACAGCCTTAAGTCACCAAACTGACAGCAAATTCAGATGTCTCACTGAATCTAAAACTCAGATGCTGTTTACTATAGCTCTGACTTTTTTTTTTTTTTTTTTTTTTTAATATACTACTTTTTACAGCAGCCTTCTACCTAGCCTTTAGTAAACTTAAGGCATCTTGCGTGCCGGACCTTCTGCTTCTAAAGAACAGAGGTGCTGCTGAGATGAGAGCTGTCCTGCAAGGAATCTATGAAACTAAAAATCTTGTTCTGGTAATGAAATTAGAGTTAACCGAAAGGATGCTTAGTCATGTATGAAGTAATGTGGATGCTACTTAGCTACAGGTGTCAGTGTGTAATACCACTTTAAAAAAGATTCGAGTAGATACTTGAGGTTATAGCTTGCCATGTTTTCTTTTGTGCCTGTAAAACAGATGGGTACTGTGCACTTAAAAGATTAATTTTCAGCATGAATTAAAAGGAGAAAAAGATACTACAGTTAATTTAAGGAACCTCAAATGGATAATGCTGTTGTTAATTTTATTAATTAGATGCTTGCCTCTGAAGTAATGAATTTTTGATGTGTGCTTCTGAGACTTCTTCTTTAATACTATGATCCAAAGTTCAAATAATACTTGAGTAAGTTTCAGTCCTCTTTTTAGGAGGCAAAAAGCAGAAATATGAGAGGAGTGATCTTGCTGCTGGTTTATGTTACTGTGGGATATGCAGATTTTTTTTCATTATTGTATTTAATGAAATTTTCATGTAAACAAACCAACTCTAGCTGGTTATGCATCGACTATTTTGTATTACTTTGCTTATTAAATTACTGGCTTTTTTCACATTTGTGTAAGAAATAAAGTGTCTTGCAGGTGAATCACCTGTGTGTTACTGAGCACATCATCTTCAGCTTCATAAGAGACAAACTATAATTATAAAATACTCTATAAAGTGAAGGTTCAAAAAAAAAGGCCTGTTAGATTTGTTTTACCTAAGTGCTTGTTTCTTTCGTTTGGTTGAGTTTGGTGAAAATTGCTGTATTTGGATGCCAAGTCAGGGAGTAAATTGTTTCTGTTTTCCTCCATCACTCCAATCTCCTCTTTTTACCCTTATTTTGTACATCTTCCTTGTGAACATGAGGCTTTTTTAATAAATAAAAAGAGGGATTTTATATGATCTACTGAAAGAAAACTGTGTCACAGTCCCTTTTGCTTGATGGTCCTGTACTACCGCATTCAAACAAGTTGGTGATAAAAATCGGTTTTGCATACTGTTATGTTTTTTTTCCTCTGAGCCAGTTCATCTGTCTGTCTTACAGAGAATATGAGAATTTCTCCAGTTTTCTGACAGGATGTGCTGCATACTACTGACCTCACACAGCTGGGGCAACACGAACCTCCTGGATGAAGGGCGTTTCGTGGAAAGTTTCCTGAGAGAAACAGGATCGAGAGGGCTGCTGCTGCCTTGGCTTTCCCAGAGGTGGGTCCCCTTCCCTTACTGCTGTGCAGAGGCAGATGCTGCCCCCACGCACAGCGAAGGCACGCTTGCATACGGCAGTGGTCTTTCTCTGGGGCCTGCTCCTGTGGCAGCAGAGGCTCTGAGAAGGAAGGGGGTAAGAAATAAGCCATTCCATAATCTCACTCCTGTAGCTGGGCCTTGAGCCTGCGCTTCCCGCGGCGCCTGGGCCGGTGTGCTGGCAGCCCTGTCAGGGCTGCGCGGGCCAGAGCTGCAAGCAGCTCTTGGTTCTGGGCTGCTTGTGGTGAAGTGACCACTTGGCCTAAGCGAGGCCTCGCCTGTCCTGGCTTCCCTGCTGCCTGCAGGGCAGGTAAGGAGATACACATTGCCTCAGGGGTTTAATGTCCTCTGAAAGCTTCTGGTAAAAATAACTTGGTTTACAGAAAGGGGCCTCATATTGTTCCTGAGCTTTTCTCCTCTTGATCCTGCCCAGGTGAACAGGAAGAAAAGGAGCGTTGCCTGAGCAGAGCCCATGCAGCAGCCAGCTTCTCCATGTTTGTAATTTCTTACAGGTAGGGGTTGGGTGTGAGTGGGGGTACAGTGGTCTGTGCCTTTCCTTGCTTGAACAGTGTAAGAGGTAGCGGTAGCATTTGCTTAGTGCTTCTGGGGATCATGCCCTTCCTGCCACCCCACCCCACAGTGTGAAGTAACAGAACAGGACCCTGTTTTTAAACAGATCTACCCCAGCACTCCCAAAGGATCTGTCACCAGCCATCTGCATCAGGCTCTTCTCTGTCGGGCCTGCGCCCGGCTCCCGGCAGTGGGCGTTGGGAGTGTGCACAGGCAGACAGCTGTGCAGAATTGCCCCAGTGTGTAACTTCCATAGTTGGAACTCTATAGGCAAGACATTTTGATTCCTCCCTTCCCTTTCCAATGCTGAAAAAGCATACGCAATCCAAAGGAAGAAGTCCAACCAGTTTTCAGAGAGACAGCGTTCCTGCAGAGCTGAATAGCTTGAGACACACATACTAGTTACAGGAAAGACTAATTTAATGCAAAATGAAAGCGTTTCTGTTGGTCTTTCATAAAACAATAAATCCTGCTCCAATATTGGTTATGCTGTTAGGCAAAAAAAAAAACACCAACCTTCACCTTCCTGAATGGATGCAGAGCCCTCACTCTGCACATACCCCCCAAGCTGTGCATGATTTCTGGGTAAAACGCCACACCTATCCCCTTAAACCCCCGCTACACACAAAAAATACAATGATTCCAGCTCTTTATAAACAACTATGTCCTTGAATTATTTAAAAACTGAAAGGCCTCCCTTCTCCATATCCAGCTATGTTTGTAACTTGGCAAAAATTTCACAGGTCTCTGTTGTTACTTCAGTTCACTTTTCAGCCTCCACACCACGGAAAGCTGTGAACACGTCTAGCACTGATGCTGCAGTGTCTTTGTGCCCCTTTTTTAATGGCTCTGTAAATAACAGCCTTTATTTCTCAGCTGTCACAGCTGCCCCATCTTATAACTTAGATAGTAAATAGTAAAATATGCACAAGCTTTTGAAATTATTTTTATTCAGTTAAATAAATAGAATAAAATGATAGGAAAAGTACAGGCAGAGGAATTTTGCACTGACAAAGCTATAAACAGAGTTGACCAGTTTGAAAACTGATCAGGTCATCCTTCACTGGTTAACTGTGGCTGAAAGAAATTAAAATTGTGAGACCTAGAAGTCTCACTTTGTCCACTAAAAGCTGAGAGAAATTGAATAAATCAGGCCGTAAATGAAAATCAGCTGCTAAGCTACTGAAAACAAATGCCAAATGAAATACTTCTGCCTCCTCCAGACTTTTGCTGTCAGGAGAGGTGATGAGCTGCCTCTGCTGCTGTGAAAAGCAAGAACTCTCACCAATGTCTCCAGGCCCAGGTCTTTGTCCCTGTTTGTTGACTTTCCCCCAAGTTTTCTTTACCCCTGCCACTGCCTTTTGCCACACCTTGACCTGACACAGCTGCTCAGCAAGGCTGGGCTTTGCAGTGGGGACCAGCCCTGCCCCTGAGTTTCAGTCACAGCTTCAGGGCCCTCCACTGACTGGCACTGATCTAGTTTAAGGGGCAGGTAAGTAGCAGGCTTCTCTTAGAACTCATTTCTATCACAGGGAAGGGGTTTTCATCTTCGTTAGGAACCAGCTCACTCCTCCAAACCAGCCTTTTTAAGCCCTGGTGTTGTCCTTCATGCTCAAGGAAAATCTGACCAGCACCAGTACATTTCATTATGGACTCAACCTCCTAATAGAGGAAAAAAATGGGCTGCACAGTAAACAAAGGCTGTGAGTCAAATCTACCACGACCTCCCAAAGGCTCAGGGCACTAAAGCTTTCATCAGCTCCAGCCAAGACTTAATGTCTGGTGAACAACATGTTCTGGAAAAATGATGTGCTGTCTATAAGCTCATTTTTCTGGCAGGTAGGTCCTGTTGTTTTAAAGCCTGGGAAGGCTGACTGAGCCTGGCTCCTGCAGGAGCTGAGGGAACGCGACATGCGGAGGGGAAGGCAGGAAATAAGGAGATGGAGGGAAGAGCATGGGAGAAGAAAAGCGAGAGGTGCTGGTGTAAAAAGAGCCACTGCTGCTAGCCAGTGGTTTACAGAAACTTTATGTACACATTGCCCACCTCCTTCTGTCCGTTTTTTGCACAGAGGCAGTTTTCCAGCATGTCTTTTGTGGGCAGGAAGCTGTCAGTACTGGTGACAAATTGCCGTAGCGCATTCCTGCCTGACAGGTGGCATTTTTGCTCCTTGTTGGCAACGCTGTCTAGCATGACTCCTCGGATGTCCTTAGGCTTCCCTGGCACACCAAACATGAGGAACAAGCCCAGGCAGTCCCGTCCTACCAGGCAGCAGAACTCTGCCAGCTTCTCAAACCTGCTCTTGTTTTGGAAGCGCCGGTCTGCCAGCGCTACTTCCCGGCAGCAGTCCTCCGCCGCCTCGGCAGGGCCACCTTTGCTGCAGAAAAGCTCAGCCAGTAAAGCTGTAAGCAGTAAGCAGTAAGGCTGTAAAGCCTGTACGGCGACCTGAAGTTTGATTTGCTTGTCAGCTCCAGAAAGAGTCCAGATCCAGTCCACTCCCAAGAGGGAGGGCTGCTGCTTGGTCATTTTGCTGGTCACGATACGTTCCTCCACTCCCTTTTCCACGCAGAAGCTGATGAAGTTGACCAAAAAGATCTCGCTCAGCTTGTCTGTGGCTGGCTGGAATTTGCTCTGGGGATCCACAAAACCAAGATAATTCTTCATCCTTTCAGATGCATGAACCACGCCTTGGCTGAAGACTTCACAGAGGACTAACGTTTCAGCCTTGTTCTCCTGGTTGTCTTCGTGCGAGACCTTCTGGCCCATTCTCAGTGCAGGACAAGGTCATTTCCACATGCAGACCGCCTTGGGAAAGTCCTTCTCTTTTCAGCGAAGGCTCTGTAGGTACTGGGCTGAGCCAGCCCTGTTAAGCATGCACATGGTACCTGTCGCCTCCCCAGTGAAGGTCACGGCAGCGGCAGAGTCGAGCTCTGTGAGCCCGCTGCGGTCCCGCCAGGCAGACAGGCTTTCTCTGGGGTGTTTCTCTGCAGCTGACTGAGCAGTGACCAGCCAGACAGGCCCAGTAACTTGCTCACCTACTGAATTCCTCTGTGCTTGTTTTCCTTATTGTTAATCTGACACCATTCCTTCAGCCGATGCTATCTCCTTTCAGTCTGATCTTATCTCCTTTGATCTCCTTTCTAGGACTATTACAGAGAAGCCATTTTACTGACACTGGATGTTTCCTGAAGGTGAAACCATCTTATCGTTTTAATCATGCAGGGAAGGGTATGCATCCAAACCTGAAGACTTCTACACGGTGCTTGAAATGACATGGTGGTCTTTTCTGATGGGCTTTTCTGTTGCCTGTATGCCAAGATTAACTGCTGTTACCGTCAGTGGCATTAGCTGTGCCATGGCAATGCACATGGACTCAGCTGGACATTGGCTCAACTGAGAAGCTCGTGCAGTTGCTGCCTGTAACTGGATTACCTCAGGGAAGCTTGGACAGTCAACACGCCACCACACAGGCCTATCAGATACAGTTACAAATAAAACCCCTTCCGAACCCTGCAAAACCCTAGCTCCCTGAAGTCCCTAAAGACAACGTCTCCCTAGCCATGAAAGCTGCAACCTATGTCACCACTGCAGCAGGAGCCAGCCCTGTTCAGCTCTGGGTGCTGCTGGTGCCAAATGCACCACTACAGTCTCTCCACTGGCCCAGGACCTCACCAGCATTCTCAAGAAACAGGCTCTGTCCTGCTGAACACTGCTCTCCCTCCTCCTCTTCATTCTGAATGAGTGAAAACAGCGTCAAGGAGCTGTCTTTCTCTGCCCTCTTTACTCCCATTGCTCGAAACATCTTATACCATCTCACTCTCCTGCCTACGGATGTTCTTGTGCTCCTGCCACCCCAGCGACACACCTCAGGTGCATGGGCTGGTCAGTCCCGCCGCTGCCCTTGGGTCCCACTAAGAAACAGATCAGGTGCTACATACTACGTGTCTTTTCTTCCACAGGTCTTCAAATGTGTCATGGGCCCATCTCCATTCCTTCACAACCTTCTCAGCTATGATTAGGGAGCATGCTGCTGCTTCTCTTATCTCTGATTGTAACTCGAATTCCCTTTCTATTCGAGGGGTCCCCAGCACTCTTCTAATACTCTCTCTTTGATGTCCATTGCTCCAAATCTACTGGAAACTCAGAAGGTTTTGCCTCCTAGCTGCCTCAGCACAATCTTCTTCCTCCCAACAGAGGATAAAGAGGCTCAGTAGGAAAAGCTCTTGCTGCAAATGAAAATGCCAAAATACTAAGGTGAAGCATGAAACATTCAAAACAACGAAGTGGTGCAAGGTATAAAAAGCATGCGGGTAGGGTAAGTACAACTGCTCCCCTAAAGGGAAAGCCAGGATGCAACAATACCTAGTGGGTGGGAATTAGAAGAGTCATTCCAGAGGTTATTCTGGATTACTTCTCCATTCCTAAACATACATGTAATTTATGTGAACAGAAAAAAGCTGGGTTTAATCTCCACAGGCTCTCGATCGATACAGATCTATCTCTTCCTCATCACTGTAAGCAGACATCAAAAGTTTATTACACTCTAGGTTTCAAAGTGTTTATCCTCAGTGTTCCCACTGAAATGTTGAGCTGATGAACAAAACCACAGAAGCAAAGGTAATAAGAGAGGGGTTCTCCATTTTCTGGTCTGTTATCTGGGCTACACTGGGAAAAACACTGATGACCATTTGCACCTGCACCCCAGCAACAAAACTAGTTTGGGGAAGCTCAACTCCTGTTGGCAAAATAGCTGGAGCTCCTATGACTGCTGAGGGCTGCAGGGGCACAGGGCAGGGAATGACGCCGGGCACCAGAGGTGGCTGCCCTTTACAGCAAGAAGGGCCAGAGCTGGCCCTTCGTCGGCACCCGGCGAGGACGCCCCGAAGAGCGCGCGCCGAGCAACGGGGAGGCACCTCCTCATCGCACCGTGCAAACAGCCCAAGGTGGTTCAAATCCCGATCCCAGAAATAAGTAAAAAGACTCGGGGGTGGTGGATTTCTTAGCTGTTAGCAGAGTCCTTCTGCAGGTACTATCGACAAATGAACTAATGAGTCCACAAAAAAAGTGCGATTTTGCCCCTTCTCCCTCCTTCGTCTTTTACATAGAACGAGCTTCCTAGGAGAATAAAAGGAAAAAAAGAGGATACATTAAAAAGGAACCAGCTTCCAGAAACACCTGGCATTTTCCACAGACTTTATTGGATTTTACATGGCAATACACAGTAGTTATGTTGCCCTCTTCAAACACGCGCAAATTAAAATACCCCAAGGGTATCGACTGTGTGCACACGTGCACAGAAACTTCCTGACTTTACTGCTTGCTTTCATATTCCGCCCCATAAAATAACCAAGGTTCAGATGATGGGCAGCTTCAAGGGGATGACCTGGCTTCCAAGTGCTGAATGCAGGAAAGGGCTGCTCGGAGCAGAATGCTACTCACACTGGACTTAAATAAACCGTCCTTTGCCATTGTCGATATGCTTGCTAATAGCACTGGACTGAAGAGAAATCAGAGAGTATTTGTTTGTGCCTACTTCAGCACGTAATATCGTGTCACTAGCCCCCCTTTTGTTTAATCCTGTGGCTATCTAGTCATGTTAACTAATCATGTTAACTAGTCGGCATCTAGTGAGAGCAAATCTGGAGGAATACTTTAGCTCAGAAGCCTGCACCATGTCTCCCCAGTGCTTCTCCAGCATTTGGGAGAGCAGGGTCTTAAGCTCAACTTGCGTGTAAATAATAACCATATCGCAGAGTTTCACAGAAAGCGAGCCCTGAATTCACATCCCAAGCATCTGCACCCTAAAGCTGACAGCAGGCGTGACATAATGTGGTATTTCTGCCCGAATAAAATAGCTCAAACGCCCCCAACTGCAGAGGAAGAAACAACAGACAGCAAATTATTTGCAGGCAGGAATTAAAGAAGAATATTGAATAAAGGATCAGTTGTGATCTGTTTCTAGACAAATGGTAAGCAGCACAAACTATTTTATGGATGCATCGTGGATTGTTTGCCTGGCTCCAGTTGCTAAAGAAAAAATGGCAGCACTTGATATTATGTATAACACAACCAGTCCACATCAAATTTTTCATCTTGGTACATAAATAATAGCCTACACTGCACATCCTTCCAAGAACCAGGCTGGTAATAGCTTGTCAGGTTACATTCTAGCCTTATACTATTGTATCTCAAACCCACAACATCTGATGGGAGCTCCCTGGAAGTCCTGAAAGAGCCTTTCTTCCTTGTTAATAGTGTTTCAGAAATATCCACAAAGTCAGTGCAAATCTCACATCCCCTGCACCGCACCAGCAACTGTCGGAAACGGCCTCACGTCCAGCAAGGACAGCGATGAAACGACTGACAAACCCTTGGTAAAGCAACACACCACTGCAAACAACTCCAGCTGTACTCTTTTTGCTTTTACAAAGCACAGAAGCTTCATGCCATTGTGCTAAAATACATGCAACATTCAACACCATACGAATGACCACTGTAATAAACAGAGTTACTTTTTTTCGCTTGTTTGCTTTTGGCTAGGACACCTCGCGGTAGCAGAAGTCTGACAAAAGATTTCCACTGGCTAGTTATGATTTTTAAAATCTGATGATCTTCAGATACAGAGGAGTTGTGCTTTAAGATGGTAAAATGATGAGCAACGTTTGATATTTGAATTTTGGAGGAGAAGTCCCACCTTAGCTTTAATATTATGAAATAATATATTTCCTATACATTTTTCTATATAACTTTTTTTTTTTTTTTGCAACTACACCATCTTTACGTTAGTCACAGCACAGAAATATCCCTTCCATATGCGGGGAGTACTCTCAACTTTAAAGAAATTTTTTAAGTCACAGAAGTGTTAATAACCTTGTTTGAATGCTATAACTACTCCTGCTGGGAACAAGAAAGAAGACGTATTAAAATGTGCAGTTTCCGTAGGTGTCGCTGCTGGAAGAAACATGCTTTGTAATTGTTTCATCCCAAATGGAAGATCATTAAACTGTGCACTTAGTAAAAAGCAACGAAAGCAAACAGTTCCAAAGGTCAGCCTGCCTTTTCCAGTAACCAGCTGGTACGCAAACTGGCATAATTTTTTTTACAACTCTCTCCCCCTCCCCTACACCTCAAACTTTCCATCACTATCTCACAAAATTAAAATTTTTGCTTTTATATGTTCTTCATATACTTTTTTTTTTTTTTTTTTTTTTTTATAAAACAGTATAAAAATAAGACCAACAGTCAAGAGCTACTGGGGAGTTTATGCAGGGCATGAATTGCTAAAACCCTACACTGGATATCATAGGAAGGGCAGAACTGGTATTTGTGCCAAACAAATGCACTTGAAAAAGAGCAGTAACATCTTTTTCAGCTGAGAGACTAGAGAAAGCTGATGCACAATATCCACACAGTACTTCTACCTAACATCTTCTGTTATTTTGAAACAATATAAAGGATTATCTGAGGCCGTGAATAAACAAAACGAGCACTATCATACCACATAAATTTAAATGCAACACTTTGAAACGTATCACCAGTTTGTACATTAAATACAGTTAAAAACAATTACCATTCACCAGTGTCTGGGTGTTTCTTATGGCAACTTTTAGAGTAGGCACCATTTTTTTTTTTTCCTCCTTTTTTTTTCCAAATTCTCCACTCCCCTAATGTTACTTCTAACAAACAGAAGCAAGAGCAATGTAATGTACGTGATCTGCTGCCCGACACGTGTAACGATGACCTTTCTTGCACATAGGAAAGTGAGCCTTTGTCAGTGCCCGGTGGTTACTGTCACACGTTGGAGTCCTCATCTGTTATACTGGTGCTAGGAGAGCGAGTCGCAAAGTCTTTAAACATTTCATCCTCTTTCAACATGTGCTAGAAAGGAAAGGAGGGAAGGGTCAAGGTTCGGGCCCTCACAGCTGAAACCGGGCAGCCGGGATGGCCCGGCCCTCAGCCCTGCCAGCCACCGCGCCCTCCTGCTCAGGACGTTTTTCACCCACGCTGGTGAAAAACCAGCTCGCTGCTGTCTGCTGGCCCGAACGGCTCGGGGAGCGCAGGCTGGGGCTGGGCTTCCACCCAGAAAACGTGCGTGACCCTCAGCTGGCAACTCACTGGCCCAGAGCCGGGTGCCGTGTCCCCTGCCCTCCCCGGAGGTGGCGGGCGGGCCAGGAGCGCTGGCGGCCACGGGCCACCACTCCCAGCCGGGGGAACCTCCCCGCCAGGGTCTTCCTGAACTGCTAATTTTTCTTGTCTCCTCTGTCTCTGTACAAACCCCAAAGGAGCTCAACTGGCCCCTGGTTTCGATGAGGCTTCACTACGCCCATCACCTGGCACGGTGTTTTATATACTCCAGCCCTCAGAGCCCCGTGGCGCTTCGCTATCCAAGGATAAGGTCCCCGCTGTGCACTGAAATCAGTCAAAGCAATTGCCCCCAAAATTACAAAACTCAGCTGCTTGACAGAGCCAGTAATAGCAAAGAAAAGTTGTACTTAGTGTGTTTATATTAAATAGTGATGCTATTTAATACCAGCAACTGCCAAAGGGGTTTATACCCATCTTAAAGAAACAGAGATCTTATTCCACAGGCCCCACTTTTAAGCCTTACTGTCAAGTTGTTGATGCCTTCAGAAAACGCTCCTATTTGCCTCACTGTCCCTTCTGAATCTTCCATCTACAAAAAAACAGATAATGAATACTGAATCAATAATGAATTCATTGTATGTCATGACAGTGGCAATTAAGTGCAGCACATAATGTAACTGCTTGATTACAGCCGACGTGGTCAGAGCAAGGGAGAGGCGTGCCCTGTCTGGAGAGGACAGCTCTGCCCGAGCAGGTCCTAAAGGTGCTGTGTTCACAGCCTGACCCTCCTTGGGCCGACAGACACTTTTGTTAATAACGGCTGAGCGACTGCAAGCAGTCAGGACCTTCACAGGCCAAATGAAAAGGAAGGCTTCCATGGGAAAAGGAAGGCTTTCCACCAAGCCTGACAGCACAGTCAAAGACTTCAAACTGCTAGAACTGACCTACCTGCTCCAGCCTGTCCAAATCATCATCGTCATATACTCGGATATCCAGGCCAGGCTTAAAACCCTTCTTTGACCCACTTCCAGCTGCCCGCCCCAGCTCCATAGGACACACATACTCTTCCACATCATCTTGCTTCTTCTTCCTCAGGCTCCCAAAATTGCTGAAGGCAAGTTTCTTTGGCTTACAAGTGAAGAGAAAATTGACAAGAAGTTAGAGAATCGGCAAAGCATTAACAGATCTCTTACTCTTGCACTGGTGTTTCAATGACAAAGGGCCTCCTAAACAAAGATCTTCCGAATAGCCGTATTTCACGATAATTACATCTGAAAGAACAAGATGTGTCCCCACATTCGATTGTTAAGACCTAACACCACTTAAAAGGATCCCAAATGAGATCAGAATCCCACTGCATTAAATCACGAACATATAAACAGTAATAGACAGTCTCTCTCCCAACCATCTTACAGTACAGACAGAAGGACAACACACAAGTACCATCTCTAGTCTGTGCATGTGAGAGGCTGACACGTGGTACGTTCATGGTAGACGCAAGTCTCAAACCCAGATCTGCTGACTCCTGCTCTCATGCTTCTTTCATGACCAGCCAGGCCCTTTTCTCAGACCTTACTGAACTGCCCTCCAAACACGGATAAAACCAGCACAGTGGAGATCCAAATCTCTGCCTGGGAGCTCACGGACTGACCCAGAACAAGTGACCCACCTTTACTTTGGCAGTCGCTGTTAAGAGGACGTAGTCTGGGGACTCCATGGCTTCACGCTTCTGCTGCTGGGCCTCCTGCCCAATGAGGAGGTTGAAATGAGTCGCCAAGTGCCGTCTCAGTAGCGTCTTGTTTGGTGGGATGTTCAGCAACTGTGCCATGGTTTCTACATTGAAACGAGGCTCCAAAACCTATTAATCAAATCACATAGAATCCAGCTGAAATCAATACTATCTAATAAGGTCTCAAGGACATCAACAGGCACACCCATCTTGGTCACTTCCTAAGGTTGCTTTGGGATTTTTGTTTGTATTTTAGAGGAAACATACAACAAAGAGGAAGAAAAGAGAGTTAATTAATTAATGGATTCATAAAATGCTATCTCCAGGCTTTCCTTCTTGAGTTCTAAATAATATCAAGTTGGCAGGTAAGAAGAAAGGAACAGATAAATCCATGCTTAATTGATGTAATGTGTGAAGTTGCCACAAAAAGTTTACCCACCACCCTCTTTAATTCTGGAAAACATAGCCAGACGAAGGATGGAAAACAGACATAAAATGTTTGGAGCAGGGATATACCTCTTAATCACCACAACAAACTTCTGCAAGTATAAATCTCTTGTCTGGAGTATCTGGTGCTAGGGCAATTAAAAACAATCCTGGTTTGGGACTGAAATCACAAATTATAGAAAAGTCACAAGCCTTCCTCACAAAATAAAAATATATCCAGGTCTAGGAAGGAAGGCGGTGGCTGTTTAACAACAGTGCACAGGATCATAGGACAGGAGGTGGAGAATGCCATACCTAAATTAAATCCTGAGGCGAATACAGATAATCAAACTCATTGCTGCCCATGACACTCGTGTCCTTTAAACTACAGGCTAACAAATTGTGATAGCAATGTCTTATTAAGCAGAATGAGAAGATAAGGTGTGTGCAGCAAAGATAATGTCAAAACTTTGCTCTAGTGATTCTCAGGCATATTTTTTTTTAATAAAATTGAACAAGTCAGCCTAAAACCTTACCATCAGTCCCCCATGCACACCGCTCCCCCGCAGGTTAGGTGCATACTCTGCCAGATCAACGGAGCGTAACCACTCCATCACCCGATGGTTGGTCCACTGGGTGACCTCAGAAGGCGTGACATTATGCTGTGAACAGGAGGAACAGGCAGTTATGGAGAACTCCTGACTCAATTGTCTCAGCCCCGGTTTTTACTGAAACAAACCTCTCCTGCACTTAATCAATGCAAGATGACATTGCGTTTGAGAAAAAAACTCCTCTTTTTGGATTGCTATCTTGCAGCAATAACAACGTGGAGATGGGTCTGGACAGTGGGCAGGTCTCTATTATGCTCCATGTCATTTGATTACCCTGCTGTGCACTAGGACTATTTGCAATTTCTAGCAGCAGAACTGAAAATTTAGCTCCATGAGCTGCTGTGCTTTTCTTGCAGATATGCAATGTGAATCTAAATCCAAGAGTCTGGGTTGCTTCATCATCCGTGGCCCTATCCAACACACGCTGCTTCTGAAACAAACTGAAGGCAGTCTCCCATCTGGTAACAGGGCCAAATTCCTCTTACACAGAAAATTATGACACAGCCATCAATTTTCCAGTTCTTACACAAGACTCACAGCAACAGTGCACTGAGATCAAGATGATTTCTGTTCCAGACAGCACATCAGAGACCGGGCCAAAATAGCCAGCTTTTGGCTAGGAAGAGGAGCAGGAGATTTGGCAAGGGGGACATGACTCTGGGGCCATGGCAGGTGAAGGAAAGAAAATGGTGTTCCAGGAAGTGCTGGCAGAGCATGAGGTTGGAAGAACAATATGAGAAAAAGGAAACTGAAAATGAAACAGAATGAAATAGGAAGGCGATAGGAGGGAAGAGCAGAGCAGGAATAATCAGAAACACCAGGGAAAAAAACCCTAGAGGATTCTGCTTCCCAGCAGTACCTCATCAGACGGCCTCCTGCGCAGACAGTTCGGCTCAAAGTTATTTATTCTCAAAACCTGAATGGCTCTTTTGATGCTGAGGTGGTGGAGGACACTGACAACTTTCAAGGACAGCAAGTCATCCTGTTGAAGAGGAAGGGTGAGTGAATAAACATAAATGTGCTTACTGGTGGAACCAGCACCCAACTGGAGGAGACTGCTTCAGGCCCTGGCTTAAAATGGCACATCTGACACATTCCAGGGTAAGATTTTAATATGCGAGACACGTGATTAACCTCAAACAACCTAACCTAAAATAAAAGCTTCCTGTGTTGTACTGTACTAGCTCCTGGGCAACGTTCTTCACATAGGGTACAGAGCTCAGTTCAAGAAACCTGGGGTAACAAGGAGGAGATGGGGTGAGAATGACACATCCTCAATGATCTGATTAGAGCCAGGACAGCTTTCCAAACACAGTGCATCAGACTCACCTGGCATTTGCATTTAATCCCGCCAAAAGTTTTACTACCACAAACATCCAGCTAAAAGTTTAACTGAAAACAATATTTACCCTGAAAATTGAGGCATTCTGTATGGCTAGAATGGAAAAATAGAGGGAATAAGAAAAAAATAGAAGGTGTTTCAGGTCGATCTCCCACAACTACAAATGATAAATGTATTTTAAAATGCTTGTCACAAGTGATGGAACAATAGGAAGGGTCACCATACCCGGGCTGAGGAGAGGCTCACCTTAAGACTCCTTGGCCCCAGCTCACCAGCCCTGTGTAGCTCCTACCTTGCACAGGCAGCCACTACGGTTCGAGGGAAGGAGGGCAGGTTGGCCAGGAGTGCCAATTCCTCCTCACAGGTGCCACGGGAGCATTCTGCACACGTGGGCAGCCTGAAGGTTGGGGCTCTGTGACAAGGCACTGCAAGGTGACCTGGCTGTGCCTTTACACCACACCACTTTCAGCGTGGGATGAGCCGCTTCTCACACATCGCAGGGCAAGACCCTGCCAAGGCACGGCCACACTCCTTGCTGCAACACATCGGTGATACTAACAAAGCAGCTGGTTCTTTCTCCAAAAGCTTGATCCTCGCTATGTTTTTTACTTAAACATTCATCTCACGAGGGACTTATTTTATAGCTCGCGCTGACTGGCTGTTTAGGCTCCCACCAGTGTCCATGGAAAGTGTCAGGCATCTCTTAGGACAATTTGTGCCATGCCAAGGAATGAAATGGTGCCTCACAGCACCCCTCTCTGCACAGATGACTATGACACATATGACCACAGCACACAGATGACTATGCCTTTGACTGTACAGGTAGGTTTTTTAGATGTCAAGAGCCAGGAGAGATTAATTCCTCCCTTTGTGACTGCAAGAGAAAGCAGGAGTTTTGCTTTAGCTCCATCAAAGCTCCTTCTTCTTCTCCTTGTACTCAGGGCTCCTTCAAACCACTGAGGATGGGAGAGACAGGGCCTTCTGGCACCCAAGGGGCTCAACTCACAGGACATGTGGTGGACAATGGCGAAGGAGACAGAAGGTTTAGATGAGGCTCACAGGTTAAAAAAGGCTGTGGGTGATACCCAACACGCCAACCTGCTGACCAGTTTGCAGTCTACACAATGCAGAAGGTGTCATGTTTTGCCCACCTCTGGTTTCACTCCTATGTTTAGCCCCAGAAATTTATAATTTCAAAACGAAAATAATCAGATTCTCTCTCATTTAGAGAGCCCAGCCATGAATATGTTGTAAGGAGGAATATGTGACAGGCCTGGCTAGACTTCCCAGCTCTCTCACTGCTGCTGTTGCTCCAGAGGAGTGCTATGAAGGAAAATCCTCCCCTGCACTGCAACCGTGGTCACGTGCCGCAAGACTGCCATTCCTTCTGAAGTAGGATCTTCAGTTGTAATTCAGTCCTAACTGTGCCATTAAGCGTCTCAAAGTCCAACTCTCTGCAGCTGCAAGTTGGCTGACTTAGAGAAATTTATGCATCCTTGTGTCAGGGTTAATGTGGCTTACTAAGTTTTAGTATTACTTATGCGTTATGGATACTAGACTCCATTTGGTCAGAATATTTAAGACTAGATTCTTCACTTACCCAAAATTTTCACTGCATTCAGCTAACCTTATGATGAATCTAAAAGTAGACTTTCCATGTCAATGGTTTGCTATTTTATTTATTATAAAATAATAAATACTTGCTATTATTTATTTTGAATCAGTGTAACTTCACAAGATTTTAAAGTATTTCTTTCATAGTTTGCATACAGCAGTATTTAGTTGGTTGTTTACACTGCATCTGTTGTTATAATTTGACGGTTAAACTTTGTCTAAAAATATTCTGAGTGATCTATCAGTAAGGGGAAGTCACGGGAAGAATACCTACTTAAAAGGCAATGCTTCTGCTACACATCCCTCCTCTGTCCACCTATTACTTTTCTTTCTTTTTTAACACAAAGAAGACTGACTGTTGAATAACACAAGTTCCCTTACACTACAGCCTACACTGCGTCTTATCTGGATTCAATCCTCATCCAGCTAATACAGTGGTTCTAAAGACTCCAAACACAGGATCAAGCTCAGTGGATCCTACTGGCATCAGACCTCTAAGACTTAAGCAGCAAAAGAAAGAAACTGCCTCCTACTTTTATATCAACGTCCAAACTCAAAACACTAAAAGGAAACAAAACATCACACCTCACTACATAGGCAGTGAGTATTTAACATTTGACTGGAATGTACTCAACAGCAAAGTCGTGCCTGGTAGCCGAAGCCGGTCAGTCCCGGGCAGTGGCTGCAGGTCCTCAGCAGCACTGTGCTTGTCTTACAGGAGGATAGTTAGATGCATCAACCCTAGGCCTCCTCCCAGTGCTATTGTAAAGCCTATCCAAAATACATGCAAATGTGGCATAAAAAGTCAACTTTTACTCTGCCCATGGCATAGCTCATGAGAGAACAGGAACGACTGATTTATTTTTTGTTATACAGAAAGAATTAATATTAGTGATGCTCAGTTTGTGCTTGTGTCACCAGAGAAGAACAAAGGTCTTATCTCATCTTACCTGAGACCTTACGCAAAGGAAACCTGTTGGGTTGGCTTCACCTAACCAGCAGTAAAGTGGAGGGCTGACGCTGGTGCTAAGCATTTTGAAATACATTATGCAGAAGCTATTAAACATAGCTTGTTTTCAAACAAGTTGGCTCTTAATACTGCAATTTTCTTCAAAGGAAATTGCTTGGGTTTTCTTCACCTAAACATCCACACAAATAGCTAAGTAGATCGAACGTTTACTCACTGAAGGAAAAAATTGCACCCTGCTTCTATTAATTAATAACAAACCTGAACAGCAAAGGCCAGCTACATGAACTGCCATCACAGCATTTGCATACTTTTGTGTACTTACAGATGCTGTCTGAGCACATCAGTGCCAGGCACAGCTGTGAAGCACAAGACTGCCCATTTCTTATGCATGTGTCTGGGCTTACTATGTTTGTTCTTCCACCTTAAGATAGCATGTTTAAAGCTGGAAAGAATACAGGAAAGACTTGCGAGTGAGTAGTAGTATCAGGCCTTCTGTTTCCTATAGGTTACAACTATTAGCATTAGCTTAACATAGGACACCCACTACACTTTTAAGGGATCCTTTCAACATTGCAATGAAGCACACAGACAAATAAGGCATTCCAGCATATCCTGTTAGCAGTAGTGATGCTTCTGACACTCTGACCTCCCTTCTCCTTGCAATCATCCAGAAAATTTGAAGACCCAATTTATGAACCATTCAACGGCTTTGAAACTATTGTCAGAAGGTCCCATGAGACACATGAGATGTTTAGTGGTTGAAGTCTGTACTTAGGGTACACTGCATGTGCACAGGTGTAGCCTCTGTGACACTGCAAAAGCAAGAGTAAGCTCCAACTTTAGCATCCTTTCAGTAGATTCATTCATCTGGGGCAAAACTCACATGTGGAGACGGCGACAACGAGGCACTTTTAGATTCCTCTAACACTTTTAACACAGGCCCAGAGTGATGCACAGGTGGTCTGCCAGCCTCCAGAGAGGCACGGACTTTCTGCTCGAGGAAGTTACAAGCCAGATGGCTGTGATCCAGCTCTGTGGCTCCCTGCGGACACTGGACCCCCTAAGGCACCTGACCGGTCCTGCTCTCCCTGGACAGACCTGAGAACGGCCGTCTGAGACGCATGAGCTGCCACAGAGCCCCTCGGGCACCCCAATCGTGGGGCCAGCTGGGATTTGGCCAGTGGCCACTCTGGCAGGAGGGCTGAGGGAAAGAGCTGGCAACGGTGCTGTCTCCTCCCCAGATGCAGCTGGCTGTCTCTTGGGGCCAGCTGCTGCCTGGACCTCTCTCTCTTCCCCCCTATATAAAGCAGGGGCAGGGAGTGCGTTTGGGGCCGGGGCAGGCGTGGGGGCAGCTGAGAGGAGGTGAACATGGGAAGGGGAGAAGGCTGTTTGCAAAGGTGCATGGTAGGGCATGGCTGCTTGTGCTGTGGGTCATGAAAAAGCTTGCTGTCACTGGCAAACTAACCCAAAGGGAGCAAGAGGAACACAGAGGCTGGGATGGAGAGACTGGAGGGTGTTATGTGAGTTTAATATCTATGCCACTGCAACAATAGGCACAGTGGAAGCCTCTCTCTAGTCTCACCTGGTCTTTAGTGGGCTACCTGGAAGTACGCCAGTGTGCATTTAAAGTGAGGAGAAACTAAGAACATGAAAAAGACGTCAGGAAAAGAAAAGCCATTTACTCACCACGCTCATGTAATGGAGCATTCGGCCATCCACCTTTCCTTCATCAAACTGGGTCTTATATTGGGGGAGGCCAATGTCATCCAGCCACCCTAAAGCAGAGACAGACACTCATGTTAGTGTGGTAGCCAAGGTACCTAGCACCAGTTAGTGTTCATCTCAGTCTCTGAGTCCCAAATTAGCCATGATTAGGAACCCCTATCTAAAGTTGCTGATTCAGCATGCAATAAAATCTTACTGGTAACCCAATGGTAATCCAGTTTTCCATGATTGTTCTCCTCTTCAGATCCAAGTGCCTGCAGAGCAAGCTGAAGCTTCTTCCGATGCAATGGGTGCTTTATCCCAAGTTCCTGTGAAAGGAAGGAAAGCAGCAAACCTAGAGATGATACTGTATTTTACTTCTCCCTCTGCTGAATTACAAATGATTTCAAAGAGCCACAGTGTACACAGCACTTGCTGGTGATGTGGCAGGTATATTTTCTATTTGCTGAATATCAGCATCATTTTAACACATGTTTAGCACTAGGGTAAGGCCCGCTCACTGTGGTGTATTCATTTCAAAATGTGGTGGAATCCAAGCTGTATGAAAATGTCGGCCACAATGTTCTCATACCACACTTTAAAAATTCCACAATATAAACCATGTTAGCATTCAGAAAGATACCTGATGGGATAATTTTCTTCCATCCCATTTAGGCAGGTAAGGTTAAAAGAATTATTTAATTAAGAGCGTGTGAAGGTCCTAGGAATTACTGAAATTTATTAATGCTTCCAAATGCATAACACCTTCCCCAGTTTTTTTTGCAAGTGCAGCCAGCCATTCCAAGATCTCTTCGTTCCCATATACACTTTCAACAGGGCTTGCTAGTTAACGTTACCTCTGATAACACTATTACAAGCCACTATATGTTCATATCACATTTTTCTTATTTCAGTTATAGTGTAACTACAACTTTCAATTAGCTCAATGCCTAATTGAGAAAACAGGCTCCTCTTGGTGAGGAGACTGATTTTTTTAAAAGCTGAAAATTCAGTTATTAGCAAATACTGTGGATTCAAAGTATAAATTGAATCAACCTTTTTTTCTGTTTCTAGTTTTAGAAAAAAGACAAACAATTCTGTAATGATTTAAGACAAAGAGTCTGAGCACTCTGTGTGTACCAAATCCTCATTCCTCTCTGTGTAAAATGGGCAGAAAATATAATCAGGCAAAACCAGCAGCTTTTTACACACTTCTCACACAGACATAAAATAACTGTACCATCCATGAGTGCTAATGAATCAGGCCTACAAACCCAGAGTAATGAGTCACTCACATGCATAGTTTTAGAAGGTGGCATAGCCGACTAATGTGTCCATGCTTAATGAAGTTAAATCACATATTTGTAAATATTAAGTTTTATTACAGAGCATTGAATTTCTATGAAACTTCAACTAAAAAGAAATTGATTTGGCTTCACAGCAGATGGCAATATTTTAAAAACTCATCTTGTTCACATTTTTATTTCTACTGCGTGCATCTTATAGACGTGATTTACATGCACAGAAATAGCAATTTTTTTGTATGTTTAACTGAAAGCAGTGTTTCCAGTATTTCTCACCTTTTCCAGATCCTGCTGAGAAGCCTGCAGAAGCGTTTGCCCAGACAGTATCCAATGTTTGCCATTGCTTATGTAAGAGCCTAGCCCTTGGTCCTGGAGCCAGTTGCAAACCTGCTCCTTTGTCCACTTTGCGAATGGCATGTCCAGCTCACTACAGAAGATTTTACCAAAAAAAGACCGGTAAATCCTGTGCCTCAAATCTCCTATTCTCATACATAATGACAAAACCAAATCCTAAGCCTAACCAATGAGTACTCTGTGGGAGTTGGGACCCTCTCTGGGGGAGAACGTGCATCACGATCGACTGTCAGGTGGGCCTTGTGAGGAACCTTTTGAACCGTTAGCACCATGAAGTGCTGTTGGCTGCTGATCTCCTGACAGTGCCACAATGAACACGGTCTGTTAATACTAATGAAAACAACGACCTCTGCTGCCTATTATGGCTAAAACTCTGAAGTGAGGCCAGAATGTTTCACTTTGGCCTTCAATCCTGAGAAGTGCAGCAGGAAACATTCCTGAGGAATATCGGTCACTCCCAGGTGACGGCTCACACCCTGCCTCATACGGCCTCACAACCCCACTCCTGCAACGCCGTCAGCAAGGAACACTCTGCTTGGCAGCAGGACTCCACCACCCAACCAATCTCAACCTTGCAAAGACCATCTCTCAAATGAGGAAACCGCCTGGATCGGCCCGTTCCCATTTGCCAGGAGAGGGGACATTTCATTTTGGCACTGTGCTTCTCCTCTGGACTCTGTGCTCGACCGGAGCTGCCAGGAAGGCAAGCACCACCACACTTTGCACCGCTCATCTTACTTGTGAGACTGCCCCAGGTCTCGAGACCAGCCCAGTCGAGGCCCTGCAGTTGCTCTTGTCCCTCCTCTTTTGAACTCCGTCTCGGACATGTCATCTGGGTTGAAGGTGGTGGACTGGCTTCTTTTAAGTCTAGTTTAAAGGAAGAAAGCATATTCACATTTGGCTAAGGAAAAGGCATGCTGCTACTACTGCAATCTATATAGGTAAGTTCTACAGAGCTTGTAGCTCTTCTACCTGTCACTGACCTACTGTTAGCTCTCTCAGATGCCATGCTGGCTCCTGCTCCTGAGGCAGGAAACCACAGAGCCACACGTTGGAGGGGGAAAAAGGGAAGATGTGTTGCCAGCAAACCCCCGTGCAAGCCCCAGCTCTGGAGAACAGTCATTTCTCATCTTTTACTTACTTTCCAAATAGCTTTTTGATCCCCCTTGCCTTTTTCTTTGAATCTGGAGAAGGTGGCGTCATCTGTAGACTATCCGTTTCTTTTGGACGAGGGGGCAAGCCAGCCAGATCCAAGTGATCTGCAGATCCCTTCTCTGTTTCAGCTATTAAAAAACAAAAGGCCCGTCAAGACCCACTTGTGCAGGACTGTACAGACACACTTCTGAACTTGGAAACACCTTTTGCTAAAATTATTGAGAGCCACCATGTTAAGAACATGGGGCAAAGAGGGATGGGAAAACCCAGGAGAAACAACACGTGTTTCTCCTTCATGGGCCTGACTGGGAACACTCCAAGGCAATGCTCTGCACCAGTCAAGTGCCCTACATCCAGCATGGGCAAAAAACACCTCATGAACCAATCAGTGAATTAAATCCCAAGTTTATTCTTCAGGGAGTGCACCTGCAGTCCTTTCACAGACAAAGCTGAGGCATGCGGATGTCCAGAAACGATTCAGTGCCATGGCTGGGAACCAAACCAGGAGTCCCCCAAGCACAGAAAAATAATTTTCCTGCATACATCTTTCCTAATAACCTGCAGTATTCCTTAAGTTTCCCATCCAAGAAATTCCAGCAACAAACAACTCTTGCCCCAGGAGCAGGAGAGCCCTCTTCCCCTCACTTCTACAAACTGTGGAATATTTTGTTCCTCTGCAGAGAAACACCAGGGAGTTTAGGCTCCGTCTGAACTACATCTTCTGAGTGATGCCCAAAACATCTCTGATTAGAGACCCTACACATTACCACCCACTCTAAAAGCATTAGATCTTTGATCTGTAGCTGCTGTTTTCTGTGACATCAAACCTGAGGGCTCCTGTCCACAAAATGGAAGTTGTCACAAAAGCTAAACCAGCAAACAAGAAAACTATTTCAAGATCATTTAAAAAGAAAAACTGAAAGAATTGCAGTATCTACTAGGCTACGTAAGCAGAGATGTGCCAGCAAGTGCCAGACAGCTGAATAAAACTACCATGTGGAGTTTATGCCACTTACTTGCTGGGGAACAGTGACAGCACGAGCCTGTTCAGATGAAGCAGCTGTGGCAAGGCGGCCTGCAGCAGGCTGACAGTCAGGCCTGTGACCACTTTTACCATCTTTTAACATGGCTGTGTAATTAGATGACCATCATTTGTTTTTGAAATGGACTCTCAGACCAGACTTCCAGGAGAAAACCAAACAAGTTACGTGAATCAATGTAAAGCATACATCACTGGGACATGTGGTCTCCAGCCAGAGTTAATGCTGAGGTGGCCACAGCATGCCACAAACAGCAACAAACTGCAGGCTTCGCCAGCGTATCTTTCTCCTGGGCAAAGTTTAGATGATTCAGTCAGAATACATTTGAACATGTCCCATTTTCCACTGATGCTTGAGATGTTAATTCTTGCAATGAAGCAACAAGGTCACATAAAAGACTATTTCCGGGTACTTTTATTTGACTGCTATCAAATACAGGGATCCTGCCAGTGAGAGCACTAATGTCGAACCAGGCTTTTGCATTTGTGGTTTTTGCTTTACTTGTATAAGAAGTGCTAGCTTAGAGAAAACACATTTAAACAGCATTCTAGAGAGAGAATACCAGGACAAGGTTGGGTGCATTAGTAGCAGAGATTTGCGGGTATTGCAACATTTGCTCCTTGTACCTCACTCCCTTTCATGCACTGACACAACCCCGCAGAACAGCCAACATTTAAGGGGCTGCATGGGAAACCGAGAGGACCCAGAGTACTTGGTGTCTTCGTCAGCAAGGGGCACGCCGGGTGGCCCTACAACCCCCTGACTGACACAGCTCTGCTTGCTAAAGCAGGACCCTGCAGGTATTACCTGCTCTTGCTAGAACCACCCAGGGAATGCTCGCAAGACTGGTTTTTACTACATGAATGGCTCCATCCCCACCTGCCCCAACTATTTCTCATTCATTTATAATATATATAACTACGTCTTAGAAGAGGAATTATGCATCCTTCCTCCCAGGACTCCCCTAGTTGAACACCTGGGAAATATACCTCATTCCCTGCTTTGACACCCCTTAAGGTCTTCCAGAGGCTCCAGGACAGGTAACAGCACAAAGGTGTCTCTAATATTTAAATATCACCGATTCCCACCTGCAACCTTGGTCTGAGGGTAACTTTGTGCTCAAAGTTACGGCAAAGGTCTCTGCAAATTAACCCGCAATCTCTCTCATTAGTAGCAGTTACTGAGAAATGGTGCAGCTGACTTTTAGCAGAGGGCAGATGTTACATGAAAACTCCTTTTAGTGATGGACAAAAGTTTCGATGCAGAGCTCTGGTGTCTAATTCTTGTTTGAAAAGTGTGTGGCCATAACCAGCTGTTAGCAGCAGTCACAACACAAAGCTGGTACAGGCAGACATGCAGGATTACTATACCTAAAGTAGGTGCACTTGCACTTCGACTGCGATCTTCAGATATCCAAACAACGCACATAACCACACGCAGCACAACGGGAGAGAACACGCAGAGGGACAAGGTAAAACACAGTTCAAAACTTATGTCAGCAAAATACAAGACAAAAGGAGGGAGGTACATGAGACACATGCGCCACACGCAATGCTGAATTCACACAGAGATTAGGATTACCAATTCACTGTTAATCCCCCTCTCACAAAAAAGAAATGCAGTAGAGCTCTATGGTGGAGAGGGTAAAACAGCACCGCAGTCACTTCGGTGCAGGGAGGTCACTTGCTCCATGACACATTGGGCAGGTGACTCACACAGGCTCCTGTGAGGTGGCAAGTATCTGGACACCAGCTTTACAGATGGAAGCACTGAAATCTGGATAACATAAATAGTTTACTCAAATTCACAGGACCCTGGTCTAGACGGCCCATCTTCCAATCCTTTATGACAGCCACAAGTACCCCACTTTGTCAGACAAATTAATTTCAGGATGAAACAAGTGATTACACAAAAGCACACATGAAATAAACCATAAAAAAAAAAAAGTGTCTAACCCTCAGAATAGACTGTACATCTATTCCAAGTAAGCTAGCAAGTTCCCATGCTATATGTCACAGGCAAATATGGGCAATGTATAATAAATGTGTGGGTATGTTATTTATTTTGAACAAAAGTCTAAAACTGTCTCTAAGTAAGAACAGGAGACTTTTCAGCTCAACAAAGCAGAAGCTATCTCCCTTCAGGCTTCTGAAAGGTAGAGCTAAATTCCTAAATCTTGTGCAAGAGAAAGCCAAAACCTTCAGATGAATGGCAGTAGATCTGATGCACAGACCTCCTTGATGCTTGAACTGAAACAGTGGAAAGACTACTATAGCAGAGCAGTGAATGCAAGTAGGATTTCAGTTGGTGGCAACAGTGACTTCTGAATTAAGCAGAATATATTTTTATTTTTATTTCTGTCATGTGCAAATGTCATCAAATTACAATACCAGAACAACCACCCCTCTACTATAGGTCCAAAAATCAACAAGAGCTTGAGTAACTTGTCAGTCCTGCTCCCGTTGTCACCATCTTTTTTGCAAGGCTGCTTAAATACACATAAAATAAAGAGGAAGACTGAGTGCTGCTGCCTCATTTCTGTATGTCTAAAAATCTTATGAAAGATAAACTGAGGATGGAGCCAGGGGAAAAAAAGCCCACAAACCCCTTGTGTGAACTACTGCCCAACAGCTAGCATTTCAGAGCAGCAGCAATCCACTACAAGGTCCCGGAGGACATATCACAGCAGAGCTTGAAACAGATCAAATACTTCATTACATCAGTGAGGTGTTTTTTTTGTTTTTTTGTTTTTTTTTTTGTTGTTGCTGTTTAATATTTTCCAAACATCCTACTGAGAAAAGTGACACAAGGTCACAGGGAGACTAAGGCCGGCCTTCCTGCTTCTAAAGACAGTTACAGCTGTTGTTAAGATCCTTCAAAATACACAGAAACTCCATGCAGGTGCATGATACCTACCTAGGTTGGGGGCACTCGCGGTCCTCTTGTTATTTTTTATCTTGAAAAAGCCTCGTCCAAATGAAGATCTGGCTTTACGGGTACCAAAACTATCCTCATCGCCTGTGCCGCCATGAGAAGGAGACTTCGGAGGGAGGGTTGCAAAATTATTACCTTCCACAGGAGGTTTAACCTGCTCAAGTTAGGGAAATAAAGATTCAGTATCAGGGAATTGCAAAAGGCCTTTTGAGAGAGACTGCAAAGTGACTGCTGCCAGATAATCTGGAGAATCCCTCTCATTTGTTACTACAAGAAAACAGAATGTAAAAGTCATAAAGGAAAACACAAACAAGATTTTAATTTTAATATGTTCCCAGGATTACTATCACTACCTTCTAAGAGTAACCTGCCTTCTTTATGATGTTTCTCAGTTTCTACAAGGCTGGCTTACAGGTATGGAAAAGGTAAAAACACAGTCCTGGAAGGCTTTGAACTTTTTCAGCACTCTGAACTTTTTCAGCTTTGCTGTCTCCCCCACTGGTAGCTGTAAGGGCAGTGGGAAGCAAGAAGGGGCGAGACCCCCATTGGTTCTCTGCCAAGTGTCAGACAGCTCTTTTTGTCTATCACTGCTCTGCAACTTCAGAATTAATGGATTAACTGACTATGTCCACTGTCAGCTGAGAGGAAATTATCAAGCAAGGAGTATAAATGCCAAGACAGACGTCACCTGTAGCAGTTAGGCAATTTAAAGCAGTAGTTTTAACCTTGCTGGTTGTTTCTCTGTCTCTTTAAGAAGCAAACCCACGCACAATCCAAATATGATACTTTTGCTGAATCAATACATCATTCATCTTACAAGTGGTATCTGAGGTATGTTGCCTCTGCTCTGGTCTTCCTATGGGTAATAATTGTTGCATGCAAAATACGGCTATATGGTACCACAGGGTAACTGTTCTGCAATAACAGTCTTTTTAGGGACACAGTTGCTACTTACAGAAAACGATTTAGAAACCTAAAGGCTTTTAAACAGACACTAATCAAAGGTAACTACAGGGACAGTAAAATACTTTATGGTTAGCTTTGCTAATTATCTAGTGGTAGAATATGGGGGGAAAACAATAGCTTAGATGGCAACCTTATGCTCAACCAGACTGAAAGATAATCCATGTGTGAGAAGACAAGAATGTGCGAGACACTGTAAGTCTGACACTGAAGTGACAGTGACAACCATCATACACTCCTCATTATCTTGTCTACAGGTCTGCTCTTCCCCCTCTGGAACTGCATGCTGCAATTCACTCAACTAAGCCTTTCAACACCTGATCACTGCCTGTGTTTCTCCATGTACATGCACAAGACCGTACACACACGTTACCTCTGTTGGCTTCTGTGCAGAGTCTCTGTCCTGTTTGGGAAAGATTTAAGACAGACATTTAAAGAGTCATGGTTTATGACCAGTATTCAATTCATTACGGCTGCCCTGAGTTAAACACTGACTGAAACACCCTTCCCTGCCTATTGTTTTTTCCCCCCAAAATAAATCTCTTCAGAGTTGTCTTTCAAACAGATTAATTCTTGCTTTCCTTGAGGTCAGTGAGATGACATGAAAACACCGTTGCTGCAGTTTACTTTGTAAAGGGTTAGCTGTGCACATAATTATTTACATGCAGTCTGTTAAGGCACTAATGGGCACAGCTGGCTGAGGGGACCCAAAGCAGGAATCAGGCAGGGTAGAAGCCAAGTAGATAAAACATCCACAGCCTCCTCTCCCTGGCTGTCCAAACGAGCAAAAAAAACCTCCAAACCCTAACTCACAAACTAGCTCTCATCACTGAGTTCTGGTTACATTTTCAGTCCTGTCAACATCCCTCCTGAGCTGCAAGGAACAGCTCAGGGGCTTGAGTATCAGTGAACTCGTGAGCTTTTAGGAGTTTGGACTATCAAAAAAGAGCACAGGAATTGCCCTGATTTGATGACATTGTTAGAGGCTAGCTGCTTTTGGTTACTTCAAAAGACACCTAAACTGAAGCTACCACCAGGCATACAATGGCTCAGTGTTTTGCTCCTGAACACCTAAAACATACAGTCACCCCAGAATGTATTTTACAGTGCATTAATTACATGGCCTTCCAAAATTATGTGCCTTAAACACAGGTAGGAAGTGGTAGTGGGACTTTCTTCTTGTCTTAAATCAGAAAAGCATATCAATTAAAAAACCAAAACAAAACAAAAACCAAAACAAACCTCATTATCTGAGGAAAAACACAGCAAGAGAGTCTCAGATAAATGCCTCATGCAAAAAAGAAAAAAAAAAAAGAAAAAAGAAAAAAGCCTGTGTTTTCAAGGACAGATTTTCTCCTTTAATAAAATCTAGAAGATACCACATGTATGTGACCATTGCTAACACATGACATGAGGAGCCCTACTCTGACTCAGAGTTTCTCAGAAGGCAACAGAGGATCCACAGGGTTACTGCCACACCAGAGACATCACCCCTATTTCTAAGGGGATGGGAGGAAGTAAGAGACCAAACCAACCATTTCGGATGTCTCTTTTCTCAAACTGCTCAGACTGCTGGACTTCTGCAGCAAAGAAGTTCTGAAATAACGACATAAAAACCAAGCCAAGTTACTGGAATGAAATTTGCTAAGATAAACACGCTCTCAGGAATCAGCTTTAGAGAAAGCATTATAGTATATGATGAGATATACCAAAACCAAAAGACATTTTGAATTAAAGCAATCAGTGCACTAATAAGAGCCCACGCAATTTGATGAGATACTGTAAGAACCTCCACATCATAACTACTGCTACTAATGCTTCAGTGACATGCCTACCTTTGGATATTTTTGGCTTCTTATTTAACATTGTATTTTCAGAAGCACAAGCAGAAGTTACACAGGCAAAGGAAGTGATATACACAAAAGCTATGGAAAACAATATTTTTAGCAACAGGCTTCTGACTAATTTAATCCTTACAGAAGCCAAGCATATTAAGTCAAACTTGTCATGTGTGTTTTAGTATTTTATCTTCAGTTCCATTTTCCATTTTGGAACAGATATTCCCCAACTTCTGGTGGGATTTACAGTCTAGAACACTTAAGTCTGGTTGAAGAGAACGTTACCATTAAAGTTTTTTCTGCAACCACATATAAATTAAGAGTAACTTCATTTTTACAGAGTTACCTATCTTTGTACCAATGTAAGGGGAGTAGAATTTGGTTTTGGGAATAGTCTCGTGGCACTAAGTCACTCGAAATAAAAACAGCTGCTGAGCCTCATACTGTGTACCAGACAAACTGTTGACTTAGGATCCTTACTAACAAATCACTTTGACTCAACTTCCAAGTTCATAGTCTCACTGATTTCCCTTGGGAATATGGCTGTGTAGCAGAAATTAAAAATATTTTCTCATTGTAGTCAGCCGATCACCCTTCCCTCACTATCAAAAGAAAAAAGCAAATCATGTGTGCATGTACTATGGAAACCTGTAAAGTTCAAAGTATATTGACAGTCTACACCCCAATTAGAAATGCTTCATTATGGAGAAGAAATTGACTGCACAAATGCACAGATAAAGCATTGGAAAATAATGATCACAAAAACATAGGACACAAGCAGAAAACTACCACCACTAAATATCGTCTTGGCTAGAATTAGTTGACATATTTACATGTGAATGTAAAATATGGCAGGTGCATTGGGAGGGGTGTTCAAGTCAACAATCACAAACAAGTATGTTTCCTAAATGTTTTTGATTGTGATACTTACACTGGACTATCACACAGCTGAGTTTCTGGGGAGGAACCTGTTGATCTTCCTTCACTGTAAGAATAAAAAAGATATGAAAAATGTAAGACATTTGGGCATCTTGTACAAACACCTTGCCAATACAGAAATTCTATCATCTCAGCATGGTTTAATCCTGTTTTCAATTCAGCTGTTATGGTACTAACACATGGCAAATTCTCCCCTCTATGATGGCAAGACTTGTAAAAGATAAAGGACAAAGGTGAGCTCAAGAGCCTCAGGAAAGACAACCTGCACTGTAAATAGGTGACAATACTGCACTACTCAGATTAAATAAACGCAAAGGTTACAGCATGTGCAGGGTCTGCAGCAGCACCAAGTAGTGGAGGTCATCAGCTCCCTGTGAGTCACCCACAGCGAGGGGCATTCTGCTGCAGGTTAGTGCTTGCTTTGTTTTTTTTCAAGATGGGACACAGATGAAATCCCTGATGGTGATGGCTAGAGCTGCGTGAGGCACAGCACAGTAGAAACCAAGCAAAACAGGTCTTCTGGATAGGGTGCTGTCCTTGACTGGAAGTGGAAAAATCAAACATCAACTTGTGCTTGCACTGTTTTTTCACATCAAGACTGATGATGGTTTTAAGCCAACGAGATTTCCTTGCCTTTTGATTCTTAGTAGTTGATACTCATTTAGATAAAACCAGTGATTTGGAACCAGAAGAAAAAAAAAAAATAGAGCATAGCCTTTGTCTAGATTTGAGCCCAGTGTGCTTTTCAGTACTCCCTGAAGTGCCAGTGTGGCTCTGCAGGGGCTGGGTTTCCTCACCCAGGCAAAGAGGGTGCAGGCTTAGAAACGCTGGAGGAAGCTGAAGCCACTTCTCACCCATGAGAGTTCACCAGCAAAGGGTTCAAGCATAGTGGCCCCCGGGTGCCACAGCTCAGCCACAGCCCTGGGGTGCAGCCACACATCCTCACCCCGACTTCCCGGGGACGCTGTGTCTACACATTTTGTCTAGCTTTTAAAATCTCAGGCAGGGCTCTCATAAGAGCCAGCAAAGAAATATCTTTGCATTCCATCATGCCAAATGACAGCAGCAAGGATATCTCTTTCTCTGATCTTTTGAAATGCTGCTTGGGTTTCCTTCTGGGGCTCCATTAACAGCTCACGGTTAAAGCCAGACAGTCCTTTTGCTGCAGTTTTGGCAGTGCCTTACACCAATCTTTAGCAACTGTGGAAAATGTCTGAATGCAAATCATCAGGAATGCATTTGTGCTACCACAGCCAACACTATCTCAGCCAGAACTAGATGATGTAAACCTAGATAAAAATAATGATTCTGTGTCCTTCATTACATTAGATCTGTTTTTCTCTCCTTCTGTTCATTTCTTGTGAAGCAGCTGGTATAGAGTATGAGTGCTGCTACAAGCAACAGCAACCAAACTAATACTCACTTACTGAAGAAGATCTAATAAACGTACTTCATGAACATAAGCCCAATTTGCTTAGTCAAGTGAATGCTAGCCTTGTTTAACTGATTTAAGGAGTTGACAATACAGTAACTGACAGATTATTACTCTCATTAATCGTCACAGAATATTGGGTTTACAATTGAAAAATACATGGAAACGGTAATACCTTATTTCACTTGCAGGATCCGGCCTAGGCTGTGTTTTCACTTTCTCTGCAACAATTTCTGAGCCCTTCGATGTTGATGAAAAAGAAGGGATTGAAATCTGTAAAATACTGGTGTGGATCTGTAAGGAATTCTAAAAAGAATGAAGAATACATGTTACACTGTTTTGACCTGAAATTAAGCAGTCATAAATGAAAAAAGAGTAACAGATAAACCAGGAAAAGAATGATCTGAAATAAGATTTTTAAAAGTGATTTTTTAAAAAATTTCTTTCTATTGTAATACAATGATTTACTACTTGAAAGATGGCACTGAAGATAAAACATGGATCACTGCACAGATAAGCTACAGCACAGACAAAAATCTCACAAGTCTCCCAAAGCTGCCTGCTAAATCTATCTCTATCACAGACCCCATGAAGAGTAGTTCACTTTTCAGGCTTATTCCCGTCCTCAGCCGCTCAGAGAACACCAAAAAGCTGCTAAACATTTAATTCAATTTAGTTTTCTTCATAGTGCGTTCATGCTGTAAGTCAATTAAGTCAGCCAAGTCCCTGCTCTGACTCAGAACTTTAAGAGATCTATAGTTTTATTACTGGAAAATGTGATTATAAAAGTCAGAGATTGGACCACAACCTACATATCATTTAACTGAATGGATGTAATGATGATTGCACCTTTTTAAATATGACAGGATATATTTAATAAGTCCCAGCATGTTTACTTCCAGTTCCTGACAAATGCAGCTCCCAAAACAGCTATGTTTGATATGAAAAGTAATTTCTATGTTTGACAGAAAAAGTAGTTTAGACCCATTCTCATGACAAAAACAGCTATTTGCTGTCTCCTGATCCCATCTGATGATTAAGAAAAATAAACTTAACTGAACTCAAATGAAACCCTCAGCAGCTTTCACAAGAAAACTACATTCTCCAAAAGGATATGCAACATTACTAAAAACTGTGTAACCCAGAAAAATAATCTTTTCAGAAACTTGAGTTTTGGCATCTGCAATATGAATCCAGCAAAGCGGTGTTTTCAAGGAGTGATTGCATAAAATGAGAAAGAAAAAAAAAGATACCTCTTCGTGAATATTCACGTTAAACTCATCATGGATTGGAGATGCTGTTACTGGGGTTGGGGATGGGCTTTTCTCTGGGTCAGTCAGACTTGGTGTGTCCAATAAAACCGTGGAAACAGACCCTGAATTCAAGAAGTCTTCACTGTCACTTTCCTTGCCTGAAGGGAGAGAAGATGTAAACTTGTTTGCTTTACTTCTGGACACATGATGACCCTTGCTCCTATGCAAGAAGCAGCTGCCATGCTCATTTATGGGACAAAAAGGGAAGAGGCTAGGATTACTTTTTCTTTTTAGGGCAGACTACAGTAGGAGAAGGGGAGCCATTGCCAAATGTTGCCTCCCAGTTCAACCACCACATCACGGGGTTGAAGCAGAGGGAGGACATATATCTGACAGCAAAAAGCCCAGCAAATGCCCTCAAAGCATTTAGTGGGATCAGTTTCAAGAAGCTGAATAAACTGCAGTAGTTATTTCCTGTCCTGTGTTGTGGAATTTCATAATAAATTCTTTTTTTCCGTTATTCACTAGGGAAGGACTGGGGGTCAAGTCCACCTGAAACACAAGATGTCTCTATGGTATCCTCAAGTTACCCACAGGAAAAATGCAGCCTACTGCTCAAGAGTCTAATGCCAACTTTTAAGTGACTACATTGTTTGCTGACTGCCACGAACTGAGTGTGTCTCATTTAGTTAATGCTGTAGCCTGCACCAGCATCTGGCATTCTCTGCTCCCAGTGAGCAACTCGCTGCTCCTGAACTGCCTCAGTGCTACCAAAAGGCTTGGGATTTCCACACTTGTCATCAATACCAAAGTAGTGACACTAACAAGAAAAAAAGTCAAACAATACATTCCAGAAAGTGAGCAGTAACCTAGCACTCATTGCCAAAGATCTGATGCAAATACACACCAAAGTCTGCTCACAGCAAAAATCTCTCTTGCCCATTTTTCACTGCCTGGAATATCTGTCTGTGCTCCATGAATTGACCATAAAGCAGAGGTTCCAGAGACTTGAGGTCTGTTTTGACATTTTCCTGTCTTTGAAGCCATGGCACTGCACAACAGAGCAATACCTATTCAAAAAACACTACTCCTCCAACACTCAGTTTTGCCCTCATCACCACCTTTCCTCTTCCCTCACTGATAATGTGCTTTCCCAGCCTTGCAGATCAAAGACATGCAGCTGTGTCCTTAGCGACCCTCAGTGGTTTCACAGAAGGAAATCCCTTACATACCAAGATCCAAAGCCCACAGACAGTTTTCAGCCCAGCATGCTCTGGCACATGTTGGTTCCCGTCCAGGCTTACATCCATGACACTGGACTAAGAGAAGCTGCTTCCTGAATGCACCACTGCTGCGCCCACCTCAGGGTTGCAGTCCTCACTGGGGAGCAGGACAGCCAGCTGGGAACCGTGGTCAGGGGTGTTCAGGCAGCCCCACAAATCTGCTGGTCCCCTCAGAAGCAGAGGTCAGGATCTCCTTGCTGCGATTGCTGCCTCCCCGCAGAGATGGCCTCTCAAAAACCAGGCAGAAGCAAAGAGGGGTACCAGGAACCTCTCTTTTTCCCTGGGTGTTAGCCTCAGTTTTGGCAGCATGTCCAAATGGGGCTCTACCCTCCAGTTCTTCTGCCTTGGGCTAAGACAGCAGACCCAAGAGCCCAAACATGAATCCACCACCACAAAAATACATATTTTGCCTCCTCAGTCATTTCTGGCTATTGACAATCTTCATTCTTTGAAAGGATCCCCTGGGGCTCCTACATCCCTCTCCTACACAGGTCATCCACCTCCAGCATTTGCACAGCCAACGAAAGCCATCAGCCCTTGCCTGTCCTAAAGAAGTTCAGGCAATGAGCTCGTGTCAATTCAAAGTCTGTGGAAGGCTGAGCTGGCCTTCTCTGACCCTCAGAGGACTCAGTGACAAAGGCGGTTTCCATAAGGTGGTAATATAACACTGTGGTGCACAGACTTTTAAGTTGCATGTATATTATACGTGCATACATCATCAGAATGATAATGTCTAAAATTTGTTGGGGACAGTTTTTTCAGAGGACAGCGACCTACAAAATGCCACTTAGTGCTGAAAAAACAGGATGATACAGGGAAAAACCCACCAGGCCAGGATTATTGCTGTAAAGGGAAATGCTAATTTTCTAACATCTAAGTGTTTTCATCTGAAAACCCAGAAACATTTCAGTGTAATGTTCTACATGTGTTTCTTTTTATTTTCTGTTAAGGGAGAAAGAAGAGAAATAGAGTATTCAATGCAATTACATCAAACTGATGACCACCTCAACATTTATCACCTTTGGGGATCAGAAGCTCCAGGATCTGGAAACCTCCACCAGTCTTGGCACATATGGAATGGACCATTACATGTTACGGTATATATTATACCTACCATTTCAGCCACACAGCTAAGCTCATTATCTGGTGGCAGAGAAGGCTTTCTTGTTGGCTTGTGTGAAAAACGATTGATGGAAAAAGCCAGCCTGGCCCTCCACTGCCATAAGGAAGGAGAACTATTCCACAGTGCTGCACGTGGTGGTTTGTGAAGGCTTCATTACATGCCAAAGACATGGCATGTCATCACAACACAGTCCTGGCAGCACATCCACTTTGCTACAGACATTTTTGCAGCTCCTGGGCATTGCTATTACAGGGTGTGCAGCTGCTGGGGCAGTGCTGGTTTGGCTTGCAGGAACATGCATGCTCAGGCACTGCTCTGCTCGGCTGCCAACTCCTGCCCAGGAATACATGCAAGAGACTGGAACGGCAATTTTTAACAGAGTTAATGAAGCAACCAGCCCTGAAAGGCATTTCGGGAGGCTGTGGAAAGACCCTGAGAGCTTATTATATTCAAACTAATTTTACAAGGGTGAAATAAGCAACATGACAATAATAGTTATTACTACCAGATGGTAAATGGGACAGAACCCAAATGTGCAGCTGCCTGGACAAAAAAGGCCATTTACCAGTCCACACCAGTTGAAGAACTGGCTTTTACTCTACCTAAGAGATGCCTCCAAAGATAGTAAGTCAATATAACACTACCACAATACACTTAGAGTTTAAATGACAGTAGAGTTTAACTGTTTTTTTGATTGTACAGTACCTTTTTTACCTTGAGCCAATATCACCATGTCTTGAACTTTCTTGTACCTATTCAGTGATTGCCGAAGCTCTTCTATCTTCCGATCCTAAAATAAAGGAAAGTTATGACTGTTCTTCTTCCTTCAGCAAATCAAAAATAAGAAATACAAATACTAGATATTATTCAGTTTAACTGGTTGTAAGACTAGAAGAAACGGGAAGCATGCGTGGGACAGGACCCAGAACTCTGAGAGGCTTTGAAATATCCAAACTTGTATTTAGCAAAAACTACCATCTAGTTAATCACCAGAATTGTCCCAGCCTTGAAAGTGGATTTCAGCTCCCTTGTTAAGTCAAAGGTAGAGCATAATAAATTTACCATGTACAAAGGAAGCAGTAATCAAAGGATTTAGGGCTTTGGTGATCAAAAGAAAACATCCTACAAAACTCACATGCATATGAATGTGCAAAGCCATACATGAAAACAATTAATATTCTAGAGAAAGCCCTTTTGGAAATGCAGCCTGTGATATCTCATGGGACTTGTATGGAGCTCTTTGCATTTTCAGAACAGGGTGTAAATTGCAGTCACACTGAATTCAAAGACACAACAGTGTAAGGACTCTGCGTACATGTGATAGAGCTCATAAATGCTCAGTTTTAGTCCCTTAAAGGCACTGCGGTGCTTCTAACTACAGTGAATCATTGGTTTTTACAAATTTGATTTTTTAATTGAATTGTGACAAGTTTGTATGTGAAGATTTTCTTTGAGATTTAACTCAATCTGATGAATGATTAACGAAAAAATGACTTTGCTACCTTCTCTTCATTTGCTGCCATTAGAGATTCTACCGCCTTCTTCATTTTCTGTACCTCTATATCTAAAAACACAATACAGTTCTCTAAGTCAATTTAAATGAGACAGTGTAAGGAAGTAAGAAAAACAAAAAACCTAGAAGCAACTCGGTAATATCTGAAAGTAAATTTACAAATTAAAAGACAAAATATAAGGCACTTAAATTCTATTTTAGATGGAAAAATATAGAATAAAATCCTTTCTTCTTCAAAACCTTTTTTCTGACATTTTTATCAAGGAAATGATTACATTCAGGAAATTTCCTTACCCACCCCCCATGCCTTAGGAAAATGGAAAAGTGAAGAGTAAAAGTATTGCTTGACTTTCACTATCTCCATCTTTCAAATAATCAAATAACTGCAAAACAAAAAATCCAAAATATAAAAATACAACATTTGGAATGCAATAAAACACATCCTCATTACAACAGTCAACAAAGACTCCAAATGGCATAAAAAAAAAACACTATACAAAGCAATAGTATTAATGGATATGATGAAGAAAGCATTGTGCAGTGATGCTTAGTCTTAACTCAGTATGGATGTAGAAATGAGGACAGCACAATGGAATGATACAAGTATTTGCTGTGATGAGCAGTCATGCTAGAATATATATTGCAGTTCAGACTTGGAAAAGTTCCCTATTACAGATGACAGTGTTCTGTGCTTCATCTATAATCCTTATTTACAAAGAAGTGTAAATACCTGGAAACATGTATAGTCTAACAAGGTTAGATTTTGGAAGTGTTCTGGACTGGAAATTAAAAAAGAATGGAAATAATCTCCATCTTTGCTAAAAATCTACCTTGCATAAATGAAGGAAACTTTAAATTTTGTTACAAACGTAGGCAGGTGGACAAATTCACAGGCCAGAAAGCATTTTATCTTGTTTTAACTTCCTAAAATTTATTGGAAAACAAACAGAGTGGGAAGAACATTTTCCTCCTTAATGAAATGCAAGAAGAAAACAAGCTGCCTGGCTGGCTTTCTAGATGAAAGACATTCAGACACATTGGGCTGAACCAGAAACCGATTCAATGATTTTCACCCAGTTATGCTAACTGAAAATCTGGTTTACTGGATTGCAACTGCATTTCATTGAGACTACTGTTTTGTGAGTCTCCATGAGACCAAGTCTTTCTTTGTCTATCAGCTTTTATTCAGGAAACTTTGTATTTCAAGTGTGATTTATCCACCCGTATTCTCAAATTTTACTGTAACTAAGGGTTATAGATGATGCAACCTAACAATGTTTGTTAAAGCAGTTTTGCAAATGCATGCAGAAAGCTATTCTGAAAAGCACTTCTGAAATGCAAATGTTTGTGAAAAGACACCAGAAACCTTACTTTTATCTTTGAGCTTCTTTTTACAATTTTCATCTGCGCAGGAAAATCCATTGGATTTGAAATTAGCATGAAGGTTATGACATTAAATAATTTTTAAGACAATACTGATACTTAAGGAGTCAACTATTCCTCACTTATTGCAGAAGCAAGCAGTTCACAGTTTCAACCTGCACTCCCCCAGTGCTATCGTTCCTAATGACACAAAATAGCCTCACTGCTCTCAAACACGACTACCTGTCCCAAGGATATATTTTTCAACTGTATGTTTTCACCTGTAAGGCCTCAGAAAGGGCTTATGCCAATAGATTACTCTTAAACTAACACTTTACTGGCAAAAGCCAGTTAAGTGATAATGTATGCATATTTGTTTGGAAAGCACAATTCAGCTAATGGGGCAGATAACCTGTGTTATCTGAAAACAGCATTACTTAATATTGGTTCAAGGCAGAAAAAATGTGGCTTATCATGGCAGAAGATCTCCTGCTGAGCTATACTGAAAACTAAAATAAAGCTGAGAACCAGAGAGTAATGAGAGCTTAGCGTACACAGCAGCCCCCAGGAAGAAAAGACCCATATAAGCAGTCACAAATGCAACAGTCAGACCTTGCTCACATTTAAATATTCTTAAAAAAAAATCACAATTCAGTGTGGTCACTTTTAGTGATCTCATGCAGTGGTTTTGAAAACAGATAATTTTATTACATAAAATGTGACAATCTACACACACAGCATTTTCCTCCTCAGGTCAGGGGAGGAGACTAATTAATCTCTCCTGGCTTTATTTTTCTAGAAAATGTACTTTAAAAGCACAATCTTAAAATCAGCAATATTCAGAAGTGAAATTGCAACAGGTCAAAAAAGTCTGTTGAAAATTTTTGTGAGCTTTAAAGAAAAACTTCTATTTTTAAATAAGTTCCTGAATCTGTGTTTCCCCCAAATAAATACTGATGTAATTTCTTCTTTGCAAGCAAATAAAAGAATTACCTGACATGTAAAAATACTGTTCTAATTCAAGCTTAATTAGGATTTAGACTTAACTAGTGCACAAATCCAGAACCAGTCCTCAATTTCACCTACTAACAGCTAGGTCCACACGGAAGATTTGCTTGCACATGTCATACTTTGGTTTGCAGTATGGCTTTTCCCCTTCTTCACCAGTAAGGGGTGTACAAGCAAAGCCCAGCATAGATACCAACACAGAAAGTTTCCTTTTCAATATTATCTTTTGGGGGAACTTGTTGACATTACTTTAAGGATTTCTTTGCCAATATAAACTGTATCTTTTGAGGCACCATTCAAGCCACACGAAGAGCTAACTAAGGATTACTTAGGCTAGTTTAAAGTTGATCAAGAACTTGCTATGACAGTAGGTTCAGCCGTTGCATTGCAAACACCCACTAAATATATTAAAAGAAGTAAACATGAAGACAGAAAGTATATGAAGATTGAGGCTTTATCTCTTATTTCCTGTACAACCATTCATGGAAATATGACCTCAGATAAGGTGACTGAGGAGGACACGGTGAGAGAGCATCCCTTCTTACCTCTGTCCAGAATTTCAATTCCTTCTCCTTTCAGCTTGCAAACCAATTTTTCTTGCAACCTTTTTACCTCAGCTTCCTTCTGCTCTAGTTTGTCTTTCAAAGCTCCTAGCTCATCCTGTAACAGACACAGAATCACTCAGTAACAACTTCCACACACATACAAGACGTTTCCGAAATTCCCTCCTATGAAGCACAGTGGGAACAACTGAGGGCTCCCTGACATTTACACTGGCTGAGGGTACACCCACCAAACTGACTCTGAACATCACAACAGAGCACTGAGTTCATGGTGGGGGGCAAAGTCAGGGAACCTATAGTTCAAAAGGGTCAGTCTCAAGTATAATTTAAAAGAGATTTTATATCTAAATTTAAAAAAAGAAATAGTAAAGAAAAAATAAAAAAAAGCAGTTTTCTTATTTATTTAACCTTACAGAAAAAAATGCAGGTGATGAGACTGAATGCTAAAGTTTACGAACACATTTTGTAATTTATAGGGCATTTTGCATGTTCAAAGCTGGACAATGATGGAACTGTGCTTACACAAGGCTGAGGACAATTTCAGAAATAACCACTGTTTCTATGAAAGAAAAATCAACCACAACACCATCAGGCACATAAACACACACTGGAAAGCAGTTCAGATGAAAATGTGGTACCCTTGCCATGGTTTGGGTTTGCTGATCAAGCACTGGGAAAGGAAGCTTACAGTTGAGATTCATGGGAGTAAGACAGATGGTGTTTGGGGGAGTTGGGGTGTATTAGATAAACGCTGTCAAATTTTAACTTAGATCTCAACCATCTGCACTAGCAAGTGATTGGCACGGATCCATGCATTTAACTTTTTAAAATCTGAGTCAAATCCTACCCAGTTTAGTAACATGTTTCTTTAATGTCCGAGGATCTTGTGCAACAGCATCATCAAGACAGTACCCTCAGTGCAAATGTACCCAAAACTGAAAATTTAATTTGTTCAGTTTGTAAACAAAACAAAACAAGGCAAGACTCATAAATTTTGGCATTTACAGCTTCTAACTGAAGTTTCAAATCCTTAAAGGAATAAAACAAACTAGAATACTGTGGCTTAAGTATATTCCTGAGCTTCCCTCAAAAGATCTGTTGCAAATATATAGTGATGTCCGCAACCCATACTATGGCCCAGACTACAGAATTTCCTGAAATTGGTTCCTCTTTGCTCTAAAGCATCATTAAAAAATAGATCAATCTGAAAATTCTCAAGAACTCAAAGATTCTTCCAGAACAGTGGTTGGGCAATACAATCCTCCAGTGCCCCACCTCGGTACTGATTTTGATGGGATTTCTGTCAGTATAGGACCCATGCTTCTCCAAAACAAGACCATCTCTCGGTCACTTGAGAACCTGCTGTTATACCCAGGGGCAACTAGAGCTGCATGTGGTTGTTGATGTGTATTTCTTCCCCTGAATTAGAAACACGATATGTAAATTTACACGTGGGAGAGGGGACAGTATAAAAGAATCATTATTTTCTAGCTAGCTTTCATGAATAAATTTTCTCTAAAAAGGTGAGAAAAAGTTCCGTCTGAATAATGGACATAAGCTACAGAAGAGGCAATCTTCCCTTGGAAGGGGAATGATTTTAACCCAAGTCTAATTCTATTATGCGTGACCTATGCAAAGTTCACAGCACTAAAATCCTCTCCCATTCAACATAAAAGCTGTTCACAAGGAATATCTACATAAGGAGCTTTCCACATCTAACAGGAAAGGGTGCACTGCATATCAACACACAGCAATTAATGAAGAACAGAGCATGACAGCATGATGCAAGACAGACCATAAAATGGTGGAACATAAAGGATTCAAAACAGGCCCAATGTTACTCAGAAACTACTACACCTTTAGCATCTGGCTTTTTTGCTCCATCCGCTGCTTTTCATACTGCATCTGACCCACTTTGATTTTCATACTAGAAAGTTTGGCCATTAAAGACTGGTAACAGAGACAGAGGAGTAAGAGAAAACTAAAGATAGAAAAGAGACAAGGCTAAATGGCAAAGAGAAGTTAGACACTTACAGAAACAGGCTGCTAGAATTACTTAGGTGTATGCTTTCTCTTCAGAAGAAGTGGCTGATTTTTAGCACACTTAGGGAGAAAATAAATGCTGAGCTTTGGTCTCACCTGTAGCACACACCTTATGTACCACAACTGGTGTTTCTTGACACATACGTGAAACAAGGTAATAAATATACTGTTAACATCCAGCTGCATGGTAAGTTATCCTTCACAAAAAACAATGCCCAGATCTGAAAATCATAGCATGAAATTTGGAAATAACCCCTGTTGCTAAGTGAGTACAATGAAACCCCCAGGCCTGAGTGTGCTCAGGATTTTGCAGGATGCAGGCAGGGACTGGGGAAAAGAGGGTGAACTTCTAAAGCCTGACTTACAGCCATCCCTGCTTCTTCCCCTCAGCCTCACTTACTTTGGTTGTTTTCAATTTTTTCTCATACTGGAGTCTTTCATTGTCCATTTCTCCCACTCTCAACCGCAATTCATTGATTTCCTGGATTAAATCCTGAGTGAAGGGAAAAAACAAGACCAGAAACGACAAAAAAATTCAGTAAACAGAACAGCTCCCCATTGGTAGGACTGCAAAAACACAGTGGCACATAAAAGGCATTCCATACACAAAAACACATCACCCCAATTCATAGCTAAGTCAAGCAATTCAAAGTTTCCTAGATATTCAGGGACTGTATTTCTCTGTTCTGCATTACTGCAATGAATGCAAGAGAGCAGAGGACAAAGGGAGACATAAATTGAAGTTGTGTTCCCTGTGCTGTGGGCCAAGAAAGGCCTCCTGCCCCTCTGGGACAGGATGTACACATGCCACCAGTGGATGACCACCACTACAAGTGGGTGATGGAAAACCATGGCAGCCGTCCTTCGATACACAGCAGCCACATCCTCCCCTCCAGGCTTGCCAGCCGTCACCCGCCTTTTCAAAATACGAAGTGGTTACAGTGCCAGTCTGTTTTCGTCGCTCAAATGAGCCCCTCTGAGGGCTGAATGGAAGACTTATCACTGGTTTCTACAAGCACAAAGGCATGTGTGTTTAAGCATCAGTGGTGCCACTACATCTGAGCTTTGCAAATTCAGCCCAGTCTGGATGAAACTCGGAGCCCCCACCAACTCACACCTGAGCTCTTCAGGAGAATGGCTCTACCTCTTGGCCATGCTGCCGGAGAGACCTACCAGGCCCGGAGGCCAGCCCCGGGTGCCACCAGCTCTACAGCCCCCTCCCCGCAGTGGTCAAATGAACCCTGAGTTTGCCTGTGCCACCCAGGTGCAACACACTCCTTCTTCCAAACCTCTCTGTCCTCTAGATGGGGACATGGATCGTAAGAAGCCAGCTGCAGACCTGCAGAAAGCCCGGGCAACAGCCTGGACAGAGGGTTCCTCCATATAAGAGATAACAAACCACAGCTTATTGGGAAAACTATCCTCCTGCTCAGCAGGGGAACACATTACCAGAAAGCCGTGGCTTTTGCACAACTCAAAGATGTCCAGCAAGCTTCTGCTTCATGTAGACCTCACCGACCTTTAGTTTAAGTATGGACACCAGATCAGTGTTAGATTTGTGAGAAAAGAAAAAGAGAAAAAAGAAAATAAAAGGGAAAAAAAAAGCAGTTTCTCAGCAGCTATTGTAATGCTGTATCATCTGGAAACTCTTCAAAAGAGAAGATAAGATATTTGTGCACCCCAGAAAACCTAAGAGGCCTTGAACTGCAGCATAATGGCTTTTTAACTACCAAGAAGGTAGTATGGTACTTAGTTTTGCTTGTCTTCTTACATGGTAAGGCAAATCCTATCCATGTCAAGCAACACTGTACATCAAACTAACAACTGTAAGCACAATTTTTCAGAGCTATTTGTATAATTAATAAAGATTTATAATTTATAAATTAACAAGCTAGCAGCCAACATTTAAAGGGTATTCATAGGTCCCTAGTAACACCTGCCTTCCATCCCCACGTCACATATTCTGACCTTACAAGCCTCTGGTTGTTACTTTGTGCTTAAGGAACCTCATGGCAACAGAGCAGCATCTGTATTTCTCTAGCAAGATCCAAGCTCAGTTACCAGAACTACAAGGAAAATGAAAATACAGAACATTTTGATGACATTGGTAATTACTATGCCTAATGTATGACTTGGTATACCTGCAATTCCTCACTGATTCTTTAATGTGTGACCTTTACAAAGCACATCACTCAGAAGTATAAATGTAGATGGATGTCAGTCTGCATGACTACATCAATTGAGCTGTTTCTTATCAACACTAAGTGTTCAAGATCTCTAACAAAACTATCTTCCCAGGTCTGATGGTCAGCTTTGACACTATGACAATTGATTTGTTTGGGGTTTTTCTCTCCTGCAGACACTATTTTTGCTTTGGCACAATTCAATGTCAAAATACGGTGTGTAGCAGTAACTGCCGAGGTTATTGCCTACATATTTATCCCTTGAACTATATGACTTTTAAAATACTGAAGGAGGAGAAGGAAACCAGTTAACAGTATTCAAAAGGCCCCTCTGAGGCAAAATGAGTAACAAACCAAAAGTCTTCTCATTTTATGAAAAGAAGTTATTACAACCCATATTAATTAACAGCAGTGTCAAGATGCAGTCACAATGTCACAGAAAACAGCAACCTTGCAATCAGAATCCAAGAGTGTAAGATCTTGGAGCAAAAACTAAATTCTCCTGCTTCATCTGTTACGGGCCTCATGGGTAATGGGATCCTTCACCCCTGGTAGCTGGTCACTGAAAAGACCATACAATTTCTCAAGGGTTCAAGACAGACAAGCCCTAAAAGCACACTTTGTCCTAAAAATATTTTTGATTACTCTCTTGCAAGTGCAATATTAAATCATGTCTTAAGTTACTTACAACACAGTAACTGTAAATGACATTCATTCTCATCTTTTTGAGGCAGAGGAGTACATTAAAGATTGATCAGGTTCCATATACAGACCCTTGTTAGTATAAAAGAGATGGTCAAGCCTTGCACACATAATCAGAGGAAAAAGGAAACACCCAGAGAGCTGTCTCCCCTGCTACTGAATTACTATTTAACTTTGGGCTAGCTACCAGAGGTAGAGATTGTCAAAGGCACTGAAGTTCCCTAAGAAATCCTAATCCTCCCAGTGTATTTCACTTTCCCATCTGCTGCCCCGAAACATTTATCCTTTCCTTCCCCTATTCTCTGCTCAATTGATTTCGACTACAAACCTTTCACAGCAAGGACTGCACCTTGCCCCCTCCTGCACCAGCCCCAGCAAGGAGATCACAGCATTGTCTGAAACCCGAAGGTGCCAACTATTATAACTGCTTATGACCTGAAGAGTTTTTGGGACCAGTGTGTTGCTTGGGGTGTGTATATCCCCGTGGCACTCAGGGTGTTGTACAGATTCATCAGGAATTGAGACCAGGTCAAAAACCCACTGAGTCCCCTGGCTGACTTGGATGAATCAACAGTAAAACAGTCACCCACATGGTGGCCAGCGTATGGCCTCTGCTTTGCTTGATTTTAATACCTCCTTGTAGGGCACCCATAAATGGGTTAAAATACCTGCCCTGGGCATAAGGTATGTTCTTGTCTTAAAAACATGCAAAACAAGAAATGGCCATGAAATGGTCGTCTTCTGATCTGGAGTAAGGTCCCTTCATGCAAACACCCAACATCTGTTCCTCGCATGGATCCATGAATGGAGCTGACAAGGTGGGACATACAGACTCCTATTTCACAAAGCCTTTTCTTTTCCTGCTCATGTTACTTGTGCTTTTCATAGCAGGGCCAGGGAGGTACAAAACAGCAATGATAACTTTAAGCTTTGGGGGTCAGAGGCTTCCTTACTGGCACTGGAAACACAAACTACATTCATTGTTTTGCTCCACTCAGAAATTCATCTGCGCATAGGGACTGGTGGTGTTTGAATTATGAAGACTTTCCCATGAGTGAGCCAGTTTACCCGCTGGCTGCTGCTTCAAAGACCATGTCTGGTTATGGACTCCTCCCTAAAAAAACTCCCTTGATGATATTTTCTTACATAAACTCAGCCCAACTGAGACCACCCATGCTCCTTAAGGAAAATAATACCAGTGTCTGCTGAGAAAGTGGAAAGACTGGAATAATTTAAAGAACAGGACAATTATAAAGCTCTATTAAATATACAATTAGCTTTGAAAAAAGCTGTGTATTTGTGAACATCTAGACAGTACAGTCCTCAAGCACAAAGGAAAAAACGTTTACAGATCTAGTGAAGCATCTGTTTAGAGAAAGAATGGTGAATATGAGAAACATACCAAGCTGGAATGGGAAGTTGCAATGACATACATAAGTAAAAACTGGATAATATGAAGGACTTAATCTGAATGGTAATTCTGTAGGAGACAGTAGCCCCACAAAAGTTGATGTAAGATGTCAATGTTGTTTTTTGGTTTCACTTTCTTTTCCCTAAATAAAAACAGAAGCAATATTCATAGCTTTTCTGTCCCCGTTTGGGTATAAAAATTTTTCTATTTTGAACACTGCATGTAAATGCCATAATGTGTTTTACAGGAGAATATTTTAAATATTCAAATACTCAGCTCTGCTGAAATAACTGATCATCTACTACTTTAAACATGAATATAATTAGATCAATACTGAATAAAATATTGTGTACTTCTGAATAAGTACTGCCTCCAAAATACCTGTTAGAGATTTTACATGGCTGAGACCCTTACAACTAATCAGCCATTCATTTTTTCACTGAATAAAATAGAAATTGAGACATATTATCCCTTTCAGTGTCTAAGCCCAAGCCTTTTTACAGCTATAAAGTGTTGAAAAAAAAAAAGAAACAACATACTAATTTCTATCACACTAAACTACATCATTCTGGTTTTCAAAGGGAGGGAGGAACATTTTCATAATAGTGTATTAGTTCTGGCATAAATATCCAGGATATAAATCTATACAGCCCATAATTATAGTAAATACCTTTAAAACAATTGACATTATTGTATTTTTCTGAAAGACATTAAGTGTATTTCAAGGTATTTCAAAAAGAAAGGCCTTCACGCAGGTAAGCCTCTTGCACAGAGCCTACCGAGTTGCAGTGCATGTTGTGGTCCCCACACTGTGACCACTTTTCTGGGAACAGAGGTAGCTCCATGTCCGCCTTCTTGGTATGGTGAGTTGTGCTATTAAGTTATGGAGAGACTGCAGTACAGGGGGGAAACAAAGGAAGGAGGAGTACAGGAAAGCTCAGCAATTAATCATATTCAATAAAAATAAGGATAGAATGAGAGAGCAAATCACTCAAAGCCCAATTATTTTTGTTACCTGTTTTGGAAAGCACAAGAAACCACGGGGTTTTTACAAATGGAGGTGCAGTGGAATCCAGTTCTGAAAGCACCTGCTCACTGTGGTCATTTGACCAAACCTTCCCCCCCCCCCCCCCCCAAGTCATTTACTGCTGAGTCAACTTATTTATCTATCATTTGGGCTGCTTGTGATAGATGTCAGTATACAGGTGAAGAGAATTATTTGTTGTATGCTGTAACTCATGAAAGAGCTGAGCACTGTGTGGGCAGAAAGATCTCAGGGGAGCTATGACAGCAGCCAGCTCTTAAACACATCTCCTATGGACGTAGAAGTCCTTCAACGATTCCCTCCACCTTTCCCCCTGCCAATTTCTCCAGCATTACCATATGCAGGACTTGCCTAGACTGCAAAACTGGCTGCTTTTAAGGCAATTCTGTAATCTTTCACATCACACCTGGTATCAAACTAGAGAAAAAGGTAATGGGAGGGAAACATGAATCCAACCCACAGCTTGACAACACCCAGATGTGCTACCCGCAGGAACAGGCGCTGCCATCACTACGTAAATGATCGCCACCTTTCAAATCTGAACATGATTCATGTCATTAGTTTTCAATCTGTCTGCAGATTACTTCAGACAGGTCCAAAGAAAGTAATTCAAAAGCAAGCCTAACTATTGCTTTTATGCTTGCAATACAAGCAAGGAACAACACTTCACTGGAAAGTATGTCGGAAACTGGAATGGAGTTGGTAAATCACTAATTGAACTGTAAAGGACAAATGTTGTCTCCTGTGATGACATTATGGCTTATTTCCTTCTAAAAACGAATGACATCTGGAACATCCACAACACAAATGTCTGACAGTTCAGCTCATTTATCAACTCAGAATTGGAAATTTTGTTCTGCTTCCTACGCAGACTCCAAGGTATTTCTGATATGGGGTATGTCACCCTGGCAGCAAAGCTTGCCCTGATTCTTGGGAGTTTCCTGGAAAAACTGGGTTTGCCCACCTGCTTTGAGGCTCTCTGGCTTCAAACACGAGCAAGATTCAGCTGCACAGATCTGCAGCTCAGAGGGCAAATGCCTCAGGAGCGCGCTGCCAGGGGTGGCAGCTCTGGCTGGCACTGTACACCGCTGGGCTTGAGGCCAGGCTGGGATGAGTAACTGCTGGCCCCTCAGCCCTGGGCTTCTGTAAGGCTGGGGTTTGAAGTGGGGCTTCAAAATGCCCTCACACACCGAGTCACTTCATTCTCTCTTACCGAAAACAAAAGTTATGTCTTCTAGTGTGCCATGTCTTTGCGCCTGCATGCCTTTTGTACTTGCGACGGGCTTAAGCGTTTGCCTCAGACATGCCTTACTAAGACAAGTTTCAGGTTGGGACAGGAGAGTGCAGTATGTTCATGATTTTATTTCAATCCATCCTAAATGCCACCCCTCATGAGATCTGATGACAAGAATCAAAAACCGGTTTTGGAAATCTTTCTTTGTAAAATCAGATTTTACTGAAGAGGACAATTTTTATTTTAAGAGAGACATGTTTTAACCTTAAAGGTGAGTTCCCTTCTTGCCTGGCCAAAAAAAAAAAAAAAAAATCCCAGGAGATTTTCAGGTCATGTGAAGCCACACACAGCTTTCACAATTTATTCAGTCGGGTTTTACTCACCTCTGTGTCTCTGAATCTGTCCTCATAGTCCAATCTATCCTTCTCTACAGATGTAAGCTTTAACTTCAGAGTGGAAACCTCTGCCATAAGATCCAGCTTCTGAGTTTCAAGGGATGTTCTGCTTAAAAGCTCCTGATTCAGGATAAGGAGGAAGAGAACACAATTATTCATTCAAGGGGAAGAAATCAGTTATTTATTTCTACAGCTAAAGGCCTGTTTCATGGGGAAAAGCATCACCCTCCTCTTTGCACTATCTGAAGCCCTGGGACACACTATCTGACAGACTCCAGGCACCGAGGATACATCTGAGTTCATGGAAGCACTATCATGAGTTGGCTGCCAGGATGAGAAAAATGCTTGTATGTCATCACAGTGTGCTCTGGGCAGCAAGGAGCTGTGAGGAGAACCCACCCATCCTGCCGGAGGCTTTAATACAAGTCTCTTTGAAGTTCAGTGAGGTCAAAGAAGAGCAGAACTGGATTCCTACTGTGTAAAGAAGCACTGACATTACTAAGTACAAAGACTATAAAGCAAATATGGTAGAAAATAATCATTTAGTTAAGAGACATCAAAGGGTGCAACACCCTGAAGTGCACTGCTCTCACCAAAGCAAAATGCAGTTCATTAAGACAGAATGAAGACAGACAGCAAGACAGACATGGGGCTGTGAAATACCTGCTGCAGCATCTCTTCCGTGGCATTCAGCTTCTCCCTGTGCTCCTCTAGACAGAACTCCAGATCCCGAATCTTTTCTCCTTGAGCCTCCACTTGGTCTGTAAGCACACTTACCTGCGCAGCAGAGAAAAAGAAATGTATGTTTAGTACATTGCATCCATGCCATGTGTGTCACCTGAAGAACTGTATGTGAGTAACAGTGCTGAACAACGTATGGCAAAGACGACAGTAGAGGATGGACAGCTCTTCCCTCATGCTTACTAGAATTTCAGCCAAAGTTCTGGTGGACACATTGTAATTCTGCCTCTCTCTTCCTAACTTGTCCTGGAAGTTTCCACAAGGGGTGGCTGCTGCATTTTACAGCCAACAATTATGCCTTTGCTATGACAATACATTAACTAAAACCCACTAGCTCCTACCTTAACAACCAAATAGTTAAGCCTCGCTGCATATAATTTATTCTCCTTTCCAAGTGATTGCACACAGTGTAACATAACATACAGCTCCTCCTTTTCAGAACAGTAAAAGCAAAGGAGGTTAAAACACACGGCAAGACCAAGACACAACACCTCTGAGGCTGCAGACTGACTGTCATTTTGCCTTTTCTGAATGAAGCTTTTGTTTTAAACAAGCTCCCTCAAGGAAACCTGCAGAACTGCTGGGAATGAGGACAAGCTGTCTTGAGCAGCGCTTTGTGTGTCACAGCCAGGTCTGCATCAGGGGACAGCAGGATGCCTGTGCAGACCAAGGGGTGACAGACAGTCCCAGCTCTGATGGCAAGAGCCATCTAGCTGCCAAGAGCACCCGGGGCTGACCCAGTCCAGCCCAGCAGCAGGTCAGCAGGACCTCCAAGGAGCTGCTCATCTCCTTCCGCCCACTGGCCAGTCCTGCAGCTTTTGAAACCTTTCACGAGGACAGGACTTCTGCCACATGATGCAGACAGCATATGAACGGTCATGGAAAATGGTGATCTCAAGGATACGCACGAATGCAAGGAGGTGGTTGCTCTGCAGACCTGCTCAGATAACAAAATTCAAAAAGTAATCATATACACAGAAAAAAAGGCCTATAGTTTTTTTCTGCAATCTAAATTCACACCTATCCTTAATCTGGGTTAACTCTCGGGTATCAGCAAGCCTTCTGGACACTGTCCAAGATGACACAACTGCAAATAAATCCTCAGAAGTTTTATCACATACTATCAAAATGTCTTGTGAATGAAGCAGCGGAAAAAAAAAATAATTTAGGTGACTACTCACTTGCAGAACAAGAGATTCCTTATCATTTTCCAGACGAGCCAGCCTTTCTTGATACACATCTCCATTCCCAGATATGTGTCCATTAGTCTGAAAAAGACAGCAAATATTGCATAGTCAGCTATTGTACCGTAAGCACCATTCAACATTATTAACACTTTCAAGGAGTATTTTTAGTCTACACAGCTCAAGAACAGATTTAAAGTATTCTCCAGCCACCAAGGGGTTACAAATCAAATAAACTGTCAACAAAGGATACATGACCACCATTTAGGATAAGAATTATTCAGAGGCTTAAAGATGAGAAAGGAAGAACCTTCTGGTGACCCTATTCTGCAAAATTCATTTACTGTGTATTCAGCATTTTGTTAATAAAATTTGAACTTGATGTACTATGCTAAGCTATACTTGTGAAGAGAGAAATACCCTGAGACATTCAGCAAGAGGAAGAAAAAAAAAAAATCAACGTACAATCTACAAAATGTGCATTATGTTTCTTGCAAGTCAAACATTTTTTTCTAAACCACACAGTAAGACATCCTTTTACATCAGGCACATTTTACTGGGTCTGGGTGAATGTCTGCACTCTAAACGCATCTCTTTGTAAAGCTGCCTGAGGCTAAAGAGAAACAAGAATACATGTTAATGCTATCAGAGAGTTCAGAGGAATCAGCAACTTTCTTTCTTCACAGTAACTTCAACGTTCTTGAACAGCAAGAAAGATTCTACTCTATCCATATTCAAAGCTGTCTCAAAGCACTTTGTGATGGACGCCACAATCAGATCTCAGTTCAGAAAAGAAATTCTTGTTCCCACCATTGCATAAATTGCTTACAGGAGTCTGAGAAGCTGCTCTGAAATCCAGCACGCTCAGCAGAGACTCCCAATGATGTTGAGGGGCCTTGATTTCCTTCTGAATATGCAACGAAAAGAAACTGTATGACTGATCCTCTTGCCCTGGATAGTCTGCAGCACAACCCTGCCTTGAGAAGCCACCACCATTTAGGAGCTGCAAGCCTCAGGCTCCCGCTTTGAATCTCTCTTTCAAGCAGCTCATCTCCCCTGATTGCAGAGAATGCCTCAGGAAACCTGCTGGCTAAAACTCCTTTTCTAAGTTACATGTCTGACCTTGGTTAGTGGGAGAAACTGCCTCATTTGAAACTGAAAGAATAAAGCTCCCACCAGCACCACTTAGAGATTAGAAACAAAGCAAACAGGAGGGAGTACAAAGTATTTGACCTCACCTTACTGCCCTCAAGAAAGCAGTCTGTGTCCCAGCAGATTTTAAATCACTGTGCCATAGTAAATGTGTCTCCTAAGCATACATGCATAACTTCTACAAGGTGACGGTAATATCTCCCCCGAAATCACTAGAGCTACAGCGGACTAAGAAAGGATGCTCTCTAGTAATTTGTACCAATACCTCATATCATGACAGCCTGTATCTGAATTATTTAGCAGTAAGTTACTAGGCCTTCTGACCATCCGGACACTAAGTACCAAGGCAGAAGTCCTCTAAACTTCTGAATTTGCCCTGTTTTTCCCCTGACCTCTACCAGAATTTAGCTCATGCCATAGGAGTTCCATTCAAGATCAGTGAGATCGTCAGTTTTTTAATACTTTAATTTAGGTGAAAGAAGTTTTAGAACTTCCAAAATAAACTTGTTAATTGTTCAAATAGCAGATTATGCTTAAAATTTTGTAATTTGACTTGTATGTGAAATACAAAGCTGAGGTTTTTGCATACTTTAGCTATTCTGTAGCTCCATTTGAAGTCCTCCAGTACATCTCAGGCACTTACTCAGCCTCCATAAGAACAGCATCCATATTTTGTAATAGACAACACATTTATCAATCCAGTGTGTGTGTCTGATGTAGGAAAGTGATATTCATCCCTCATTACAAGCAGGCAGCTGAGATGCAAACACGCCTCTCCATCCTGCCGAGGCGAACATGAAAGTCCTTGTCAAAGCACAGACTCAACTCCCTGCCTCTCAACTGCCACATCAGTGCCCTAACCGCTGAACCTCCTGATACCTCTAGTCAGTGTAATGAGACAGAAATTAACTAAAACCAAAGACTGTGTGAAGAAAATATGGGGAGGTAAGTCTTGGTTTCACACTACGATGAAAATGTCTTTACGATGCTGTGAAAACCGACGAGGTGTTAAAGTAGAATGTTAGTCATTGTGCATAGCATCTTGGCAAGACACCTTTGTTGTTAAACTCCGTTCACATTTCTCAAAAAAAAAGTCCTGTTTTGCTCAGCACATCATACTTGGCTTTAAAATAGGAGCATTTAGAGAGTGAGAGTTCAGGCCACAGCTGCTCATTGCCATAAGAAAGAGGGAGGAGATGATGGGAACCCCAAACAAGACTGAAGTAAAGGTTTTTCTCCCACAAAATCAGATAGATGTCTTTGATGTGTGTTGCCAGAAATATTTTGTAAAAATTTGCATAAAAACAGACCTCCTGTCGTACACCAAAACCAGAAAACTTTGTGTATAACCCAACAGCAATTTGCTTTTTGCCTGAAATGTTCTACTTCTGCATAATACCTAGGACTAACTCTTAATTTTAGGTATGTAAAGGCAAGAAACTCACTGACTTTGGTTTCAGTAGGGAAAAAGATAAGCTCGGGAAAGGATGACACAGAAAGGCCATGGCAGCTATTTCACAGAGCAGCAGACCCTGCACCTCCTATGGTGGTGCAGAGATCAGGGACTTGCAGACAATGGTCACACGATGCCTTCCTGCATCTCTCCTCTGCACTGTCTTCAAAGGTAAAAAGTTGATACCTGGCATGATTTTCTTCCCAGACAGATAAGGAAGGAAGAGAGGAGATGAAACACATGAGAAGAATGGAGTAATGATGGCAGTGGGTAGGACTGAAGAGAAATGGAGAAGGGAAAATGCCCAAACACTGGATATGGGAAAGTAGTGCATTGGGAGATAGGGTGGAAGGAGCCCCAATGGGGAGGAATGGGCTATAGGAAGGTCTGAACGATGCCAGGAGACCTGGTGTGTGCAAAACCTGGGTGAGTAACACTCTGTGTACTTCAGGAAGAGTTTCTCTCCACCTGGGGACCTGCCACCTCCCCTGCAGAGCAATGGCTCTGCTTTGGGGAGGTGGGGGGAAAGAAAAAAAGAAAAGTAAATATTTGATTCAACAGCAACTGCAAGCATATTTGGGGCACTTGGTAATTCTGGATCAAATTTGTATCATCAAAGTCAATACAGGATTAACATACTTTACTAGCTGTGTAAAATAAGCTTTGCTATTTTCCAAAGAAGGCTCTTCTTCATCAACAACTTAAAATCTATCCTCAATTAAGTATTTAGACTTTGCATGTGTTTTCAATTTAGGGATTAATTGCAAAACACTGTATGGGAAGAGAATGCAGATTTACCAATACCAACCTTAATCCTAAAAACAAAAGAACAGTTGTCACGATGCCACTGAGCTTCGCAGAAGTTTGAGGCTAAGCATTTACTTAAAATGTATTATAAGATCAGACCCAGTGCACTCAAAAACTCAGCAAAATCAATCTGTGGCTAATCTGTTAAACACATGTGTAAGCTTTGTCTGCAATCATGTAAGTGTAAAAATCCACACTGATCTGGAGGGAATTATTCCTGTAATAAGTAGATGCATCACCAAACTTTCACAGCTTGCCTGCCCTCAGTCTTTAATCCCTTTTCCCTGGAAGTGAGTTAGCATTCCAAGCCACAGGAAAGTTTCTAATAGCTGCTGTTTTAAACCTCCTAAAAAAAAAAAAAAAAAAAAAATAAAAAAAAAAAAATCCATTTCCTCTCAATTGCTGAATTCTCCATTCAAAAATAAACCTAATTTTCAGCCTACTGCAGCTGATACCCTCATTTCCCTTCATTTTCTCTCTGCTTTTGAGACAAAATAAGCAGCACAAATCACACTGTTCTTGCTGTAGATGCAATCTGATTTGTATAGAAGGAGCTGCCACTCCACAGCATTATTTTCTTTTACAGCAGATTGCACCGACTGTTTTGACCACCACAGTCCAGTCAACAGTTGGTCAAGTGAGCTGTCCCTGACATCTCTTTCCTGACCATCTGGAGTTAAATTAGAGCTCATCAACATGCTTACGTTGTTCAGATCATTATAATACACATTACCCACGCTTAGTTAAGCACAGCTACTGCTGTTCTGCTTGTTTGCTCAGTTTTAGAGAGTCCCTTGCAAGGGGGCTCCTCCAGCCTCAGCTACCTCAACATCACTTGGTGTGCCACGGGCAGAGCCTCCAGGTGTTCCAAGCAAAGTATTCACCACCGTTTCCCCTGTGATACAGAGCCATGACAGCTTTACCCTCTCTAAGTATCGACTCTGTTCCAAATTCATACTGGTCAAATCTATCTGAACACAGTCTGTACCTGTGTTTAACCAGTTTGTGTGGGAGCCCCTGCCCTCCCAAACGGCCATCTCCTGCACTGCATGCCTCCCGACTCATCGCTCTGAGTATTTGCAGCCTGCTCCACATGCTCCGGCAGCAGGCAGGCAGACCTGCTGCTGAGCTTTTCCTAAAGTTTACAGATTAGTTCCTCCTTACAGAATGAGCAGGGGAAAAAGACCCACAAACCCCCCACAAAAACCCCCACATTATACTTTAAAAGCTTCACTATAAGAAAAGTGAATTCTGAAAGAAAACCAGCTTAAGACAGACCTTCATTCAGAGGAGTTTACCTGAAACATTTTCTAAATATAAATAGCACAGCTGTTGAATAGAGAAGATGCAACCATTTCAAAATATTCAGTTTCTTCAACAGCAGCTCAGTGGTATCTGATACAAGCGGAAGACAAAATGCTCATTCCCTACCAGCGTTGCCCAGCTATGGCTTGTCACTCGGAGAAATGCAAGAGCCAGAACAAACACAGATAGCCTTACCTTATTTAGCCAGACACAGTGTCCGTGAATGTCCCAGCTATACTCCATGCTGGTCCTGACTATCTTCATGCATTTAAGGACGCGAACGACTGTGGCAGGCAGCCGAGGCTGAGACCTGCAGCCCCAGCACCGCAGGCGCCTGCTGTGCCGAGCAGTGCCGTCAAGGCTCCTC